TACTTTTGGCCACTGAGACTCCTGTCCCTCTCCTCTTCATGTGTGTATGCCTGCCTTAATCTACTTCAGTTCAGTTCAGTCACCCAGTCATGTCCAACTCTTTGCAACCCCATGGACTGCAGCATGCCAGGCCCCCCTGTCCATCACCAACTCCTGGATTTTACTCAAACTCATGTCCATTGAGTTGGTGATGCCATCCAACCATCTCATCCACTGTCGTCCTGTTCTCCTACTGCCTTCCATCTTTCCCATAATCAGACTCTTTTTTTTTTTTTCATTTATTAGTTGGAGGCTAATTACTTCACAACATTTCAGTGGGTTTTGTCATACATTGACATGAATCAGCCATGGAGTTACATGTATTCCCCATCCCGATCCCCCCTCCCACCTCCCTCTNTAACTCAGTGAAGATAGTTTTATTTGGTTCCTTTTCTTGCCGTGAGTCACCTTTTCATACACAGTGTATATATGAAGGAGTGAGACGTGGCTTGGACCTTCAGGCTGCAAGTTCTGTCAGTCTTCCACTTCCTTTTCAGTTCACATTGGATGTAAAAAGAGGGCTTTGGGAAATGTTATTCATTTGTATTTCTTCTTTCACCTTTATTCACAGAGTTTTTTTTTCCCCCTAGCTTTTTATTTTGTATTGAGGTATTGCCAGTTAACACACAATGTTGTGATAGTTTCAGGGGGGCAGAGAAGGGATTCATCCATACATATACATGTTTCCATTCTCCCCAAACCTCTCTCCCATTCAGGCTGCCACATAACACTAAGCAAAGTTTCATGTGCTATACTATAGGTCCTTGCTTGTTATCCATTTTAAATACAGCAGGGATTCACACATTGTTTACATGGTCAGACTCTAGAGTTGGAGGGGAGTGGGTGCGTGGAGAGCCCCCCTCCCTTCCACTTTCCTAGTCCTCCAGTGGAGACATTGCTAGGGAGCTTTGACTTCAAAGGCCGAGAAGATTTGCCTGGTCGTGATGAATTGGGAAGATGCACATGTGAATCAAGAGTGTTCCTTCCTGCTTGATACAAGATCTCTTTGGCACACTTCCTTTAGATTTACCTTGGTCCTAGCATTCCTAGTATTCAGAAGGTCAGCAGAACATAGGCCCAAAGAATAGAGTATCTTTTCAGTGTTTTCCCTGAGGTCTAAAGTAGAATTCATTCATAGTCCCTGCTTGGATAGTTCACATCCAGGTAGGAGAGGGACCTACCCGTTACACCATACTACCACCCCCCCACCCCCCATAAAACATGCAGAGCATTTCAGAGATGCTCAGTCACTCACTTGTGTCCTACTCCTTATGACCACATGGACTGTAGCCTCCCAGGCTCCTCTGTCCTTGGAATTTTCCAGGCAAGGGTCCTGGGATGGGTGGCCATTCCCTCTTCCAGAGGATGGAACCCACATCTCTTGTGTCTTCTGCATTGGCAGACAGATTCTTTATTACTAGCGCCAGCTGGGAAGTCCATTTCAAAGAGAAATATGCACCAAAAAGAGTCTACAAAACCGACTTCAAAGGTGAGCTAAATATGAATAGTACTGATGAAAAAGAAGATTTATCAAGGGACGAAAATAGAAAAGATTAAGTATTTAGAAAATATAATTGCTTAGAGGTGTTACTAAAAGAGACATAAAAATATGTGGTAAAACTATGTTTACATTTCTGTTTTATGATCATTTAGTTGAAATAGAATGTGCTGTCACTGAACTCTGGAAAGCACAAAGCCTATCCACCAGGATTTGGGGGAAAAAGAAAGATAGGAGAAGTCTTCAGGCAGTGTTGACAATATTGCTACCACATGAGCACTGGTAATAACTTGATACTACTTTTTAAATAAATTTAAGTGAGCTAATTTAAAATGTTTGAACCATTTGATTATCAATGGCTTGTTTCAGTGAAATACTCAGAAGCACTAGTTCTACCAAAGTTCTTCCTCTGAGACATCTTTGTCACCAATCTATAACCCTAAGTTGACCAAGTTTTTGCTTCTTTCTAGAGGATATTTGGGAGAAGGTAATGGCACCCCACTCCAGTACTCTTGCCTGGAAAATCCCATGGACGGAAGAGCCTGGTAGGCTGCAGTCCATGGGGTCGCTAAGAGTTGGACACGACTGAACAACTTCACTTTCACTTTTCACTTTCATGCATTGGAGAAGAAAATGGCAACCCACTCCAGTGTTCTTGCCTGGAGAATCCCAGGGATGGGGGAGCCTGGTGGGCTGCCGTCTATGGGGTTGCACAGGGTCAGACACGACTGAAGCGACTTAGCAGCAGCAGCAGCAGCCCTCTAATGGAGCAGGGTAGAGGCTTGTGGAAGCTTCCTGATGGGAGAAACTGACTTCACCTTGTGGCTTTTAGCATAAACTGATCAGGTAGGAAAGAGGAAACAACCAGGTTGTTTTTTATTCCATCATTTGCTCAGTGAAGGTTATGCAGTAGGTTCTTTAATCAGTCTCCAGTTCGTCTTCTTTAAGGGATTGTCAGTGTGGCACTTAAGCCTTGTGGCAAACCGTGTAGCCCCAGTCAGTCTGGCTTTTCTGTGTCCAGTGTTGTTTTTACTCACGTCCCTTAGGGCAGAATGTCTGCTTTACTTTAGGGCTTTTGTTAAGCATAGCCTTTACTCTGTACTTGCTCAAAATACATTCTTTTAACTACTGTTAACAGCAGTATAGCAGTCTTTGCCTGTTGATTTCTGTTAATGATTTTTCATTAACTAGTAATTGGACAAATGTTGGTTAAAACTGTGATACTGCAGTTTTCTGTCTTGACAATTTGAATACCCTCTTTCTATATTCTCTTTGGCTGTGGGCTGTTAAAGCGATGGGTAGTCCAAGTGATTTTGCATAAGGACTGTAGATCCTTTTGGCAGAGAGGTCACTTCCCCTTTTATATGGAGATCTGAATGCCAGGGTATATCCCTCAAGGAGTACCTGCTAGGAGTCACTAGGTGCTCTTTTCATCCTCAGTAGTGTGCTGGCAATACATCTGTAAAATGGAAAAATAAGTTTGAGATAGGTTCAGACGTTATTTTGTAATATGTAAACCATTATATAATATATGAATATTTGGTTTAGATTGTAGGCGTTCTCAAACTGTATTCTCCCTTTTAAAATTTTTACTTTTTTTAGTCTCAAAAGATAAAAAAGAGAAAGCTCATGTTGTAAAGTTGGCCTGCTATTTTTGTTACTAGTTGATGGATTTTTTCCAAAGTATTGCAAAAGGTAGCATTTCACCTCAGGTTTATTTAAATATAATTGACATATAACACTGTATTAATTCAAGGTATGCCACATAATGATTTGATATATGTATATATTGCAAAATGATTGCCACAATAAGTTTAGATAACATGCATCATCTTGAATTATTACGCATTATTCTTATGATATGAACGTTTAAGATATATTTTCTTAGCGACTTTCAGTATGCACTATTGAAATAGTAAACTATTGTTTACTATAGTCACCATGCTGTTCATTACATTCCCAGAACTTATTTATCTTATAATTGAAAGTCTGTATCCTTTGACCCTCTTCAGTCATTTCCACCACCCCGTGCCCATGCCTTTGACTCCATGGAGGAGGGCATGTCAGCCCACTCCAGTTTTCTTGCCTGGAGAATCCCCTTGGACAGAGGAGCCTGGCAGGCACGATCCATGGGGTTGCAAGAGTTGGACACAACTGAGTGACTAAGCGCAGCATAGCACATGCCTTTGACTGCCACCAATCTTTTCAGTACATGAATATTTCTTACTTTCTAAACCATAGGAAAAAAAGTGTACCGAAAAACGAAAACATTAAAGTTTCTCTAGCAATTTTGCCCTGGGTTTTCATATACTTTTAATAATAAACCTTTTGTTACTGAACTTATTTTTTAAAAACCAATTTTTAATTTGCCTCTAAATTATAGTGTATTCAACCATGCAGAAATATGAAATGTTGTAATCCTCTTGTAGACATTATCTTGCAATGTTGTCTCATCCAGTTTTTAAACTTGTTTTGTGACCTGTGAGGATAGTATTTGTGGTGAGTAAACAGAAAAACATTTTGAGAAGGTGATAAGCTAACTGTATGAAATTTCAACTAGAAAGTTGTCCTCACATATCTTTCTATTTTAAAATCTGTTTTTCTGACTCTCCATAAAAGTCATGTATGCTATTTGGTCGTAAAGGATTATTAACTGTGTAGCTTTCTTTGTCTAGCTTTTCTCCCCCTTTTCCTGATTTATCACAAGATAACTTTGTTATAGATGGGTTGAGTTAGTCATGTTAATACTGTACTATCAGAGGGATAATTTTCTGTTTCTTAGATCATAAAAAAAAGAACTTGCATTCCTTTTTGCTGATTCTCAGTCCATATATATACACATACACACACATATACACGTACACACACACACTCAGTTACACACACATAAATACATTTGCACGTGTCTGGTCACAGTTTGACGTATATTAATATTTTATCCTGAGCATCTGATAGCAGGAGATCTGCTTACTGTCCAAACTCTATGAATTTAAACTAAGAAGATTGTTTCTTCATGGAATAATGGGAATACACAGCTGATAGAAGTTAAGAAGGATTACTAAAGCTCAATATATAAATACATTATAATTAAGTGGCAGTTTGGGATACAAGTCTAGATGAATTTGTCTAATATAAATGACTGTTATTTCCTGATTATTGAGAATAAATATCTTTGGTTAGATTTAAGACTAATTATGTCCCTCTTATTTTGAGCCAGCATTTAGTAATTGAACTTGGACCTCTAGTCGTACTTAGAATGGTGAAATCAGGACTTTAAAAATATGATACATTGTTTTATATTTTATGTAGAAATGTGGACATCTGTTATTATTATTCGTTATATTTTGCATTCCTGTCATTGAAGAAAACAGAATATGATTTAATAAACTTTCACATTTATTAAATTCACCTTTCTTCCCCTTACATAGGTTGAATTCTAAATTTAACTTTTGAACTCTTTCAGGTGTTTTAGATGCTATTCTGGAAAAATTTTAGTGATGGATCAAAGGAAGAATGAGAGTATTGTTCCTAGTATCACTCAACTAGAAGATTTTCTTACAGAACACAATTCCAATGTTGTTTGGCTCCTTGTTGGTAAGTAGAATATATATTCTTGTACTTTATTATTTTTTGTGTATGAATTAACAGCTGCCAGATTTTAAGCAGTAGTTCACTGAAGTTAGAATGCTTACAGTATCATCTGTTTGTTTTTTTGGAGACAAGTATTTTAATCTGTGTTTCTATGAATATTTGATCTGGAAACTGCTCTTGAGGGCTGTTTTCCTTAGACTGCTTCCTTGTCTGTGTTAGGGGAAGTGGGATGATAAGAGAGACCTAGCTTTTCTTTCCTGTTTCAGATCAGCTCTTCCATTTCCCATCCCAACATACACGCAGACTCTTTTGTTTTATTATAAAGTGATAAATCCTCATGGTAAATGTTTTTGCCTAATTAAATCTTATCTCTTTCCTCACTCCTTATGCACCTGACAGTGGAATTTTCCAGTAATGATTTTTTTTTGGTCTTATATTCCAGAACTTTTGTAGGTGTACACAAAAAATACAAAGCAGTATATGATTAAATTGCAGAGAGAGGGAAGTTGTATGAGTGAGTGAATGAATATGAACAGACAAGGAGAAATACATCAAGTACTGAGGAAGGGAGCAATTACTATAGGTTGTTACTGTCCAGGATTTTTCATGGAAGATTGCTATTTGATTTTAATTTTAGCATAGGAATTAGAAAAGTGCAGAGAGGAAAATAGAAAGGGTAAGATAGAGTGAGAGAGGAAAGGGAGGTAATGGTAATATTTATTGAGGAAATATTTATTAGACATCTTTGTACCATGTGCCACAGGTGTTTTGCATATGTTATCCCAGTAATGTTCACAGAATTATGAAGGTAGCTGATATGCTATTAACCTATTGGGGAATTGAGACCCATAAAAATTAAATAACTTAACACAGGTTACACAGCTGTTTTTTTCCTTGAGTGTAGCCTTATGCTTCTTTCATGATGCTGTGTGGTAGGGTTACAATAGAGGTGAAGTGTATATAAAGGAAATTGTAATGATATGGTTTGTAGGTAGGATTGGCTTACCACTTAAACTTTGTTTTTTCTCCCCTAATTGATGAACATGAACTGTTCTAAATTATCATAATGAAAACTTAAAAGTAAAATGAAGTGCGAAAAGATACTATGAAATATAATTTCATAAAAACAGCATTGAAAATTATCTTTTAGTTTAATTAAACGCAGACATCTTTCTTATATCCTGTGTGCCCCCTTTCCTATCATTTAGAATTTCTGTTTTTTTGCATGGTATACAGCTCCTTTCTTTCAGGTGAAAATAATAGCAATAACCAAGAAAACACTGAGGGGCTGTTTAATCTCTCTATTTTACTGATGGTCTTACAATATGGAAGGGCATGGAGGGGGAGGGACATTATACTCTGAAAGGGCCACAGTTCCCAGGTGGTTCACTTTCTGAGATGAAAGCATGCTTTCTTAGCAAATACCTTTGCCTTTCTGAAGAGCCCATAGCAACTTGCTGTTCACACAGTGATTCATGGTAAAAATTAATACAGGATGACTTTAAGTTTAAAACAATATTGTATCATCGAAAGAATTGTTCTAGAAATAAATTTTATGGGCAAATCATAGCACGTGCTACCTCAAAGCTATTAACATCAGTCTAAGCTACCGTAAGTAATGTTGTATTTTGACTCGCAGTGACTGCTTTGTTTTAGTTAGTTAACATAATTTTTTAAAAGTACAAACTTAATACAATGTTGCTAAAAGATTACATATATTCAATTGCTTTATATTACTTTGTCTTAATCTAGAAAATAGTTACACTTTTCAAATGCATAAGGAAAAGAAAATTTATCAAAAAATGCTTTCTTGTATTTTGTCATTTATGTATTAATGAGCTAGGTTTTTTGGGAGGAATATTACAAATTTTATAAGTGACTATAAACTTTTCATGAAAAATGGTCAAATATAGAATAGCATGTATTGAAGTGTATTTAATGGTGTTCTTTAAAACTAAGTTATTACCAATTGCAACATAATAGTATTAATATTTGGTGGCCTATTTAATATAGATATGCCTTTAAGTAGGTTAGAATTCTCCCTTCTTTCCAACAGTATTTTAAAAACAGAGACTTGATTTTTTTAAAAAGCGACTTTTCTCTGATGTAAAAAAATCATCAGTTTTCTTTGTAAGTGACTGTAGCCTTTAGGAAATAGCTTGGGAATGAACTCTGAGTCTAATAAAGGTAGATTTTTTTCCCCAGCATATTCAGAAATATGGGCTTTCTCTTCCCAGAACACTTTGTGTATGTTTAATAACTGAAACTGTACAAAGTAGTCTAAAATAAAACAAATAAAGGAAAGCGGTTTTCCTTGAAACATTGTTTTACTTGATCTGATTGAAGTCTGTATTTTTCTGGTGAATGACTAAAGAGAATGAATTTGAAAGATGGGTAAAGTAGAATCAACCTCTGGTTTTGAAAATTCAGGTATTGTAAGAGAACATGTTACCATTTGGAAGAAAATCCTCTCGTTTCTGAACATGATAAATGATCTTTTACTAACAAATTTTTATTAAAATGTTAAGGTGATCAAAGGAGATATGTATAGTGAGATCCTTTTTTTGCATTCTTTTCTTCCAACAGCTACTATTTTGTCTTGTGGATGGATTATTTATCTCACATATTATAATTCTCGGAATGTTGGTCTTATTTTAACGCTGGTTCTTAACAGGTTATACAAGCATGGCTATATTCATATTGGTAAGTCTGAGTAATTTTTTTCTTCTGTGTAATCTGGAAATTGTAAGTTTATTTTATAAACAGACAGTAGCTTTAGAAATTTACTTTTGTTTCATGAAAGTTAATCAAGAACTTTTAATTATTGAGTAAATTGAATGTGAAGATTATTTAAAGCTTTTAGGGCTCTACTGTTTTTCAAAACAATTACATTAATTGCTGTTGTGTTTTTTTATTTTTCCCCTACAACAGGTTCATTTTCTTTCTCTGTTCTTTCTGGAAAAGTCATGGTTCGTGAAATCTATTATATTACAGAAGACATGTCTATTAGGTAAAAATAAATATCCATCTTAAATCTGAAATATTACAAACTTTTTTGATTATAATACTGAATTGAATGTGGCTTGCTTTTTCAGAGTAACAATGTTGGCTTTTCAAATAAAACCGTAAATCAGCAATTATTTTTTTCAGTGACTCATACTGGTGAATTGATTTTTTTTTTTTTTGATGTTTCTATCAGTCGATTGATTTAGCTAAAGTTTACACTGACCAAAAAATTCATATTTGAATAGCAGTTTATAGAAATGAATAATCTCATATCATCCCCAGTTTTGAAAATTGAGCATTAGATTACTTGACCATTTTTGTTGTAGAATTCATTGTGGTCATTTGTTATATAAGCAAGGATCAGGGGTGTTGATATCTCTTATCTATTATCCCCTTTTTATAGATAGTCAATTTTTAGAATAATTTAACCTTAATAGCATTTCTAGTTTTACCTTAAGAAAGAGATGAAAATTAAATATAATGAAAAATGATAGTTCATATGTTTGATATATTCTGTCTTCTGTAAGCATTGAAAGAAAAGCTTACTCTATTTATGTGATTTTCTTAAAATTCATTACTTGGATAAAACTTGAAGATACTAAATTAGTTGAGAAGTGCTAGAGTTTGGCAGCACTCATACCTCACTTATAACAGTAGAGGTAACTTCTTTGTGAGTCCAAAACTATTTCCAAGTTAAAAGTAAAAGTTAGGCTATACTTCCACCCTTTGGGGATGTGAAGTGATATGTCATTATAGAAATGAAAGAAAGTCTTTAAAGTTTTCCCTTTGAGTGCTAATATCTCCCTTTCAAGATTTGGCTTTTTTTTTTTTAGTTTATATAATTTTAATTTAAAAAATATAACTTTAAAAAGAAAATTTTTTTTCTGTTAACACTTTATTTTCCTACTAAATGTTATTTGGTATTACAGTTTACCTAAATAGAAGATTCTAAGAGCTTTTGCAGATCTTCTTTTCCTTTCTTGATTGGAAGAGTATGAAACATCTAAGTATGCTAGTGTCCACTTTTCTGTATTTCCCTAATATCAATTGCCTGCTTTTTATAATAGCTAAGAAATGAGTTAAATAAATTGTTGCTTAAGCTTTCAATTTTGTAATTTTTATCTTGCTTAGAATTCAGGATGGATTTGTAATTTTTCGGTGGTGGAAAATGTATAATCCAAAGCAGAAGCAACATGGTAAGTTTTCATTTTTTCATGTGTTTGAAATCTTCAGTAATAAAATCAGAATTTTCATTTGTAGATGTTGAAATGTTTCCCATTTGGTAATAGATAAAAATATTTTTAAAAGGTTTGGAGTTTACAGAACTGATTTTAACATCCCTTTGCTGAAAATCCTTCAGCAGCTTTCCTCTGCATGGTTAAACTTAGTTTCCTTAGTCTATTGTTTATTTAGGGTTATTCCCAACATGACCCTTACCCACATTTCTAGTCTTACCTCCTATTATATCTGTGGACTTAATCCCATACTGAGGTTAAAGTGGCTTCCTAGCACTCTTTGATCACTCTACTAAGATACTTATCTTTTCAGCTTCTTTGCTTTATTAATACTTTTATGTAACATTGCTACTAATTCGTATTTATCTACTATGGTAAGGATGTGTAGAAAAGAGGAAATGCATCCTCTAAACTCTCTTCTGTTTCCGCTTTTTATCATCAGAATTTTATCTCAGTATATTCTGCTCACCTGTTCATTTCACAACTCCAGGTGCGCCTGTCTGTGCCTGTAACTTTCTTCTCTACATTAACCACACCAGTGGCCTCGAGGAGAGGAGACCTTGTCTTTACTTTCTAGAATAGTAATTGGCAAACATTTCTGATCTCAGGATTTGTTACATTCTAAATAATTGAGGATTCCAACAAGCTTTTATTTATCAAGTTGTATCTGTTTAATATTTGCTTCATTCAAAATTAAGCCTGATCGTCGTAGAAACATTTTTATCATTAAAAACATCTTTAATAAATCCATTACATGTTAAAATAAATAGCACACTTTATGAAGAATAATTTTTCCAAAGCAAAAATATAGTGAGCAGACTGACATAGTGTTAAATTTTGCAGATATTTTAAATGTGGAAGGTAGTTGAATTCTCACCTCTGCTTTCATATTCATATACTTCTTACAGCCTTTAAAAAAATCCCATTGTCCACTCATTTAAAAATGACTGATGAAAAGTCAAATATCTTAGTATAATAATATTATCAAAATAATTTTGACTTTGTGTTCCCCAAGAAAGGGTCTCGATATCCCTGCAGAGGTCCCTGGACCATACTTTGATAACTACTTTGAAGGAGAATTTAAGTGCTGCCTGGGAGTGTAGGGTCAAAAGAGAATGAAACCCCTCCACCTTTTCTTGGGTATGAGGACCTGTGTTTCAGGCTCTCCAGTGAGATTCTGAAATGGTGGTTGGTTCTGTATAATTTTGGAACTTTCCAGTTTAATGTTGGATTGTGTGTGTGTGAGCTCCCCTAGGAATCTCATCGTGATGTGTACCATTTTTTCTATAGGAAAACAGATTTAAAGTTCTGGAAGTTTGAAAACTTAGCAAAAGTTTGAGCTATCCTAAATTATTTTTAGATTTCCCTATTGTTTAGTCTTTTTTTTTAAACTATCATTGCTTTGCTCCCACATATCTTTCATCCCTCCTATATAATACATAATTTACTCTACCTTGAAAATGTTGGCATTAATGCTTTAGAATTTGACATCTGCAAAGTTAATGAAACCAGAATTATTAGAAAGAATAATGGCCAAACTTCATTTCTGGACAAAGTCTTCTAAAAATTAGAGCTGTGTGTTAGATAACCTTGAACAGAAGCTGAGCGACTTCTTGAGACGAAGGTGCTCTGCGGACCTTTGGGATAGGCTTTCTGCAGCCTCTCGTCTGTGGCTGAGAATGGCTGTGTCATCTCCCTTCTTTAGCCTGTGGTTTTGGGATTTTGGTTGTTAGACCAACCTTTTTACCTCACTTCTTAGTAGTTATTATAAGCATTCTCACAGGAAAAGAAAATGTCCTTTAGATAATACATTAGTGCATTGGGAATCTTTTGTTTTTAAGTTTTAACTTTTTATTAATATGAAATCTGAATACATTTAGAACTTTGAAGCACTTTCCTACACTGCCTAGGTATTGTGGAGAGAATATTCTTGATTCTTTCTTTAATTTGACTGTAAGTCTTAAAGGTGGTACTTAATTAAAGATATCTTACACTTTAGAGATGGTTAAAGCTCATTCCTGAGAGCCAGGTTCTTTTGAGTTCAGTTCTAGTTTCTAACACATTCACTTAATTTTGGGCATGCCCAGTATTTCTACCCTAGATTTAGTTTGAAAAGTCCATCTAGCTTGTGCCTTAGAGATAGATTACTTTAGGAGAGTATTTTTCCTCAGCCTGTCATGCTTCTGTTAATCTTGCAGTGTGTGTGGTGTTTGCTGTTTTGATTTAATCTTTTTTCTTTTTACATGTTAGTTAACATAAACTTTCGAAAAAGGTTACAGTGGAGCCAAAACAAAAGTTCTTTTCATTTATGTAGCTTGTTTGTGGTAAAACAAACTAACCCACCCTATTTGTATATTAGCATTAGAAGTTTTATTCCAGATTTTTTTTTTCCCCTTGGTGTTTTAAAATGATAATGTGAACTGATAAAGCTGTAGGGAAATGGTGGGTTGAGGAGGCCCATTTGACCTCACACCACCCCACCCAATGCTCCTGACCCCAGAATTCCAAGGAACATAGAAAACAACCGATTTTCCTCAAAATCAATCATCAATTTGGTAACAACTAATGTCCTCAAAGCCCCCTCATTTTGCAGATGGAAAAATCATCAATTCCTGTGATGATAGCTGTTAAAATCAAGACAAAAACCCAGATCTGCTAACTTCCAGTCTAGTGTCCCTTGTTTTTGTTAAATAGCCTTGTCAAATGTGGCCCAAGAGGATTCTTGAAGAGGCTTAGGTATAAATAAACACTTATCACAGCTTATGGGAGGAATGAAGATATTTGCAGTATCCAGAGGCAACTGCAGGTTGTACACTAGGCCTACTGGGATTGCCCATTTCAGAATTTTCATTGATGTGGGGCATACCATCTTAAATTGTTTATAGTCTTTTGTTTTGAAGAAAATAATTACTTCATTTTATCATGAAATGTAACATCTCCTTAAAGTGGTTTGCTGTTCACCAAAATTCTTGAATGAGGGTCAGGAAAAACTGACCCAAGTTCTTTAAGAAAGAGGTAACTTTTGGTGAAAATCTTTGTTTAATTTAACAGATACTTATTTTGCATTCACTTTACTGATCATTGTGCTAATCTGGAGGGGGTATAAAAAATAAAGACTGTTATCTAAATCTATTTGGGGGAATACATGCATACAAACAATTGTAATTAAAGAAAAAATGGAACAGTGAGTGTGTGTTGAGGAAAAACAGTGAACCATCCTCAGAATTACCAGCTTTGATATGGATCACTTGGTGTTTTCCCAGCAAATTCATGATTTGATGGTGTTTAAAGTTCTGTCTATTTGTCAAGGAAGCAGAATGGTAGAGGGCTTCCCAGGTGGTGCTAATGGTAAAGAACCTGCTTGCCAATGCAGGAGGTATAAGAGACCTGGGTTCGATCTTGGGTTGGGAAAATTCCCTGGAGGAGAAAGTGGCAACTCACTCCAGTATTCTTGCCTGGCATATCCCTTGGACAGAGAAGCCTGGCGGGCTACAGTCCATAGGGTCCCAGAGTCAGACACAACTGAAGTGATTTAGCACGCATGCATACACGCACAGAATGGTAAAGCTGTTGTGAAAGTTCCATCTCTTAAGTATCATGCTTGGTGATGACAGTGAGTAGGGTTGTGTCAGGCATAGGTGAAGTGGATGGGAGGGTAGCTCAGATGGAATAACTGGTTTGACCAATGGCATTGAGCTTGGAAAACAGGTGTGTTTAGGAATTCACAACTCCATATGGTGGTAAATATAAGGTAAAGGAATAATAGGTGATAAGATGGAAGCTATGTAATGGAGGGTGTTGAACATGGGGAAGCCACTGCCATGAAAGGTTTTGGGGCAGGGGAGTGACATAAGCTTAGCTTATTTCAAGGAATATAGCAAAATGCAATCACTACTTAGGATGCATAACCCCAGTCTAATATAAATTGCTCTAATATTGCTTCTTCCTTGACTGGCTCTGCCCTGTCATTTCCTTATGTCTTGGATTCTTTTTGTCACTCTTAATGCTAACATAAATCTCTGTTTCTGCCCTCTCTGTAATTGTCCATAATGTAGAGCAGAAACATGATCATAATTTTTGGATATTTTATGTTCTTCTTAATACTGAAGAACATTTAGTCTAAATTGTTCTTTCTCATTTTTTTTTATGCCAGCAGTTTGCCGTAGAAAAGATTTCAAAACTCCATTTTACAGTGATGTTAAAAGTTGGTAGGCTATATCAGTTACACTTTTATAATTGTAATTATTTGCTCATAGTTTTACCTACATTTGAAAATTTACATGTATGTGCTCATGAAGAGCACAGCTTTGATGAATGGCTAAAGAGGTTTCTCTTCCATATGCTTTTAAAATACATTCTCAAAATACATAATCTCAAAAATATACAAGCAACTCCTCCAGCTCAACTCCAGAAAAATAAATGACCCAATCAAAAAATGGGCCAAAGAACTCAACAGACATTTCTCCAAGGAAGACATACAGATGGCTAACAAACACATGAAAAGATGCTCAACATCACTCATTATCAGAGAAATGCAAATCAAAACCACAATGAGGTACCATTACACGCCAGTCAGGATGGCTGCTATCCAAAAGTCTACAAGCAATAAATGCTGGAGAGGGTGTGGAGAAAAGGGAACCCTCTTACACTGTTGGTGGGAATGCAAATTAGTACAGCCACTATGGAAAACAGTGTGGAGATTTCTTAAAAAGCTGGAAATAGAACTGCCATATGACCCAGCAATCCCACTTCTGGGCATACACACCGAGGAAACCAGATCTGAAAGAGACACGTGCACCCCAATGTTCATCGCAGCACTGTTTATAATAGCCAGGACATGGAAGCAACCTAGATGCCCATCAGCAGACGAATGGATGAGGAAGCTGTGGTACATATACACCATGGAATATTACTCAGCCATTAAAAAGAATTCATTTGAATCAGTTCTAATGAGATGGATGAAACTGGAGCCCATTATACAGAGCGAAGTAAGCCAGAAAGATAAAGACCATTACAGTATACTAACACATATATATGGAATTTAGAAAGATGGTAACGATAACCCTATATGCAAAACAGAAAAAGAGACTCAGATGTATAGAACAGACTTGTGGACTCTGGGAGAAGGCGAGGGTGGGATGTTTCAAGAGAACAGCATCGAAACATGTATATTATCTAGGGTGAAACAGATCACCAGCCCAGGTTGGGTGCATGAGACAAGTGCTCGGGCCTGGTGCACTGGGAAGACCCAGAGGGATCGGGTGGAGAGGGAGGTGGGAGGGGGGACCGGGATGGGGAATACATGTAAATCCATGGCTAATTCATTTCAATGTATAACAAAAACTACTGTAATGATGTAAAGTAATTAGCCTCCAACTAATAAAAAAAATAAAATAAAATAAAAAAATAAAATACATTCTCTGTTGTAAAGGATAACATTCTTAACAATGGGTTCATAGTCACATCCTTCAAAGGTAAAGACACAGTGCCAAATAGCAGTGCAGGAATAATCAGTTTGGTCTAAGTACATTATTAGTCTGGCATGATTAAGGGGCATCGTTTAGAATATAGTGTATAGAGGAGTGAATAGGCCAGAAACTAAGCTTTTGATAAAAAGTTGTACAATATTGTAGAATATGGGTTAAAATAGTAGGCTGTATTCAATAATATGACCTTACAGTCTGGTTATTATTTCTTGCTTATAAAGGGCATATCCATGTGCTTTGATAGTTAACCAAGAAGAAGTAGAGATGATTGATGTTTCTTTGTGGAAAATTTAGAAGCCTAACTGGGGCATGTGTCTGAGTAGATATATGGCTGCTAGCCATCTAAGGAGATAGGCCCCTTCTGTGAGTAGGGTCAAGATTTTCATTAGGAAGTTTCAGAACTCCTCTATTAGGAGAAAACAGTGTCAAGTGCAAAACTATTATGCCATAGAGCTTGGGTGAGATAATTTAGGCCAGGAGCAGATTTAAAGTTGTTACCTGTCCAGTGTAACTCTACAGAGGATAAAAAAATAATACATCTGATTTGTTTACCATAGAATTTGTTGTAAAATATTTTCCAAGTCATGAACTAGTGATCTGTAGTACATGGTTGTTGACTAAACACCACTTAATAAGGATATCAATCAAAAATCTTTATTTTGAGGATACTTAATTTTAAGGGATTCTTTTGGGAAACAAATAGCAGGACCAATTACCTCTTAATATATGGTGATATATCATAGTGTTTAAATTCATACTAGTCTGATTAGCTAGACATGCATTCTTCTTATCCAGAGGAATTCTTAGTTTATTAAGGAGTGAAAAGGTAATGGTAAAGTATGTCCCTGTTATTTTGTTGCTTAGAAGTTTTAGCCTAATATAATCTAGTACTGTTAAATTTATAGCATCTAAATCTTGTTTGTTAAATAAATAAAGGAAATAAAAATCCCTGAACAATTTTTAAAAGGTCAGTAGACTTGATTCTGAGTATATTGCAAGGCCTTGGTAGCACTTCTGTACTTTAGATTTTTTTACTACAAATAACATGTGTCGCAATTACATAATTAAATAGTGCCTTTTTTCTGATTTCCCTTTGGAAAATAAGTCTTAATTAGCTATTTGTTCAGAAGACTTACACTGTTCTACAACGTTGATTTACTTTTTTCCTCCATAAATTAACTGCCTGTTAAGAGCCTTTTCTGTCTATACTTAAATCTATTGGGTGATGCTTACTCCTTGGAAGGAAAGCTATGACAAACCTTGACATTGTATTAAAAAGCAGAGACATCACTTTGCCAAGAAAGGTCCATATAGTCAAGGCCATGATTTTTCCAGTAGTCATATACAGATGTGAGAGTTGGACCATAGAGAAGTCTTAGTGCCAAAGAATTGATGCTTTCACACTGTGGTACTGGAAAAGACTCTTAAGAGTCCCTTGGACAGTAAGGAGATCAAACTGGTCAATCCTAAAGGAAATTAACCCTGAATATTCATCAGACTGATGCTAAAACTGAAGCTCTGATGCGAACAGCCCACTCATTGGAAAAGACTGTGATGCTGGGAAAGATTGAGGGCAGGAAGAGAAGGGGGTGACAGAGGACGAGATTGTTAGATAACATCACTGAATCAATGGACATGAGTTTGAGCAAACCCCGGGAGATAGTGGAGGACAGAGGAGCCTGGTGTGCAACAGTCCTTGGGGTCGCAAAGAGTTGGACACAACTTAGTGACTGAGTAACAATGAATTTATTAACAAATGAATTTGGGAAGCTCATTATATGAATGTTAGATAACAAGAAGTATGAGAAGAAGATTTCTGCCTTCAAGGGTAGAACATTATTAATGTGGAGAGATTTAAAAGAGCCAGTTGATTATACCTTTCTTAAATTACGTATTGAATAAAATTTTCTGTGTGACTCCAAGTGTCATCAGAGTGAATGAAACCTAAAAACTGCTTTTAAAATTTCCAGGAGAGAGAAATGTCAGTGAGAAATCTAGTATTACCAGAATTTAACAATTAAATACTGCATTTAAGTTATGACTGTTGATCAGTTTTTTGTAAAATGCAAAGAAATACCTGGACCCTTTTGACAACATTTTTGTTTTCAGCGGTTAATAACATTTTTGCTTTTGAAATAACCATTATATTTATTGATAAAATTGATAAGTAATTTTAGTTTGTGTTTCAGAACCAGTATTATAGAGACCTGGATTTTAGTCTTCCTCTGAGTTATATAATCTTGGGCTCTGACTGCTAGGTTTGTTGTGAGGATTAAATGAAATTCTATGAGTAAAGTACCTGGAACAGTACCTGGAACATAGCAACTGTTCAGTAGAGATGAACTGTTTTTATTACAGTGAACATTATATCACACTATGAAATGAAAGATTATTTAAAGAGAAGAAGATTTGTTATAAATCAATATGACTAGTAAGAATTTGACCTGCTAAGGCAAGGGAACTAGTATTTATGGTGTAATCATCCTACAGGTAGCTAGAGGTATTCTCATTTTATAGAGAGAATGAGGCTAAGGGTGGTTAATGTACTGCCTTAGATCATAGCATTTGTAAACAGTGTTACAGGAATTCAGCCTTACATCCTTTCTACTGTTTATTTACTGTCTTTTTCTAGTTCCTGGAGAATCTAGTGTAGGTTTTCCCAACTTTTTTTCCCCCAAAGAAGCTGTATATGTGTGTTGCTGAAATTTGGCCTCTGTATACTGGTGCTGGATTAAATCTCAGAGTCAGAGTTTTGGGTGAAGTAGAGAGAAATAATTTCATTGCTTTGCCAGCCTAGGGGGGCTAATGCCCTCAAGACTGTGTGTCCCACTTTGGAGAGAGTCTTATAGTGTTTAAAGGGCAGGGTGTGATCAGCTCACAGACATTCTTCTCATTGGTTGGTTGGTGGTGGGGTAATGGAGAGTCAGCGTCATCACCCTTCTGGTTCCAGCTGGTCTGCGGTCTGTGTACTAGTAGACAGCATACAGTTAACTTCTTCCCTGTTATAGGGGATTCAGTATCTGCAGAAGAGTTCAGAGGACATGGCTCAGAATATTATCTGTAGCTCTTGAGGAAGAACTAAAGGTCCTTGACTTTGTGTAATGGCTAAACTATTATTTTGTCTTGCCTGAATGTTTTAATACAGTTACATCTTTTATTTGAGGTTATTATTAATATTTGAGCCTACAGTTCATGAAATCTTTGATTAATTTTGTGCAGTTTTTAAAAACAAACTATTATTTATAAAGTCATAGTTTCTATGATGCACAAGTTCAAATACTAGTGTGATATTTTAATGCATTATAACTTGAACATTTTACTATGTATATTTTAGTATACACTTATGGCATATTGGGGTAAAGTTTTACTCTGTAAATGGCATGTGCTCTTCTTGGCATAAAATCTTTTTGTTGTTATACAACTGGGATGTAGAAATTCAGATTGTTTTGGAATGCCAAGCTGAAATACTATAGTGGCATCAGCTTTTTTTCTTTGTTTTGTCAATGTTTTATTGCTTTTAAAATATAATTCCCTTTTATCATAGAATTCTATTTTAAAATCATTTGAGTTACTTTAACTTTGGAAAAGGATTTGACTTAAAACTTTAGCAAAGTTTTTAAAAAATTGACTAAAAACTTTTTTTTTTTTTTTGTAATTGATATCTTTAGATCCAAAAGCAGAAACTAGATTATACATCACAGTCAATGACTTTGAATTTCATGTGTATAATCGTTCGGATCTTTATGGACATCTTCAAGAATTGTTTGGTTTGGAGCCAACAATAATTCCACCCAAGAAAGAAGATGATAAAACACGAGAAAATGGAAGAGCAAGAACCCAGTCCAAAATCGAAAGGTTGATGTCACACTTGAACTTTATTAATCTCCAACATTTAAACATCTGCTTTTATTAGAGGAGTATTAACGCTATTCACCTGAGCACAGCCTAATCTTTCTTTGTAGATTAACTAGAACTTTTATTCTCATAAGTAATTATAAAATTCTTTAAAAGTTATATAGAATAATATAGACTAGAATTATGTAAAATATATAGAATTATGTAAAAAGATTAGCTCTCAGCTTAAGCTGTCCAGTCTGCTGTGCTTACCAGTTCTACTTCTCTTGGGTTGATAACTACTGCTATCAATTTGTTTTTTATTATTTTAAATACACACACGTAAGTCTAAACATTATTTTTCATGCAAAGTTAAAAGCACATTGTATTTCCTTCCTGACCACTTGCCCAGTCTCCGTCTCTTTGAGAAAGAAAAGCTTCATCTAATTTCATATGATTGATGACTTTCATTTATAACTTTATTGCTACTTCTGTCTTGGGTATTCTTTTGGAAAAGGTGTATGGATTCATTACATGTTCTAATGTATTGTCTATAGATTATAAGATAAAGTCAAGCATGTATCTGCTGATACTTTTTAAGTTGACCTGTCTTTATACTTAGAAATGTCTCTTAATAGTAGGCTTCCCTGGTGGTTCAGATGGTAAAGACTGTCCTGCAATCCAGGATCCCTGGGTCGGGAAGATCCCTTGGAGAAGGAAATGGCAACCCACTCCAGTAATCTTGCCTGGAGAATTCCATGAACAGAGGAGCCTGTCAGGCTACAGTCCATGGGGTTGCAAAGAGTCAGGCATGACTGAGCAACTATCACTCACAAGTCTAAAAATACATATACATAGTTAAGGTGCATATACAATTACATAATTCAATTTTATTGGTTTCTAGGTTCTGGGTTCTGTTTCATTGACCTATTCATTTTCTTTCACCAATACCACAGTGTGTTGATTTCTGTAGCTTTGTGGTTAAGTCTTGAAATTAACTGATGTCATTCCTCCAACTTTGCTTTTCTCCTTCATTATTTTCTTGGCTATTCTTGATCTTCTGCTTCTTCAAATAAACTTTAGAATCCATTTGCCGACATTCACAGAATAGCTTATTGAGATTTCAATAGGGATTGCATTGAATCTATAAATCAAGTTGGGAAGACTTGACATCTTGACAGTATTGTGTCTTCCTATCAATGAACATGGAATGTCTGTCTAATTATTTAGTTCTCTTTGATATCTTTCATAAGAGTTTTATAGTTTTCCTTACATAGATCTTATATAAAAATTGTTAAATATACACCCAAGTATTTAATTTTCTGTGGTGGTAAAGTATAGTAATATGTTTTAAATTTCAAAATCCATTTGCTCATTACTATTACATAGGAAAGTGATTGATATTTGTATATTACTAATCTTGTATCTTGCAACCTTGCTGTAGTTACTCATTAGTTCTAAGACTATTTTTGGTTACTTCTTTGCAATTTTTCTACATGGATGATTGTGTCAGCTTCAAGGAAAGACTCTTATTTCATCTATTTCTTCCTTCCCAGTCTGTATACCTTTTATTTCCTTTTTTTTTTTTTAATCTTATTGCAGTAGCTAGAACACTTCTAGTATAAATTTGGAGAAGAGTGATGACAAGGAACATCCTTGCTTTGTACCTAGTCTTTGTGGGAAAACTTCGGGTTTCTCACTATTAAGTATGATATTAACTGTAGTTTTTTTGGTAGATATTCTTTATCAAGTTGAGGAAATTCCCCTCTATTCATAGTTTACCACGAGGTTTTAATCATGAGTAAGCGTTGGATTTTGTCAAATTTTTTTGTATCTCTTGGTACGAGCCTTTGATTTTTCACTTATAGGCTGTTGATTTTTGAATGTTGAAGCGGCCTTGTACACAAAATAGTTTTTGTGTTTTTTTAGATTAATTAATTTATGTATGGCTGTGTTGGGTCTGCATTGCTGCATGTGAGCTTTTTCTAGTTGCAGTGCCTGGGCTTCTCATTTCAGTGGCTTCTCTTGTAGGGCACAGGTTCCACGGCACGCAGACTTCAGGAGTTGTGGTGCATAGGCTCTAGAGCTCAGGTTCAGTAGTTGTGGTACACAGGCTTAGTTGGTCTGAGGCATATGGGATCATCCTGGGTGAGAGCTCAAACCAAAATCCTCTACATTGCAAGGCGGACCCCTTAACCACTGGACCACCAGGGAAGCCACCTTTTTTTTTTTTTTAAAGTAGATGATGAGGATGTTTATTTCTCAGTTAAATATGTAATGCATATTATGTCCCAGGCACTGAGCTTAGGTACTGGAGATAGAATATGACAACTTCTTGGGGGAATTTACAGCCTACTATGGGAATTCGAACACGTAATAGACAATTTTAGTGCAAGAAATATAACAGGGACAAAACAATTCTCTGGGCACATACAGAAGGATCAGAAAAGTTTGAAGCCTTAAGGATAAATGACTTAAGCAGAGAAGGAGATGCAGGGTCATGGAGAAGAAATGTCATATACAATAGAGAAGTTGTTACTGAGGCTGGAGTGGATTACTTGAGGTGGGGATAAATTAAACTAACATGGTTAGCAGGATTCGCTGTTAGAAATGTGGCCTTACCCCAGGTCAGCAGTGCTGTGTTATGATTGGAGGGAAGTAAGACTGGAGGCAGGGAGACAAGATAAAAGGATGTTATAACAGTTCAGGGTAGAGATGATCATCAGCTGGCTTGTCAGCAAGAGGAAGGGAGAAAAGTGGATGGATTCCAGATACCCTTAGGCAAATTGATGCTTAGGAGATGATGGAGTATATGTGGAGAATGAATAAGAAGAGCCTGTCAACAATGAATCCAAATTTCTAATTTAAACAGTGGTCATGCTTAGTTTTAGAAGGGATGACAAAGGACAAGATGGATGGCATCACCGATTCGATATGAGTTTGAGCAAGCTCTGGGAGATGATGAAGGACAGGGAAGCCTGGCGTGCTGCAGTCCATGGGCTCACAAACAGTTGGACACGGCTGAGCGACTGGAGAACAACACGCTTAGTTGGCTTCCCAGGTGGCGTGAGTGGTAAACAATCTGCCTGCAATGCAGATTGACCCAGGTTGGATCCCTGGGTCGGGGAAGTTCACCTGGAGGAGAGGGCATGGCAACCCACTCCAGGATTCTTGCCTGGAGAATCCCACGGACAGAGGAGCCTGGATGGCTACAGTCCATAGGGTTGCAGAGAGTTAGACATGACTGAAGCAACTTGGCATGCACGCAGGAAACCTTGGAGAAAGAGGTTAGGGGCTGGTTGTGAGGTTAGTTTTGAGTTTAGTTTTAAGCACTGAGGCTGCTGCTGCTGCTAAGTTGCTTCAGTTGTGTCTGACTCTGTGCGACCCCATAGATGGCAGCCCACCAGGTTCTGCCATCCATGGGATTCTCCAGGGAAGAACACTGGAGTGGGTTGCCATTTCCTTCTCCAATGCACGAAGTTGCTCCGTCATGTCTGATTCTTCACAACCCCATGGACTGCAGCCTACCAAGCTCCTCCGTCCATGGGATTTTCCAAGCAAGAGTATTGGAGTGGGATGTCATTGCCTTCTCTGATAAGCACTGAGGGCCACCTTACAAATAAAGCTCTAGAAGTATGATTTAGGAGTTACCGAATTATTAAAGAGATGTGCCTCAAGTTTTCAAATGAAATCTTTAGTTAATTGCTGTGAATTTTTCATTTCTTGAATTTTGTGTACTTTGTGTGTGGCCAGTTTCTTTGGAAGGAAAGTTATGACCAACCTGGACAACATATTAAAAAGCAGACACATTACTTTGCCAACAAAGGTCTGTCTAGTCAAGGCTGTGATTTTTCCAGTAGTCACATATGGATGTGAGAGTTGGACTATGAAGAAAGCTGAGCACCGAAGAATTGATGCTTTGGAACTGTGGTGTTGGAGAAGACTCTTGAGAGTCCCTTGTATTGCTTGGAGATCCAACCACTCCATCCTAAAGGAAGTCAGTCTTGAGTGTTCATTGGAATCTGAAACTCCAGTACTTTTGTCACCTGATGCGAAGAGCTGATTCATTTGAAAAGACCCTGGTTCTGGGAAAGATTGAAGGCAGGAGGAGAAGGGGATGACAGAGGATGAGATGGCTGGATGGCATCACCGACTCAGTAGACATGAGTTTGGGTAAACTCCAGAAATTGGTGATAGATAGGGAGGCCTGGCATGCTGTGGTCCATGGGGTCGCAAAGAGTTGGACATGACTGAGTGACTGAACTGAACTGAATTTCTTTTTTTTTTTTTTAACTCTTGGTCTATATTTTTTAATTTTATTAAAAGAAAATTATTTTGTCACCAAGTGGTGGGAGTAGGGAAAGAAAAGGATAAGCTGAACTGTTAGAAGTACTTGAAACACTTAAAACATCTAAGTGACTTGTATCTTGGTCATTTTTGTTTTAATTATAATTTTTGCTGTTTTGTAAAATGTTACATTTTCATGTCATGGACATAATGATAGATATAATGACAGCACATGAAAATTTAGACTTTTGTCATTAAAGTTTGCCATTCTAAAAATATGCTTTTCTGTTATAGCTTCTTATGTAAAAACTGATATGTGATAATAGTCCATTTTATGAGACATTTTAGGGATATCAGTGTTCCGTTAGATAGTCCTTGTTTTGTTACTGAATAGTCTTTAGCTATATTTGTAAAGGTACAGCTGATATTAATGATGTGTATTGTGAGAAAGTCAACAGTATTCTCAGGTACTTATTCTCATTTTCTCATATATGTCAATTTTTGTTTTTTCTTTTTAGAGTTAAAGTAAAAACAGAATCTCAAGACCCTACATCTTCATGGAGATCACTTATTCCTGTCATAAAGGTCAATGTGAGCACAGTAAGTAAATTCTGCTATAGTTGATAATTGATGCTATTACCCAATAGCAGAACCTTTTAATTTTGCGGATACAGTTTCACTTAAGAACAAAAAGTAATTATGTAGTTTCTGGGCTACATTTTTTGTTTAGTGAAAGAACTATTTCAACACCAAGACCATTTTAGCACAAATATGTACACCTTAAAGCCTGCTTATTTATTCACAGGTGCTTGCATTTCTTTAAACACTGGTCCAAATTGATTGGTGTGCATGTGTGGTCAGTCATGTCTGACTCTTTGCAACCCCATGAACTATGGCCTGCCAGTCCTCCTCTGTCCACTGGATTTTTCCAGTGTTTCTCCAAAATACTGGAGTGGGTTGCCATTTTCTTCCCCAGGGAATCTTCCTGATCCAGGAGTCGAATCTGCTCCTGCATTGGCAGGTGGATTCTTTAGCACTGAATCATCTGGGAAGCCAAAATGGAGCAACCTAAATAGTATTATTTACTGCTAAAATGGAATTATTTAGTAGTTGCTTGAAAATGCTTGTTATTCGGTCAGCTAAGGAAAAAAAAAATGTCCTAGATAGCATGGCATAGTATCTCTTTATCTGTTTTTTTTTTTTAGGGGCGTTTGGCCTTTGGAAATCATTACCAACCTCAAACTCTGTGCATCAACTTTGATGATGCTTTCTTAACTTATACTACAAAACCACCTTCCAGTCATCTTGACCAGTTCATGCACATTGTGAAAGGAAAGCTTGAAAATGTTCGAGTCATGCTTGTTCCTAGTCCAAGATATGTTGGTCTTCAAAATGATGAGTAAGAAAGTCATAAAAATAACAGATAACTTCTTTATATGTAATATAACTATCATTTAGAATCTTTAGTATCCTTTTAATTTCTTTGCTGTAAGTTTGGCAATAATTAGTTTTATCTCTATATTAAATCAGTTGATAGTATTCCTGCTTTATAATATAAATGGAGTTTATCCGTTGGTATACTCCTATTTAAATATTTTTTCTACAAATTTATAACTATAATTTTTCTATCCTTTTCTTAGAGTATTTGGGAAATTTATTTTGGGCAGTTAAGCCTCGATGTTTGTATGTTAGAAAATACACTTTACAGGTAGGTTTTTACTTCCAGAAGAGATGGGTGAATAGTAAATTTAACAAATTCATTATGGTGAAATACCATTTGAGTTAATGAAAAGTTGAAAATGAAATCAAAATTAATCTCAGAAAACTGATGGAGTTAAGACAGTTTTGGGGCTTGTTTGACATTTAAGTCCCAGTCAGTTTTCCACCTAGCTTTCCAGATTTACTTTCCTTCATTGAAGAGGCTGCCTGCATTTAGGAGACATATTGTAATGATGCACACTAGAGCTCTCATTGTGGTGGGATGCTTCCATTCTAGAGGACTGTGACCCTCAGTTAACAGCAGACGCATATATCCCATCTGACTCCAGTCCACATGCTCATGAGTTATATTAGGGCTCTTTTAATTTTTATTATTCTCAATCTCTGTTGTTTTTTGTGAAGGAATCTCTGTGGTTAAATTTGTATAATGAAAGTACTCATATGATGAGTTTCTGCTGTGTCTCAGCTTTTAGCTTTGTGTGTAGGCAGTATAAGGTTTGAGGTTATGAGAAGCATGATTCTTCCTTTTTAGTTCCAGCTTTTGAATAGCTTGCGATTAGATTTTCTAGGGCTTGGCTAGAGTGACATAGTCATTTTCTCTGCTTGTGTACCAGGGAGGCTGTGGATCTACCTGGTTTCACTCTTCAGATCACTGCATTTGCTAAGCATCTTGGAATGTATTCTGTGCACACAGTTCTGTATTTATGGGTACAAGGTGTAATACTGAAAAAATAAATCCCGGATTTTGTGAAAATTACTAGAGAGTAAAGTGAAAAACAATCCCACTGTTTTTGTAAGAAGAATTAAAGCTATATTTTTCACTCTTCAAAAGTAAGCGTGGAGATTGTATGATGAAATTAAATGCTAAACTTTATGATTTAGTATACATTTAGAAGAAGACTGTTGAATTTGTATGTGCTATATTATCTCATGATTAAGATGTTAATTTTGATATGGAAGGAAGATATTGTGGTATATGACAAAGATAAAGGTTGTTAAATTAAAGTGAGTGGGAAATGGTTTGATGGCACAGAAACACTCATTCCAGAATGAGTTCAAGATGTGTGCTTTAAATTTATTTCAATTTATTTCAAGTTGATCAACTAAGTATTCTTGTTTTTTTTTTTAACTAAGTATTCTTGAAAATAGATAATATAAGGTTGTTGAAAATGACAAGATTTTTTTCTTATTTAATGTTTCTAAAAGGTTATACTTTATTTTACAGTATATAAGGTGATATTTCTCAATCAGTTTTATAGTATTATTATAAATTGGTTGAATTCGAAGTCTAATTTTAAACTTATTGTTGCAAATGCAGAATATGCTCATTCTATTCCAGTGAACATTGTTCTTCATTGTATTTAATTAAGCTTTGTTTTAAATTGATTTCTCTTGTTCAAAACAAAATGAAAAATGCAAAACATGGTTTTCTTTCTTAAAGCAGTTTACTGATCAAAAATTTTTCAGTGCCCATTTTTTAAATACTCTAATATAGAAAGCAGTTATGGAACAATTTACTGTAAATGTGAAAGATGTTTTCCCTTTTCAAGATGCTACACTTGATTGCTTTTTAGTGTTCTTTCTTTTTTCTTTTTTTGCTTTTACCTATTACCAGCATTCATTAAAATACCAAACATTTTATATTCTGGAGATGTACTTAGTTTTCCTTCTTCCTTCCTTTGTGTAGACCACCAAGATTAATGGGAGAAGGTTTTGTGGTGATGCAGTCAAATGATGTTGACATCTACTATTACATGGATGAGCCAGGTATTATTTTTTAAAATATGTTTTATAGCTACAATTCTGTTTCTTCTATGAAATATACAAAATATTATTTAATATTATTATTATTTAATATAATCAATATAATTTATAATTAATTATATTTTAAATTATTATTTAAATAAATAATATTGTTTAAGTATCTTTACTTAGGATATAAGTAAGCATCAATAATGGTAAATGTGCATGTGAGAATGCCTACCTAAAGAATATCTGTGTCATTCATCTAAACTTGAATATTAATACTTCAGTATTTCATATCAAAAAAGAACAATATAGTAATCTTTCTTCAGATTCCATTTTTGCAAGTGCACTTCAGAAATTGTGAATACAGACGACCATGAGTGAAAGCCATTAGAGAATGTGGTGGTCGTTAAAGTGGTTCATGCTGACTTAGGGGAAAAAAGTCACACTGAGTTAGATTTGAGGCTTGAAGTTTAAGGATTGAAGTCTAGCTAGTCATAGTGCTTCACAGGTGGTCTCAGTTTTATAAAGTAGCTAAATATTGGATTTCTAGTCATTTTTTCCTAATTCTCATTTTCATACCTTTCAGGAGGTTTATGAGGTCAGAGTATTTTCAGAAATAGCATGTTATTTGCCGTTTTTTTTGTCATGTTGAACTGATGATGTAAAAGTTATGGTGGACAAAACTACTGGTGCTTTAGCATGAATCAAAGGCAGTGATTTCCAAACTATAGCAGTAATCTCTTGTCTTTTTTCACTGCCACACATTTGCAATAACAACAGATGCCAGTATACTTTACTGTGTCTTTGATTAAGCAGTAAAAATTACTTTTATCAAATCTTGACCCTTGAGTAAACTTTTAAATATTCACTTATTAAAGTAAGTACACATAATGTACTTCTGCCCCATATCAGAGTACACTGATGTTTTGAGGAAAATCACTGTGTGATTGAGTTCCAAGCTGAATTGTTCGCACTTTTTAAGGAACACCAGTTTTGCTTGAAAGAGCAACTAGAGACAAACTATGGTTTTGTGCTTTCATGTGAAAATTAGAATTTTGAAAAACTTGAGTCTGCCACTGTGAGCTTGATGACTTCTGATGAGACTACCAGTGATATTAACAATATGAATTTTTAAATATTTAATAATGAAATTTGTCTGCTTGGGAAAAGTATGCATGTTTCAGTGAACCCATATTTTCCAAATGATCAATTCATGATGTCTGTAAAAGATTTATTCAAAGTGCAAAGGTGATCAATAAATTTTAATATATCAGAATATGAAAGTTCAGAAATATAATTTCAGATTCCACATTGCAAGTATTCTCTTAAGAAATTACCACTTGTTGAAATTTGGTGTAGTGTCAAAGAATATCCAAAATTATCTGAAAAAGCAGTTGAAATAGTCCTCCCTTTTCTATTTGTATGAGGCTAGATTTTCTTCCGATTCTTGAGTAACAAGATTAAATGCAGAAACAACTATGAGAATTCACTTGTTTTCTATTATGCTCAATATTTAAGAGATTTGCCAAGATAAAAACAATGCCAATGTTTCTTACTAATTTGTTTTAGAAAGTAGTAATTATTTAATATTTTAAGTAAAAATTAAAGTTTTATATTTTCATTAAAATGTAGTTTTTTTGCATCATATTTTCAGTAAATCTTAGACATTTGGTTTTGTCAACATGTAATGAGTTTTATTTAAAAATAAATTTTAAAATATTGCTCAATTCAAACTTTAAATTCAGTAAAATTTTATAGATATAATACAAAAAAATTTCCTACTTTGGTGTCCTCAATAATTTTTTAGTGTGTATAGGATTCCTTAGATCAAAAAATTTTTAGAACCATTGATCTAGGGAAGCCTTTTAATGGTTATTTTAAGTAGCTACCTTCATATTGTATATTCTGCAATATAGGACTTGTTCCAGAAGAAACAGAAGAAAATATTGAAGGAGAAATAAGCACTGAAGATTGCAAATTACAAGACTTGCCTCCATGTTGGGGATTGGATATAGTTTGTGGTAAAGGAACAGATTTCAACTATGGGCCATGGGCTGATAGGCAGAGGTACTTGATTAAATTATATTTCTACTAAGTCAAATGTATTGGGAAAATGCTATAATTTTTATTAAAAACTAGCTCAGTGTTTTTATAAGCTATTTTATTATGACAAGGTAAGATATCACTGAACATTTTGATCCAAATAATTTGTAAAACAATTGATATAGGCAAGTTTGCTCTAAAGGAGGAGCTAATTCATTAGAAAAGTGGTGAATGAGCAGCGTATTATTGGTTCATTGACTTTTTCTTTTGTATTTAATCAGTGAATATGCCAGGGATTGTTAGGATTATGGAGATTCAGAGCTAAAAGTTGAGTTTAGGGAAAAAGAAACAAAAGAGTTTTATTAAGATGAAGAGCTTAGAAAAGCACTGTGTTAGTTTACTAAGGCTGCCATAACAAAGTACCAGTGACTTTGTGGCTTAAACAGCAGAAATTTCTCATAGTTCTGATGGTTAGAATTCTAAGACCAGGGTGTTGGCAGGATTGGTTCCTTCTGAGGGCCATGAGGGAAGGATGTGTTCAAGGCCTGTCTCCTTGGGCTGTAGATGGTCATTCTGTATATTCACATGATCTTCCCTCTTAATATGTTTTATAGGTCTCTGTGTCCAGATTTCCTCTTCTTAGAAGAACGCCAGACATACTGGGCTAGGGTCCACCCTATTGATCTCTTTTTAACTTAATTCTCTAAAGACTGTCTAACTATAGCTAATTCTGAGGTACTGAAGATTTAGTTCAGTCACTCAGTCGTGTCCGACTCTTTGCGACCCCATGAACCACAGCACGCCAGGCCTCCCTGTCCATCACCAACTCCCGGAGTTTACTCAAATTCATGTCCATCGAGTCGGTGATGCCATCCAGCCATCTTATCCTCTGTCGTCCCCTTCTCCTCCTGCCCCAGTCCCTCCCAGCATCAGGGTCTTTTCCAATGAGTCAACTCTTCGCATCAGGTGGCCAAAGTATTGGAGTTTCAGCTTTAGCATCAGTCCTTCCAAAGAACACCTGGGACTGATCTCCTTTAGGATGGACTGGTTGGTTATCCTTGCAGTCCAAGGGACTCTCAAGAGTCTTCTCCAACACCACAGTTCAAAAGCATCAATTTTTCGGCACTCAGCCTTCTTCACAGTCCAACTCTCACATCCATACATGACCACTGGAAAAACCATAGTCTTGACTAGACGGACCTTTGTTGGCAAAGTAATGTCTCTGCCTTTTAATATGCTATCTAGGTTGTCATAACTTTCCTTCCAAGGAGTAAGCGTCTTTTAATTTCATGGCTGCAGTCACCATCTGCAGTGATTTTGGAGCCCCCAAAAATAAAGTCTGACACTGTTTCCACTGTCTCCCCATCTATTTCCCATGAGGTGATGGGACCAGATGCCATGATCTTAGTTTTCTGAATGTTGAGCTTTAAGCCAACTTTTTCACTCTCCTCTTTCACTTTCATCAAGAGGCTTTTTAGTTCCTCTTCACTTTCTGCCATAAGGGTGGTGTCATCTGCATATCTGAGGTTATTGATATTTCTCCCGGCAATCTTGATTCCAGCTTGTGCTTCTTCCAGCCCAGCGTTTCTCATGATGTACTCTGCATATAAGTTAAATAAGCAGGGTGACAATATACAGCCTTGACGTACTCCTTTTCCTATTTGGAACCAGTCTGTTGTTCCATGTCCAGTTCTAACTGTTGCTTCCTGACCTGCATACAGGTTTCTCAAGAGGCAGGTCAGGTGGTCTGGTATTCCCATCTCTTTCAGAATTTTCCACAGTTTATTGTGATCCACACAGTCAAAGGCTTTGGCATAGTCAATAAAGCACAAATAGATGTTTTTCTGGAGATTTCTTGCTTTTTCAATGATCCAACAGATGTTGGCAATTTGATCTCTGGTTCCTCTGAAGATAGGACATATGAATTTTAAGGGGACAGAGTTTAGCTCATAACAGGTTCATAACTCATATTGAAGAGGAGAGAATTGGAGAATGCTTTTTGGTTGTGGTAATATGTGAGTTGAGTTTTGAAAAATAAGTAAGAATTAGCCAGTAAAGGAAGGAAGGAAGGAATAGTCAAAGCAAGGGAGGAGTCCTTCAAATGCATGATGAAGTCTAGAATTGTCTTAATAAGCTCTGTAGGTTGCTAAGAGATTCGTAGGTTTTATACTGGAGGTAATGGGTAGTCCCTGAAAGGTAAAAAGGGTTTTTTTATTTCTTAGTTATTCTATTGATTTTGAAGGAGTTTTCTTATCTTTAATATATTATGAACATCTATATTTACTGAAGAATTTTAAACATAGGAGGTGTCATTTACCACTATTTAAGAGAGAACATCTAAATTTTTATGTAAATATACATTGGTTAAAGCTAGTTTAGTTTTTCATAAACTAGCTTGAATGGAAAATACAAGCTAAAAAAAACAAACAAAAAAAGAAAATACAAGCTAAACTGTTGCAGAGGCAGATATGAGAGTGCTGATTCTGACTTGATATACTGACTATTGTTTTAAAAAGTGATTTCTGCCCAGCATTATTAAAATTATATACTTTGTCAAGTACTACATTCTTTTAACCTTGGTATCTCTAGTATATAGGCATACCTGTTCCATTAAGTAGCTATTTAAATAACAGTTGAATGGTAAATGTGTAATTAAGTATGTTAGTTGAAAACTTGCAATATACTAATATGATACTTAAGTTCTGAGTTAGATCTGTAGAGTTGAAGTAAACAGCTTAAAATTTCAGGTTAGGAAACAAGTATTTTTCAAATTATTGGATTTAAATTTTCCTTTGATGATAAAATTTTTCATACAGTAAACCATGCTGCTTTTTCTGTGGAATAGTTGAAAGTGAGGAGCTCTACATTCCATTCAGTAACAGTTATATTTGAAAGGAAAAAATTAAAGCAATGCTTTAACACAGACACATAAAATATTTTTGCATTTTAGCATTTGAATAAAGTACAATTCTTCTTAAGTTGTATTTAATTTTAATGCATTAAGAAAAAGTATTAGGCTATATTTACATGAAAATCCAAGCCAAAATTCCTTTAGCATATAGTCATAGAGAAATGATACTGAAGATCATGTAAAAAAAACAGTTGTTTTTACCAACTCCATTCTGTTAGTCCTGCCACTGCTACGAGAGAACAGCAATACATTTCTTAACCTGAACTTAACAAAAGCATTCAGATTTATTAAAAAGAAAGAAGAAAAATTTATCATTTGAGTTTAGTTTCCTTTTGTGAGTAGCAATAGTACTTATCTCCTCTTACATACTCAAATTGTGCATTTCCTTTTCTGTAGCCATTTCCTTTACTCCTTCCCCATATTGAGTTTCTAAACAAATATGAACTGTTATCAGAAATGTTAATTAGGTCAGTTTTTTTAAACATTTATCTGTTAGTGTAAAAAAGGTAGGAGAAGATCTCACCTGTTTTATTATTGGATAGTTTACTCAGCATGGTGAGTTTGGTTTTTTTTTTTTGGTAATATTATTTGGCTGCATTGGGTCTTAACTGTGGGTAATGGGCCCAGTTCCTCTGGAGCACGTGGGGTCTTTGATCCCCAACCAGGGATCGAACCTGTGTCCCCTGCATTACAAGGTGGATTCTTAACCATTGGACCACTAGAGATGTTTTTAACCTCTGATTTGTCATGACCTTATTTAGCTTATAGATTTTTTATGTCTGTCACCTTTACATGATTTTCTCAATCTTTAAGATATTCAGCTTTTCTTTTTAAGTGTTTTCATGACAGTTGAAATCCAAACTTTATAAATTTGTACTTACTCTTTAATGATAAACTATAATAATGCTAATATTCCTGACATTTTCTGGCCTTTTATTGCTTTCACTTAAGTGCTTTCAGGGCTTTCTAGGTGGTGCTAGTGGTAAAGAATCAGCCTGCCAGTGAAGGAGACACTAGAGACATGGGTTTGGTCTCTGGGGTAGGAATATCCCCTGGAGGAGGACATAGCAACCCACTCTAGTATTCTTGCCTGGAGAATTCCATGAAAGAAGAGCCTTGCAGGTTACAGTCCATGGGGTCGCAGAGATTCAGACATGACTGAAGCAACTTAGCACTTAAGTACTTTCATTTATAGTTTCACAACTCAGTGAGAAACACAAGGACAAGTGTGGTGAACTGGTTATACCTGTGAAAGAATGGAGATGCAGAGAGGTTCAGTGATTTGGGCAAGATAATGAAGCTGTACCATCTGGAGCCAAGATTCAAAGCAACCCTTCAAGTCTACTGCTCTTTTCATTGAATCCTGCTGCCCATTTTTTAGTCCCTGATCATCTAATGATCAGATGGATTCTTTGTCTTTAATATCTTAGTTATATATATTTGTGTGTCTTCACCAAAACATTTATAAATTTAATTTTCTTTAAATGTTGTTAATGATAACAGTTTAAAGTCTAAAATCAATCAGTTTGCAATTTGGTTCTGTTCATCTAATTTTTCTCTGTTCATTCCAAGCAGCATTTCCAGTTACTCATGACTCCTTCCTCATCTTTTCCTTTTAAAAGTCACAAACTGATGCTTTTTCTGAATATATGAGTAACATCCTAATTTTTTAATTACATAGAAAAGTCTGAATTGAAAATTTCTTGGTTTCTTTCATCTTTTGTCAGATAAGGGGAGGCAAATATATTCAAGCTCTGACTTCCAAATACTTGCATCTTTTTACACACCTGTTACTCTTTAGACTCTTATTGTTACCATATTGATTAAAAATGATTATAAAAATAATAGAATAACATTTCTTTCCATGTGCCATATACTACCAAGTGTTTGATGTGTGTTGTCATTTAATTCTTGGATCTATTCTCTGAGACTGGTTATGATAAACCTCATTTACAAGTGAGGAAGCAGGCAAGTATCCTCAGAAAGGTTAAGTAATTATCCAGAAAGGAAAAATGATTCTAATTAAACCATTCCCCTTCAACTCTTTCTTTGCCATTTGGACATTTGATATACTTGTAGAAAGTCTTTATTTTCTCACAGTATTGGGTGAATAGTGTAAACTTGGTCTTACCCACATCTTATTTTATAGCAGTATATTAAATGCTCAAAGCTCATTGATCTCTGAAAATAGAAAACATTGGAGAAAATAGTCTTTCATTTTACTGAAAGGAAACTATAGTAGGTGTTATTTTGTCACTTATTTTTTTGAAATTTATGTCCAATTGTTAAATGAGATAGCAATGATAATATCAGTATAAAGTTATACTGATTTTAGTCTTTTTTATGAGAAGCAATTTTATTTGAATAACTTGTCATTATTCTTTCTTCCTCCTTATTTAGAGATTGTTTGTGGAAGTTCTTCTTCCCTCCTGATTATCAAGTTCTGAAAGTTTCTGAAATTGCACAGCCTGGGAGACCAAGACAGATCCTTGCTTTTGAACTACGAATGAATATTATTGCAGATGCTACAATTGACTTGTTGTTTACCAAAAATAGGGTAATTATTGAAATAATATAGTAGAAAGTAGTGTTTAAAATTTGACCATTATCTTCCAGAGTGTTTTTCTGGTAATTAGTCCCATGTGTGTGTACTAAGTTGCTTCCAGTTGTGGTTGACTCTTTGGGACCCTATGGACTTCAGCCTGCCAGGCTCCTCTGTCCATGGCATTTTCCAAGCAGGAATACTGGAGTGGGTTGCCCTCCGCCAGGGTATCTTCCCTACCCAGGGATTGAACTCACATCTCTTATGTCTTCTGCGTTGGTAGGCAAGTCCTTCCCACTAGTGCCACATGGGAAACCCAACTAGTCCTATACTTAGATTCATTTTTATGAGCTATGCCTGACCCCTATCCCCAGTATGTATGTTACATCATTAAGTACCAAATAGTGGAAAGAATTAATAATAATAGACTTTGATACTGTAGTCTCATTATTCTTCTCCTTTGAATCTAGCCAAATTGTTTTAGTGTATTTTTGGTATAAATTTGAACTTTTGCTCTTAGGAACTTTTAATAACTATTTAATATTGTTGTAGCTCAGTGTCTGACTCTTTGCAGTCCCATGGACTGTAGCCTGCTGGGCTCCTCTGTCCGTGGGATATTCCAGGCAAGAATACTGGAGTGGGTTGCCATTTTTTTCTTCAGGGGATCTTCCCGACTCAAAGCTTGAACTTTGGCCGGCAGAGTCTCTACCACTGAACCACCTGGGAAGCCCTATTTAATATTGTGTATGTGTGCTATGCTCAGTTGTGTTTGAATTTTTGTGACCCTTTGTACAATAGCCTCCCAGGCTCCTCTGTCCATGGGATTTTTCAGGCAAGAATACTGGAGTGAGTTTCCATTTCCTTCTCCAGGTGATCTTCCTGACCCTACGATTGAATCCATGTCTCCTGTATTGGAGGCAGATTTCTTTTCCACTGAACCATTAGATTGATGATTGAATTTTGTCTGCATTAATAACTGAAAAGTAAAGATGGAAAAATAATTATAATGTCTCATATGAATTTTTTCTTTTGGTAGGAAACAAATGCTGTACATGTGAATGTCGGAGCTGGTTCATATTTAGAAATTAATATTCCAATGACGGTTGAGGAAAATGGTAAGCTATGATGAGTGTTTTCCTTTTTAAGTGATTATGGGCATAATTAATATACAAATAATTATTAATCCACTTAGACTAAAATTATTGAGTTTTTGCTTTCAGTTTTCTGTTATATTTTAATGTGCCCTTAGTAAATGCTATATAATTATTTATGCACCTAGAGAGAAGAGAAAAACTTTTATTCAAGCTAGGTCTTATTTGTGCTATCATTGTACTTTATACTTTTCTTTTGTAAGATTGTGCATAATTTGCTTAGTATATGTTTTTCCTGTTGGTCTATTGCTCTGTAAAAGCAGGTGCTGTGTATTTACCAGTGTATACCTGGTACCAAACCCAAGACCTGGCACGTGAAACATGGTCCATGGGCAGAACTTGATTCAGGAGCTAATAAGCTTTGTTTTAGGTTATATCTTTAGTAGATTTTTGTCAGAGAGTAAGCTTGTTCTTTGAATAGCATAACTTTAAGAAAGCAGAATATTTCATGTTTAAAATATTAAATCATGCCCTGATAGTTGTAGTTTCATCTGAGGTAAGATAATCTAAGTTCATTATGCATTTGAAGTTTGGGCCCTGATACAGATTAATCAGTAACATTAAACATTAAATACTTTTTGTTAAATTTATCAAAATGTCAAATAGTCTTCCTAATTTTTATTTGTTTTTCCTATTCTCTTATTACATTTGTAATTGAGAACAATTGAAATTCTGCTTTATTCACTGTTGAGTATGGAGAGTAGCAACTTACCCTTATTTTTAAATTACTATCTAGCAATGTTTCTATTGCTAAGTATAATTAGAGTAATTTTTATATTATTGGCTCTCTTTTCTTGTTTCTGTCACTCATTTTGTTTCTACAATAAGAAGAAAGCAGGCAAAGGGGTTGACTAGATTTATTAGTTTGTGTTAAAAAGATAGCAGTTGAGTCTGCCTGCTTAGATAATTAATCAAAAAAGTGACTGAAAATGAGATAGTATCTTTCCCCTTTAACTTTACAGCTATTATAATGAAGAACTAAACCTTATCTTAGTTACTTTTAAAAGAATAATCATACTCAGTCTTAAAGCAGATATTGAGATTCTCTAGGATTCAGAGTAGTCAGTTGGAAAGAAGCATCTTTTAGGATAGCCTTAATTACTGACATATAGGTAATTCTGTAGGGGAAAAGACAATTGAGTGTTGCATAAAATTGAGAATAGTTCAATTAAGGGAGTGCTTTTGCCTTTTTTAAACTGATGATGCAAATAGGATAATATCTGTACATATTTTTTAGGGGTACAGTTATTGGTGCACAGGGGTAAAGGGCCATCTGAGGACTGAAGCATCAACATCTTGACCTATCATGAATTCATGGGAAGTGCCACAGAAAAGTGACTGTGGAACCACATGAGCTAAAGGTCTAAGGAAAACCCAGTCAGGTTCTTGGTAAAATTGTTGTTTAGTTGCTTAGTCATGTCCAACTCTCTTGCCACCCCATGGACTGTAGCCTGCCAGGCTCCTCTGTCCATGGAATTTCCTAGGCAAGAATACTGGTGTGAGTTGCCATTTCCTTCTCCAGAGGATCGTTCTGACCCAGGGATCAAACCCACATCTCCTGCATTGACAGGAGGATTCTTTACCACTGAGTCACCAGGAAGCCTGGTAAAGGTTAGGTGGCTTTTAAGATGAGTGTCTTCAGAGGGAAAAATAGGCTGAAGTCTTAGATAGTAACAAAATATAACTCAAAAACATTTAAAACTTGCCCGAGAGATTCAGGTGTTTGGGGGAAAAATTGCCCAGAGTGGGATGCATGTTGAATTAACCGTATAATAATGATTGTAGTGTTAGTGTTCATAGGAGGACAATCCATCAAGAAAAGAAGTGAAATACTCTGAACTTTTCTGCATTTATACAGAACAGGTCTGTGTTGTTTGATAACTGTCATTATGTAAGGAATAGCTGTTCTTCAGAAACTGTCACTATATAATGAGTAGTTGAAAATGATGAATATATGTACCCTTGAGTTAATGGGGAAAAATAAGACATGGGAGCAGTCTTAAATACTTACCTATTAATCATTTAGAAAATAGACTTTTAGTTTTGCATTAGAAAGGAAAATCAGGATAGATATTATATGAAAATGGAACTTTTTTCCATCAGAGCTGTCCAAAATGAGAAAGGTTATGGATTAGATAGCATAATCCACATTATTGGAGGTGTATTTAAATAGTAACTAATCACCAGTTTTCAGGAATTCCTTCTTTGGGTGGTGGGGGAATTTGTTTCCAGTTTCTGAAAATTTTAGTTATCTATTTTTTTAGGTTCTTATTTTTTTATGTTTTCACCTATTTTAGGTTATACCCCTGCAATTAAAGGACAACTCTTACATGTTGATGCCACTACCAGCATGCAATACCGGACTCTTTTAGAAGCGGAAATGTTGGCAGTAAGTCTAATGTATATGATGCTATGCATGTACCCATAAGATAACAAATTTGGGGTTTTTTTTTAATATAAAATTTTAATGGTCAAATCATCAAATAATCTGTCTTCTTATTCCAGAACCACCAGGTGCTCTTGCCCATATTTTTGGGAAAAGAGTAGATTCTCAATGCTTTGGATTCTCTTTGGCCTCTCCCTATTGCTCTTCTTTTAGGGGAGATGACTATAAAGCAGCAATACATGGGTTTTTGGCCTTTAAAAATTTGAGAAGTTGTTAGAAAATTTTTTGAAAACTTCATTGTATGGCTAGACTCTCTCCTGTGCTGTAAATAATTAGATACATTTTCACTGTATGTTTCCTGGCCCCATCAGATTCTTTCTCAACCTTAACAATTCACTGTCCTTTTTACTTGATGAATAATGTACAAGGAAGAAAATCTTATTGATACCCTAAATTGCACCATATTAGAAACAGAATTAATGTGGAAACACTCATGATTAAAAATTGCAGGCTGGGAAGTCATTAATCAAGCTGATTGTTATTTTTTCTCAGGGATAACAATAATAACCAAATTTACTGTGTGAAATAGCTAATATTCAGAGAGGATTGCTTTATATTAGATGGTATCATTAGGTCCTTAATTGCTTATCTAAACAAGCATATTTACACGATATATGTAAATTAAGAGGAAAATTTTAGTTATCCAAGAATATATTGAATACTATAAATATGTGTTAAACTGACATATTTAGCATTTTAATGAATTCCTGAGCTATTGCTGATAAATGGTACTGTGCAATAATGCTGTTCCTGGTCAGGCAGCTCTTGCCTTTGGAGAATTGCCAAGCCTTGGCAGGTGAAATAGATCACAAAGCACCATGTCAGATTATAACTACTGTGCTGTCAAATGAGAAGCCAGGAGGCACTGGTGGTCAAACTTCTGTGTGACAGGATGCATTGCGCATTACCCTCCTTTACCCTGAGCCTCTGAACTCAACAGATTAAGTTTAAAGAAGAATTAATGAGGTTACTCTCTTTGTTTAGCTACAGTATCAAAACTATAGCCTGACTTGTTCTTAAACTTTTTTGGCCACATCATGGCTTAGTATTTCATGAGCTGGATGTAACCATGGGTACTGACCTTTAGCCACAGCAATTTGAAAATCTGTAAAGGACCCTCTGTTCAACTCAGTAGGAAAATAAGTTTTAATTACCAGTTTGTGTGAGTTCATTTCTAATGCTGTTCATGCAGTGTCACGTTTTAATATTTTAGGTTATACCCCTGCAATTAAAGGACAACTCTTACATGTTGATGCCACTACCAGCATGCAATACCGGACTCTTTTAGAAGCGGAAATGTTGGCAGTAAGTCTAATGTATATGATGCTATGCATGTACCCATAAGATAACAAATTTGGGGTTTTTTTTTAATATAAAATTTTAATGGTCAAATCATCAAATAATCTGTCTTCTTATTCCAGAACCACCAGGTGCTCTTGCCCATATTTTTGGGAAAAGAGTAGATTCTCAATGCTTTGGATTCTCTTTGGCCTCTCCCTATTGCTCTTCTTTTAGGGGAGATGACTATAAAGCAGCAATACATGGGTTTTTGGCCTTTAAAAATTTGAGAAGTTGTTAGAAAATTTTTTGAAAACTTCATTGTATGGCTAGACTCTCTCCTGTGCTGTAAATAATTAGATACATTTTCACTGTATGTTTCCTGGCCCCATCAGATTCTTTCTCAACCTTAACAATTCACTGTCCTTTTTACTTGATGAATAATGTACAAGGAAGAAAATCTTATTGATACCCTAAATTGCACCATATTAGAAACAGAATTAATGTGGAAACACTCATGATTAAAAATTGCAGGCTGGGAAGTCATTAATCAAGCTGATTGTTATTTTTTCTCAGGGATAACAATAATAACCAAATTTACTGTGTGAAATAGCTAATATTCAGAGAGGATTGCTTTATATTAGATGGTATCATTAGGTCCTTAATTGCTTATCTAAACAAGCATATTTACACGATATATGTAAATTAAGAGGAAAATTTTAGTTATCCAAGAATATATTGAATACTATAAATATGTGTTAAACTGACATATTTAGCATTTTAATGAATTCCTGAGCTATTGCTGATAAATGGTACTGTGCAATAATGCTGTTCCTGGTCAGGCAGCTCTTGCCTTTGGAGAATTGCCAAGCCTTGGCAGGTGAAATAGATCACAAAGCACCATGTCAGATTATAACTACTGTGCTGTCAAATGAGAAGCCAGGAGGCACTGGTGGTCAAACTTCTGTGTGACAGGATGCATTGTGCATTACCCTCCTTGACCCTGAGCCTCTGAACTCAACAGATTAAGTTTAAAGAAGAATTAATGAGGTTACTCTCTTTGTTTAGCTACAGTATCAAAACTATAGCCTGACTTGTTCTTAAACTTTTTTGGCCACATCATGGCTTAGTATTTCATCAGCTGGATGTAACCATGGGTACTGACCTTTAGCCACAGCAATTTGAAAATCTGTAAAGGACCCTCTGTTCAACTCAGTAGGAAAATAAGTTTTAATTACCAGTTTGTGTGAGTTCATTTCTAATGCTGTTCATGCAGTGTCACGTTTTAACATCTAACATTTTGCTTAACATTTGGTTTGCAGTTTCACATCAATGCCAGCTACCCCCGAATATGGAACATGCCACAAACATGGCAGTGTGAATTAGAGGTTTATAAAGCCACCTACCACTTCATCTTTGCACAGAAGAATTTCTTCACAGGTAATTTTCTAATAAATAAAAATACAGTGAGATTTATCAGAGTGAATTTTTTATATTAAGTTTTGCTTTTAGATTCAACATAGGGACTTAATGACACAATTCATACTTTTTTATTTTTATACTTCTTTTGGGGCTGAGATTATTAGAGGAAAAATTTAAATATGTATGTTCTGTGCTGTCTTTTAATGCATAGAAGGAAACTGTGAATCCAAAATTGACCTTGGAAGGAAGGGCAAGAATTCATTTTTGTGTCACTCTAATGGGGGGGTTAGATGGGGAAAATGAATTGGTTTTTTCCTCTTTATGAATTAGGCATCATAGTGGATTTATTATTTTAATTATTGTAATCCACAGACAATATATTCACATAGTCAAATATGTTTTTGTATTCAGAGCCCCTACTTAACTCCTTTCTGTTGATGAGTATAATTGAATTGATACTATCATTAGTTGGAAAAATTCTTTTATTTCTTGCAGCATGTTCTGATAGCTACTTATTAGATTTTATAAGTATGGGAATGTGTAGTCTTAATCTCTGAATAACATAAATGTTTAATCACTACAGTAATTTAAATTATTACTTAAAAATAAGCATCTTTTAAACTTTTTTGTAAGAAGTTTAACCAAACAGAATCAGTGTGCTTTTCCAGCATCAGTGGCTACCCTAGAGTTTCTGATATTTGTTTGACTGATTGCTACATTTATCCATTTGTTTGTCCACCCACCAGTTGTTTATTTGTGGGTATAGCAGTGACTAAGATATGCATAGGTAGTTCTGTTGTGACATTATTTACTAGTAATATGATGTGGGCCAAATTGTTTAATTGTTTAAGCTTCAGTTCCTTATCTATGAAATAGAGATGAGTTACATGATTCTTCTCCAGGATTCAGGTTTCAAGGTCACAGTAGTAGAAACTTTGACAGAGTCCTGGAAGGTTAAACTTTTGTCAGTGAAGCTGGACAATGAATACTTAATTCAGGTTTATGAAAAAAAAATAATACCTCTTAGTGTCTATTTCTCTTTTAAGCAGTTTCACATATTACATCATTAAACCCCTATAATAACTCTCTGAGGAAAATTTTATTATCATTATTTTACAGAAGAGGGTAGTCAGTTACAGAGTGCTTAAACAATTTGTCCAGGTTTAGGTTGACTAGGTCAAGTTAGGATTCCAACCCAATAGTCTGGCCCAAGAATCTGTTTTTATATCTTCTTTTCCTTCTCACTTAATATTTTTTCATTTCTGACTTTGCTAATCTTTTAAAGTTGATTCTAGTTTCTTTACTTTTAGATTTTTTAGATTATAAATTATTTAATTTATTTAAACTTAAAGAAAAAACCCAACATTTTCAAGCATGTTATACTTTACATTGTGTTTCCTCCAAATTTCACAATCTCAGACTTTAGTAATGCTAAAAATAGTTAGAAGTATAAATTTCTCAAGATTTAAAGTTTATTTTGTAGTAGTGCTTACATTTAGACTGAATATTTTATTAGTTAAACAAGTACTTATTTCTTAAATTATAATTGTGTGTTTTTAAAATCATTTTCTTTCTCTAGTCTTTATGCTTCTACCTGTTGAAATTCACTTTTTGAGTTATTTTTTTCTAAAATTGATTTGGAGAAATTTTAAAAATATAGAAAGGTACAAAGCTTAAGTTCTCATTTCCCAGATTTAACAGCTGTAATATTTAGATATATTACTTCTGAAATCTTTCTGCTGCTGTGTGCATGCTCAGTAGTGTCTTACTCTTTGCGACCCCATTGACTGGTAACCCACCAAGCAACTCTCTTGATGGGATTTTCCAGGCAAGAGCCCTGGAGTGGGTTGCCATTTCTTCCTCGAGGGGATCTTTCCAACCCAGGGATTCAACCTACATCACCTGCATTGGCAGGAGGATTCTTTGTCACTGTACCACCTAGGAAACCCCCAGAAATCTTTCTAGAGTCCTTTAAAAACTTTTTCATTCTTTAAAAAAGACACTGTCAGAGTAATATTAGTCTAATCTTGGAGAAAACATACTTGGTCATAGTGTTTGAATTGCTTTTCTCTTCTCTCAGTTTTACATTTCCGTATTGACAGATTTTTGCAGAAAATAAATTATCTATTTATATGTCTCAAGAACCATTCTCACATTAGTTATTAGTGAGATAAAATTGTTCATAAGCAATTTCAGAGTGAGACAAAGATCACTTCATGATAAAAACAATATAGAGCTGCTTCAGGAGTGAAAGATACAAAACAAAGGCAGAAGTAAAGTCTTTACCGGCAATAGTGAAATTGACTTATGTTTACTCTAAGAGAAGAACACGACATTATAACAGTATTACAACCCCAGTACCACTTGATGGATATTTTATAGGGTGTAACTTTCCTGGTAGCTCAGCTGGTAAAGTATCCACCTGAAATGCAGGAGACCCCAGTTTGATTCCTGGGTTGGGAAGATCTTGCTGGAGAAGGGATAGACTACCCACTCCAGTATTCTTGGGCTTCTCTGGTGACTCAGCTGGTAAAAAATCCACCTTCAGTGTGGGATACCTGGGTTCAATTCCTGGGTTTGGAAGATCCCCGGAGAAGAGAATGGCTGTCTACTCCAGTATTCTGGCCTGGAAAATTCCATGAACGATATACAGTCTGAGGGGTCGCAAAGAGTCAGACACGACTGAGTGACTTTTGCTGGCCTAACAACTTAATTGTAAAGTAAGTTGTAAATGAGTTTTTTTCCCAGACTAACATTTAGATTACCAACTTCACAAATCTTTTTTTTTCAATTCCCAATATTTGTTGAGACATGTTTTATAGTTTGGTCCATTACCATTGAAAAAAATTCCATGTATATTTGTTGAGACATGTTTTATAGTTTGGTCCATTACCATTGAAAAAAATTCCATGTATATTTGAAATGAATGTAGTTAACAAATTGCCTATTAGTTCATTTTGGCTGAATTTTTCAAATATTCGGTATATTTACTGATTTTTAGTATGCTTGACTTATCAATAATTAAGCATCAAGCATCAAAAAGCTTCCTTTTTCTGGTAAACTTATTTGGTAAAACCAGCTGGTCACATGAACATTTTTTGGTTTAAAGAGACATACATATCGGAAATAGTTTTTGAGGTTCCTAGTAAAAATATTTTGTTACCATAATTTTTAATATTTATCAGGGAAGATGTTGTGTAAGCTGGTGGGGAAACTGTACTGCAGAATATATTGAAATTGTAGATAAGATACTTGAAAAATTTGTAAGACATTAAAATAGAAATTGACTAATAACTAAAATTACATTGGTTTCCTTAGATTAGTAGATTATTTAAATTTGTGTTTATTTCACTAGCAATTATATTTCAGCCTTTTAAGTAGTAATATCAAGTAAATAAGTGGTTACTATAAGCTGAGAGTCTCTTATGAATAATGATTCAAAACAAATACAAACCATGATCTCAACCTGCAGGAAATTAGGAGGGTATTGAGAGAGGGAGCTCTGAAGCCTGAGCCTACCTTCGGGCAAGGGAATCTTGGTTGCAGGCGCCCTCCTGGGCATGGAGGGCTGTATGTTGCTCCTGTTGGTAAAGGAGAAGGCGGGCTGGGGGCCAAAGCCAGGGGCAAAGGGGACTTAGCTGCGGCATCTGTCACCCCCATCCTCCTGGCCTCCCTCAGTTCCCCACATTTATGTCTTGCCTTCCTCTCACTCTGTCTGACTCTGTCCCTTCCCTATATCCCAGCCTGGATCCATCCCCATGACCTATTTGCACCCTCCCACTGCTCCCCTGACCGTGGTCCTCCCCCTGCACCCCCCCTCTTCTACATGTGTGACCCGCTTCACTCTATCTGGGGTCTCATCTCCAGTCAGTCTCCTGCTTTCTGCTATAGTCTAACCTCAAGCCCTTCTGTTGTGGTCTAACCTCTGAACTTTCCGCTGTGGTCATGCCCTTGACCTGCAGTCTAACATCCAGTCTTCTCCTGTACTTTGACCTCTCACCCTCCCACAGCAGCTTCACTGCCCTTGTGGTTTAACATCCAACCATTCCAGTGGTCCAGGGTCCACCCTAGAACTCTCCCTTGCTATTTAACCTCCAACTAATGTGGTCTAGATTTACCTGATGGCTCAGCAGTTAAAGAATCCATCTATAGTACAGAGGAGACAGGAGACGCAAGTTCCATCCCTGGGTCGGGAAGATCCCCTGGAGAAGGAAATGGCAACTCATTCCTGTATTCTTGCCTGAAAAATCCCATGGACAGAGGAGCCTGGCAAGCTACAGTCCAAAGGGTTGCAAAGAGTCAGACACGACTGAGCAACTAAGCACATCACTTATGTGCATTTATTTGTCGATCTCAAGAATATTGCACAAGCATGAATTGTGACCTTAACAAGTACATGTAAGATGTGAATACAGAGGAAATCACCATGATCTGAAGACAATTAGAGAAAGTAAGGAAGGGTATTAGGATCTGAAATGATCTTTGTAAGTGAACTCAGTAACGTTAATGAAAATTTGCATAGTGTTTTCATAAAACATTCCAAAGCATATTCATTTTTATCACCTTCACAACTCTGAAAAGAGACAACTGTTACTGTTATCCCTGAATTAACGGTGAGGAGGTTGAAGAAACATTCAACAACTTGGGCAGACTCATGAAGCCAATAAGTGGGGGAGACATTTAAGAACAATTTTTTGACTGTAGACCCTTGTTCTCTCTGTATGGTCATGTTGTTGTTAAAAGTGGTTAGCATTTTCCTTAACAAAGAGGTTACCAAAGAGTGTGTTTATTTTAGAAGGGATGAATAATTTGAGTAAAAGTGCAGAACCAAGCATGTTTATGAGGGAAAAACATGAGGAAAAACAACTTGATGAGTGATAAATTTTGTATTGTGTAGTTGGTTAATCCCAGAGATAACGTTTGGGCACCTCCTGAGTGCTGATGATTGTGTTAAAGCTAGTGATGCAGTCAGGATAGTTAGATACAATAGTATGTAGAAATAAAGTTTTAGAAGTAAGCATAGATACTGTAAGATATGATGAACTACTGGGATTGCTTGTTAAAAGAAATAAAAATGTATTTAAAATAAAGTAAAATTAGGTGGAATTTTCCTTTCTCTAGTCTCAGAATAGGTTAATTGGCCATATGCCTTTTATTGCTGATATAGTAAAACTCTGCATCTTATTTTTATTGAAACTTGATATTAAATTATTTTGTCATTTTCCCAAGAGAAGATTTAATATGTGTACAAGTTTCTGTACATTGCAGTTATTTTTAAAAGGAGTTCATATGATATTTAACTTCTGATTTCTTTACCGAATCTAATATTTCTCCTTTAAAGATATCCTTTAAAATTCAAGGGAAATGATTTTAAATAGTTAATTATTTTTGCCTGTTATTTTTCTTAGAATATCTTTAATAAGTGCTACCATTCATGTGCTATTTTGTGACAGTTTCTGTGCTAAAGTTTCACTTATTAGCCCCTAAATTCTCAAAATAAGTCTGTGCAATTGTCCCCATTTTGTAAAAGAGAAGACCAATAGAATTTCAGTCATTTGTTCAAGATTATATAACTAGTAAAATGATAAGCCAGAATATAAACCCAGGACTATCTGGTTGTCAAGAGTTTGTGTTAAAACAATGGTACTTGCTTCTCTCTTTCAAATACACAAAGTTCTGATATTGTAGCACTGTATTATGTATTGAGCATACAAAGATGAGCTTGACACCTTTAGGAGGATTACAATTTATTGAAGAATGTGATTCCTATGAGTATACAATGCATGTAAATGATGTGAATGCCAGAAGGAAAAGCATTGTGATAGAATAGGGCTAACATCTTTGTATAGTATAAAGAGCTTTTGCCTGTTGGGGTTAAAAAAAATATTTAAGTATGAAAGGATATGCAGACAAAGTATATGAACACAATTTTGAAAAGCACCATTAAACCATCTGAAGCAGCAGTACAGTAAATCAGCAGTCAGTAAAGCTGATTGACTGTAATTCTAAGGTCAAGACTTAGTTTTGCTCACGTTGTATTCCCAGGGTCTAGAACAGAGTGTGCACAGGCTAGACATTCTGTAGATATTTGTTTTGTGAATAAAGTGACATGAAAAAATGTCCAATCCTCCTTGTAATTAAAAAATTCAATTAAACTGAGATATCATTTTTCAGTTATCATTTATCAAGCCGCAGCACCCCAGCTGCCATCAAAAAAATAAAAACAGAAAGGGAGGTAGAAAGAAATATAATGCAGGAGCAGGTACAGTGAAATAGATAGTTGACCATACATTTTTAATAACATAAATTAATCTACTTTTGGAAAGCAGTTTGTGATTTATTGTTGCTTAGTTACTCAGTTGTGTTCAACTCTGCAACCCTATGGACTGTAGTTCTCCAGGCGCCTCTGTCCACAGGATTTCATGGGAAAGAATACTGGAGTGGGTTGACATTTCCTTCTCTAGGGGGTCTTCCTGACCCAGGAATCGAACCTGCATCTCCTGCATTGGCAGGTAGATTCTATACCACTGAGCCAGCTGAGAAGTCCTTGTGATTTGTAATAGCCTTAAAAATTCATAAACTTTGACCTAGCAAATCTACTTTTGAAATCTATCCTGACAAAATAATTCTGAATATGTAAAATATCTTGTATGGAAATATATGCAATAACATTGTCTACAACAAAAATTTGAAGAAAGTCTAAATATCCAAGTACAGTAAATGGTTAAATAAATTTTGCAGAGCTTTTTAATGAACTATCACTGAAATCTTTGTTACTGTCTATTAAATAACATGGCAAAATTTTGAGTTCAGTGAAAAAAAGTAATACATAACACATGTGCATCTAGGATAGTGTAAAAATTTACAAAGAGAAAAAACTAGAATGAGATATGTCCACAATATTAGATACTTGAGTAGCAGAATATCAGGTGATTTTCTTGCTCTTTTATCTTAAGTTTATTTAAAGATATAATAGGTATATGAAATACATTAATAATTTTCTTATCTGTAACTGTGATTAGTAAGCAAGCATTTTTACTGTCAAACTGTTTATTTGTTGTACTTCAATTGCTAAGTTATTTCCAACTCTTTGCGAACCCATGAACTGTAGCACATCAGGCTTTTCTGTCTTTCACTGTCTGCCTGATTTTACTCAAACTCATGTCTGTTGAGTCAGTGATGCTGTCCAACCATGTCATCCTTTGTCGCCCCTTTCTCCTCTTGCCCTCAGTCTTTCCAAGCATCAGAGTCTTTTCCAGTGAGTCAGCTCTTCGCATCAAGTGGTCAAAGTATTGGAGCTTCAGTTTCAGCATTAGACCTTTCAGTGAATATTCAGGATTAATTTCCTTTAGGATTGACTGGTTTGATCTCCTTGCTGTCCAAGGGATGCTCAAGAGTCTTCTCCAACACCACAGTTCGAGAGTGTCAATTCTTTGGCACTCAGCCTTCTTTATGGTTCAACTCTCACATCTATACGTGACTACTGGAAAAACCAAACTCTGACTATACTGACCTTTGTCATCAAAGTAATGTCTGCTTTATAATATACTGTCTACGTTTGTCATAGCTATTCTTCAAAGGAGCAAGCGTTTTTTAATTTAATGGCTAAAAAAAAATAATAATTTAATGGCTACAGTCACCATCTGCATTGATTTTGGAGCCCAAGAACATGACATTTTCCATATTTTCCCCATCTATTTGCCATGATCTTAGTTTTTTGAATGTCAGGTTTTTTTAATGTTGAGTTTTGAGCCAGCTTTTTCACTCTCCTCTCTCAGCTTGATCAAGAGGTTCTTTAGTTCCTCTTCACTTTCTGTCATTAAAGTGGTATCATCTGCACATCTGAGGTTGTTGATAATTCTCTTGCAATCTTAATTTAGCTCCATCTTAATAACCTTTTAATATTTTTGTATAAAAATTCTTTTTAGTTACAATCAAAAACATCATTTTTGATGTTAGAATATTTTTATTTTGTTTTTTCAATTTCAATTAATTATACATTTTGTCTCTTACCCCAATAATTTTAGATTTAATTCAAGACTGGTCAAGTGATAGTGCGCCAGACATTTTTTCATTTGTTCCATATACTTGGAATTTTAAAATCATGTTTCATCAATTTGAAATGATTTGGGCAGCTAATCAGCACAACTGGATTGACTGTTCCACTAAACAACAGGAAAATGGTAGGTACTTTTAAAAAATTAGGTTAAATGTTCTGTTCATTAAGACAAATATCAACAAAGAAAATTGGTGTTGATTTTCTAGTTTTAATGGATACTAGAATTGATCTTTTTTTGCATTGTCTTGTGAGGCTTTCAGAGAACTATTTCAGAATTAATATTGAACTAAGCAGTTAAGTTTAATTTTGTTTAGGTATGTATTTAAGGAAGTTTTTTTTTTTAATTTTTTTTTGGAAACTAAATTTCTTTTTCTCTTTTTTTGCAGTGTACCTGGCAGCCTGTGGGGAAACACTAAACATTGATTTTTCTTTGCCTTTTACGGACTTTGTTCCAGCTACATGTAATACCAAGTTCTCTTTAAAAGTACGTATAATTGGATGCATTGTTTGTTCCACAAGGTTTATTAGTAAATTTGATTTCCTGGCACTTATCTTTATTTTCTCTGGCCCATTCTGTTGCCAGCCTGTAGTATTTTGGCTTTCCTCCACTGTTCACTAACTTTAGTGTCACAAATTGCTGCTTTTTTTTTTTTTGGTCATTAATTACAATATTCTGCCATTCCCATAAATTCCTTAAGTTCCCCTAAGAAGCTGGGCAATAATTTGAAAACATATATGTACTCCAGTATTAATGGCAGCATTATTTACAGTAGCCAGGATATGGAAGCAACCTTAGTGCCCATTGACAGATGAATGAAGTGTGGATGAAGAAAATGTGGTATATATACTCATTGGAGTATTACTCAGCCTTAAAAAAGAACAAGATCTTGCCATTTGTGACATAGATGACCTAGAAGGGGTATTATACTTAGTGAAATAAGTCAGACAGAGAAAGACAAAGACTGTATGTTTTCACTTATATTTGGAATCTAAAGAACAAAACAAATGAATGAATAAAACAAAAATAGACTCTGAGATACAAAAACCAAACTAGTGGTTATTAGAATGGGGACGGATGAAATAGGTGAAGGAGATTAAAAGGTACAAATTACCAGTTATAAAATAAATAAGTCACAGAGATGTAATGTAGAGCACAGGGAATATAATCAATATCTTGTCATAACTTTGTATAATGTGTAATCCATAAGAACATCGAATCACCGTGCTATACAACTAGAATGAGTATATTGAATAATATAGTAAGTAACTGTACTTCACTTAAAAAGAAGTTGGCTGATGAAAAACAATTCCTTGAGTCAATCATTTTGTTAGAGCTCATTTCTAACCTCTGTTACTAATCTTTATTTTCTCTGAAGAGTTTATTGTAGCTCTGATGTTTTACTGAGTCTGTGAACTAGATTGCACATTTTTTTGTACAGTTGACCCTTGAACAGTCTAGCGATTGGGGTGCTGACTCTCCCTGCCATCCAAACATTCATGTGCAACTTAGAGTTGGTTCTCCCTAGAACCTCCATATCCTTGGTTCCTCTGTATCCAAGGTTCAGCATCACAGATTCAACCAACTGCAGATTGTATAGTAATGTAGTATTTACCATTGAAGAAAAAACCATGTGTAGGTGGACTTGTGCATTCACACCTGTATTATTCAAAGGCCAGCAGTATTTCATTTCTAATTGTACCTGTGAATTCAGGGAATAAACACAAGGACCTTCTTCCTTTTATCCAAAAGCCAGCTCTTAGGAGTTCAGAATTCATGGTACATCTAATTTTAAGGTATTTACATCAACAGTAGTTGTAGTGTTGATGGAGGTTATGGTGGTAAGAAATAGAAACAATAGTACGAGCAGCCAGCACTTTTTAACATCTTCTTAGTGCCAGACACTATTCCAATTGCTTTATGTATACTAATTCATTTAATTCTCAGAACAACTTTCTTGAAGTAGTTGTTATGTACATTTATGGAATAGGAAACTGAGGAGGCGAGTTTATGTAACTTGTCATTAGCTAGTGAGTGGCTAAGTTGGAATTTGGACCCAGGCAGTAAAGCTTACGGTGCTGCCTGTTAAGAAACCAGGCATCAAGATGAGCAAAGATTAGGGCATCTGTAAGGGAAAAAAATGAAATTCAGTGAAGATCCTGTGATACAATCCTTAAAAGCCAGTTGAGGAACCAAGACTTACTAAATATAGACAATCATATTTTTTAAATTAATGAAAATATTGGACATATTCCATCTGAGCTTATATTAGATACTTCTGGTTGTTTTTTTTTTTTTTTAACTGAATTATATGTGAAATATCCAAGGAAACCTTCTTACTGTTCTCTAAAAATTTTGCAGTTTGTTTCCCTGATTTTTTTCTTGACTTTCTAAGCAGAATTTCAGATGATGTAAAATCTTATTCCAGTTATGTACTATTCAGTGTATTTTTGCAATTTCAGATTTATTTTTTGTTGAATTTATCCTCAAGCATATTACAGGTAGAATTTTTTGTAAATAGTATTCTAACAAACTTCTGTACCTGTTTTGTTACTTTGGGTTATTATAAATTGTTTTTTAGGGTGAAGAAGTTGACCTTCATTTGTTTCTACCAGATTGCCACCCTAGTAAATACTCATTATTTATGCTGGTAAAGAATTGCCACCCCAATAAAATGACTCATGATACTGGTATTCCTGCTGAATGTCAAAGTGGCCAGAAAACAGTTAAACCAAAATGGCGGAACATTACTCAAGAAAAGTAAGTATGTAATATTAGCGATTTAAGTATTTTCTGTTAATGAGGAGAAATTACACTTTCAGTTCTTTCAGAGAATAGTAGTAAAATTTGTTTATATGTAACTGGTATCTAAATACAATTAAAGGAATAAATACCTGACTAGAAACTTTATTTTTTACTCTTCTAAGGGCTGGTTGGGTTGAATGCTGGACTGTCCCAAGTGTCATGCTTACAATTGATTATACATGGCATCCAATTTATCCACAAAAAGCAGATGAACAGCTGAAACAGTCATGTAAGTGTTTCTGTATAATCAGTATCTTAAAATATCAAAATTGATAAGCATCAAGGATACAAAGAAGAAATTAAAACTTTTTGGAAATGCATCTGTTCTTTTGACATAATTATGCATTTCAGGTCTTCTGAGATTTTTCATATAACTTTCTTTGGGCATTTGCTATCAGTTACTAGACCAAGCTGTTTCTTGGTTTACTTTATCTCATTTAATCCTTAAAGCAACTCTGTGAAATAGATATTATAATATTATTGTCATTGTAGAGTTGAGGAAATATGCTCAGAGAAAGGAATAATTTTCTCAAGGTCTGGTGGGCAGAGCTGGAGTATGAAATCAGGTATATGTACATCTATAGATTTAGAGTGCTTGATTTTGTAAAATGTTAGTTTCTTTAATGCATTTTGACAGCTGTCATATTATTTATAGCTTCCCTGAGGCTTAAGTGCAGCTTTATTTGGGTTGAAAGTGGAATTAAGAGTCTAGTGAAAGTATTTTCTTTGTATTTTTCCAGTTAGTTAAGTATTAAAGAATAGTTTTTGTAACTTTCTTATATATAGATCTTGATAATGCCACAGTGCATTTGTATAGCTGTTTATGTGAAAATAACTTTATAGTTTAATGTCCAAGTAGAATTAGAGCCTAATTCTGACCCAGCTTTACTGTATATTGCCAGAACTTGATGAGAATATTGCCTTTGTTAATGAAAACCTTTTATTGATTCTTTGTAGTAGTAATAATAATAAGCAAAGGCTTATTTGGAGCTCTTTCTGGATTTGTGTATTTCTATATGTATTTCAATGACGTCTATTCTTTACTGCATTTTTAATTATTAGCCTTTCAGTTTTGTTTTCATTATATACTGGAGACATTTTATCAGTGTTAGTTGCTTTTCTATTTACAAAATAGAATCTTTTAGTGAATAGTTCTTGAAGAACTTTGAAGAGATCTTTTTCCCCCTTTCCACTCAAACATTATTCTTTTTTTCCCCTCAATTTATTCCAGTGTCAGAAATGGAAGAAACAATGCTCTCTGTGTTAAGGCCATCTCAGAAAACAGACAGAGTTGTTTCTTCTCCCTCTGCTTCTTCTCGTCCTCCTATTGATCCCTCAGAACTTCCACCTGATAAACTTCATGTAGAAATGGAACTTTCTCCAGATTCTCAGATAACTCTCTATGGACCTCTATTAAATGCCTTTCTGTGTATTAAGGTAAGATTTTTAAAAGAATGTCCATATTTTTAAATGTAGGAAAAGCAGTTAACCATCTAATTGATATTGAGACCATTTGAAATGGTCAGTTTTATGATTTAAAGCATTTAGGATATATTATATGTTGACTGAACTTGTGGTGGTAGGCTCAATTATAAAATTATTTCTTTAAAAGAGCGAAGTAAGCCAGAAAGATAAAGACCACTACAGTATACTAACACATATATATGGAATTTAGAAAGATGGTAACAATAACCCTATATGCAAAACAGAAAAGGAGACACAGATATATAGAACAGACTTGTGGACTCTGAGGGAGAAGACGAGGGTGGGATGTTTCAAGAGAACAGCATCAAAACATGTATATTATCTAGGATGAAACAGATCACCAGCCCAGGTTGGATGCATGAGACAAGTGCTCGGGCCTGGTGCACTGGGAAGACCCAGAGGGATCGGGTGGAGAGGGAGGTGGGAGGGGGGACCGGGATGGGGAATACATGTAAATCCATGGCTAATTCATTTCAATGTATGACAAAAACTACTGTAATGATGTAAAGTAATTAGCCTCCAACTAATAAAAATAAATGGAAAAAAAAATAGTGCTAAAAACTCTCCAGTTTAGCATTTTTTTGAGAAGTTAGTGTATTCTAGGACTTTTGTGCTAGTTGCTAGAGATAAATGATACAGCATCTGTTGCTAAAAAGATAGGCTAGAGGATTATAGCAGGATAGATATGTACATGGACAATTTTAACACATTGTAATTAATGTGGCAGCAGAAGTATAAAAGAACTTTGTTATCTGAGGATATCTGTACCAGGAAAAGGCTACTTCAAGTGAGTTCATTAAAAACCAACAATTTTACTTCATGGTATAATAAGCAAAGAGTTATTTGGAACTCTGTCTTGAAAATTGAAGCAAGTATGTGAAAATGCATTCATTTCAGAGTAGGACAAATTTAGGCTCTGAAGAAATATGCACTGCTTCTTTGAGCAAAGACCAAATCAAGTGTTGATTCATTTTGATAATTTTTCCGGTGAAATGTATAATATGATTGTGTAGTATGACAGTACTTTATGGTTGCTGTCTGTAGCATGTTTATGGAGAGATGCTATATTAAGAAAAATGTTTGAGCATTTTTTCAGTTTTCTAGACTTCACTTTTATTCTTTTGATACTCAAATCATGCTTTTAAAAAGACCCCAACAAAACATCGCTAATTTTTGTTGATTTACTTTTTTTTTACAGGTAACTTCTCTAAGCCGCCCAGATTTTCACTTATCACTGATATTTTATCTGTGATTTGAGCAGTTGTCCAGAATCACATTCAGCTACTTCATGAAATTTTTCATTTTTTCAGGATTTTGCAAATTCACTTTGCTTTAGATTTTCATTGTACTCTTGGATATCTATTATATCTGATAAGCAAAGAGAGACGAATTGACCAAATTTTACCAATCATAAGCAGTAGAGTTGGTTGTGGCACAGGTGTTTGTGTGGATTTGACTTTATCAGTGCTTACTTATTTGCCTCCTTTTGTAATTTCACAATTGCAGAGGTTTGGATATTGAAGGCTTAACTAACAAGGAATCCTTTAATGTACAGTAACAGGAAAAATTAATTCTGGAAAAGATCTGGGATGATCAAGGTTGGCCTGGGATGGACACTCAAGATTGATTAACAAAGGCTCTCTAAAAGAAGTGCTAGCTAAATAAATTTTGAAATTTTTTAAGGTCTCAATATTTGATATCCTATATTTATTAAAAACTGCCATAGAGCATCAGATGATGCAATTTAAGGTAAAAGATGCAAGGGAAAAATGTGTTTAATATTTTTGGAAACCTATGGTTTCTGTTTGCCTTTTTTTTCCCCTAAGGTTTTAGAGATTCTTGAAGGAATAAAGGAGTAATTTTTCAGATTCAAAGGGAGGAAACACACACAAACACAGATTTTTTTTTCTCTCATGACCATTTTGTGGCCTAAAATATTCTACAAATATTTCTCTCAGTATCTTATTTTTTTGGCATTACATGTGAATATCTATAAAGGCTCTAAAATTGAAGAGGCTGAATTTTATTTTAATTTAAATATAAGCAATGATTTAGTTACCAGGTGTAGGTGGTTGTGTTGATACAAATCAGTTTTGAATACTACTAGAGAAGTATTAACTGGTTTGCATCACCACATGTATATTGAACCTCCGTTGTTTTAACTAAAAAATCCCATAGTAGTACATAAACAAAAATGAGAACAAAGAGCATAGAGAAACAAAGATATGCCTTTACTTTAAATTTCATTGTAAATTCTGTTACCTATGTTAGTAGTTTATTATGTTTTGATGCAGACTCTGATAACAGATTTTATAACAACTCTTTATTCGTGTCAAACATTTATTACACTAAATATTAGTACTGACATTCATCATGTTAATTCAGAACTTGTATGAAATATCTACTGAAATAAATTAAAATTTTTTTAAGTTTTGACACATTTTATAAAATAATTTATAATCCAGTGAACTCTCTGCTTCCATTTATTAAGAATAGATAACACATAGCTGTTTTTTGTTTTTGCCTTAGTGTCGTGCTGACTTGGAGTTGTTACCTACCTTAAATGTCTCTATTACTTTTTTTTCTCTTTAGTTTTAACTTATGTTTTATTTAGTATCAGTGTTAGAACTTGAAAGCTTTTTGGATGTTTTATCTTGTTTTCATTTTAGGAAATAGACTAATACTCTAAAATAGGATAAGGAAATGCTTAGTTTACAAATTTCATGCTCTAAGGTGAAACATTATTGTTATATATCTCTTTTGATAGCAATTTATTCTTAATATTTATAGGAAAACTACTTTGGGGAAGATGACATGTACATGGATTTTGAAGAGGTTATTTCAAGTCCCGTTCTGTCCCTGTCAACATCATCCAGTTCTGGATGGACTGCTGTTGGGATGGAAAATGACAAAAAAGAAAATGAAAGTTCAGCAAAGTCAATTCATCCACTTACCTTGCGTCCTTGGGATATTACTGTACTTGTTAATTTGTACAAAGTTCATGGACGTCTTCCTGTTGTGAGTGTTTGCATATCAAAACAATTGTCTATTATGAAATCTACCTAGCATAGGAAGTGATGTAGTGTGTGTACATGCTTACATGAAATAATTAAGATTCAAAACTGCTCTGTATTTATCCTTTTGTCTTTATAAAGCTAGTGTATTATTTTCTTCATGATCACTTGATCGTTAACAATTTTCCTATTTTTCTTCTTTCACTTTAGCTCTTTCTTTGCTGTTCTGTATAACTTTAGGATATTTTGCCATGTTGTTGAATTGTTAGATTTATAGCTAGCCTGATGGACATCATAGGACTTTATACTTAGTCTTTTATCTCTGACTCTAGACCAGTTTGGGACCTTTTGGTGGAACTATACAAAATCATGATTCAGCCTTGACCCTGGAGGTTGAATTGTGTCACGGGTTTGGATTCTCCATAGTATCCTGGTTTACTCTAAAGATGACCCTTGGGCCTGTTGGGGCTGACTTGAAATGAGATTATATTTTCCAAAGAACCCGTGGCCATTGGAGTCAGTCCAGATGGGGAGAGAGTGGCCCCTGGAGCATTGTGCTGCATACTGGGTCCATATTATGTTCCTAGGGTCGCTCCAGAGAGAAAACAGCTCTGGTGCTTAGTTAACCTAAGGTCTTTTTCTGGGATACAGAATAGTTATTTTTGTCAGTAAGCACCATTCTTCCTTTAGAAAAAAATCAAACTTTTTAAATTGTAGAAGTGTAATTTTTATTTTTCTGTACTTCCTTGGTCTTTAATTTTTCTATATATTGATTGTGGCTTTTGCTTGACTTTAGCATGGAACAACTGATGGTCCTGAGTGCCCTACAGCTTTTTTGGAAAGACTATGTTTTGAGATGAAAAAAGGATTTAGGGAGACCATGCTGCAACTTGTCCTGTCACCCCTGAATGTGTTTGTCAGTGATAACTATCAGGTAATGTGGAAGTGAGTTGTGGTCGATACTCAGAAACTTATTGTTACTATTTATGGGCTGAAAACAATGTGTTAACTTCTGTGCATGGACTGTATGGCTTTTTAAATTAGGGAACCTTCAGTTTAACTGTACTAAACAGTTTTGTATTGTGTGAATTGTTTCAAGAATTTTAGCTTTTCCTTTTTTCCCCTACTGTTCCTTATTTATGTGATCCCAAACAATTATATATCTATTGTTTTTAGAAATTGTAAGAAATACTTTCTGACACTCATATGTTTATGAAAGGGTAAACTAATTATATAGAATGTTGGTAGATTCTGTTGAAAATCACAACCTAAGTGGTAATATTATATGTTAATCACTCAGTCATGCCTGACTCTTTGCGACACCATAGACTGTAGCCTGCCAGGCTCCTCTGTCCATGGCATTTCCCAGGCAAGGATACTAGAGTGGATTGCCATTTCCTTCTCCAGGAGATCTTCCCAAGCCAGGTATCAAACCCAGTCTCTTGCATTGCAGGCAGATTCTTTACCATCTGAGCCACGAAAGGAAGTCCAAGTGTTATTGTTAACCAGTATCATAAACCATAAACGTTGGTGATGGACAGGGAGTCCTGGCATACTGCAGTCCATGGGGTCACAAAAAGTTGGACACGACTGAGTGACTGAAACAAACTGAACCATAAATCTTGAAAACATGCGTATCTACATGAACACTGATTAATACTTTTCCTCCAACATACTTACAAGGTCCTTTGTTAATACCTTCAAGATATCCCTAAGGCTCTTTTGGAAGAGAACTGGTGATATTCATCAAATGGGAATATTTTACATTCCTGGGTACATTATCACTTTATTATTATTTTTTTTAAAGCCAAAGAACTTTTTTGGCAACCAACCCCTCCTTTAAGTCTCTTTCCTACTTTTAGTTAAGTGGTGTGCTTTAGAGCTGTGATGGATTTTGATGTAAGACAAAGTAAAATTATAGACAGGGTGATGAATCTGACAGTGAATCATCAACAAATGATATCTCACCATGGATTCTGTGAAGTAACTGACCATCTTATATAAAAGAGCATACCCCTTTGCATTCTTCTGCTATAGTGGACTTCCCTGGCGGCTCAGCTGGTAAAGAAGACGCCTGTAATGTGAGATACCTGGATTCGATAAAATTGTATTATTTTAGTGTAGCAGCTAAAACTTAACACTTACTGTATACTAGTGTTTGCCACAGAACATATTTCTTTTTTAAAAAAAAACTTTTATTTCAAGAAATTATAGATTTATGGGAGGTTACAGAGATAGTACAGAGAGTTTCTGTGTTTCCTCCATGTTGACCTCATACATAATTATGGTAAAAAAAAAAAACCCAGGAGATTGACATTTGTACAATATGTATGCATAGTTCTGTGACATTTCATCATGGGTAGATTTGTGTAACTGCCACCAAAATTAGCATGCAGAATTAGTCTGTCATCACAAAGCTCTCACTTGTGTAATACTTTCATTTTAACTTGTCATGTGAAACCTTAAAAATAACTCTGGTCCTTCTTTCTGTAATTAATGGGTCATTAGGATTGGTTTTGTTTTGTTTTGTTTTGTTTTTGAGAGGCAAATGTATAGAGAAGAAACCCATCTCCGTTTTTCAAATCTCTTGAGGAAATTAATAAAGGTAATAGGGAAATATCTTCTCAGAAAGGCTGATTTCTGAGACTCTTAGGAGAGTAGCTCTGATTTTTTGAGCAACTGATGATACTTCAACTTTTATTATCACTGCATTCTCAAAAGACTTTGCTGGTTATAAAAAATGTTTTATTGAGTTTATTATGAGGGTCCATATTACCCCTAATTGCACAACTATTGGCATACTTGTACAGAGACAGAAGTGTAAAGTGTGATTTATATGGTGATAAGAAGAGGAATTCATGGAGTAGAGATATCAAGACAGTAATAGAAGTATTGATACGAGTGACATTTTGTTTCCCAGATGGCAAACACTTTATAGTTCATGCCGAAGACAAGTATAGTCTATACATATTCTCTAGGAATTTGCTTATCTACTTAATTTGCTTGCATTTTGTAGTGCTAGCATTTCTAAGAAATATTTTTTTCTTTTGTCTCTATATTAATACTCTTTCATGATGGGAAGCTTCACACTGACTGCCCTCAAGACTCAATTCTGGGTCACTCATCTGTAGCTCCTTATTTCAGGTAGCATTTGTCTTAGTGCACAGCTTCAAGGCTAAGGATCTAATGTGATGGGTCAGTGACCGTGTCCGACCTATGAAGCCACATACTTTTTACTTAATCATCTTATGTCTATTAGTTTTATATTAGGGCTGCCAAAGCAAAATATCCTACACTAGGTATCTTAAAACAACAGAAAATTACTCTTTCACCATTCTGGAGCCTACAAGTCTGAAACTAGTGTGTTTGGCAGGGCCATGCCCTCTTTCAAGGCTCCCTTGTCTTTTCCTAGCTTTGGTGGTTGTTAACAGTCCTTGGCATCCCCTGTTTTGTAGCTGCAAACAGGGAATCTGTTTTGCATCACTCAGATCTCTCTCTCCATCTTCACTTGGCGTTCTCTTCATGAGTCTCTGTGTCTTACGTTTTCCCCTTACAGGGACACTGTTAATTGGACAAAGGCCCATTGTAATACAGTGTAACTACATTTTGACTTGATTACATTTGCCAAGACATTGTATCCAAATAAGATCACACTCACAGGTACCTGAGCTTAGGAACTGAATGTCTTTGTGAAAGAAAGTGAAAGTGAAGTCGCTCAGTCCTGTTTGACTCTTTGTGACCCCATGGACTGTAGCCTACCAGACTCCTTCATCCATGGGATTTTCCAGGCAAGAATACTATAGTGGGTTGCCATTTCCTTCTCCAAGAATGTCTTTGGAGGGGACACAATTCAACCCACAGAGTGATGTAAGCCATAGTACAATTCAGAATGTAGTCTTTACTGATGTACCAGGTAGTCTTTACCTTTCGGACAACCCAAGATCCACATGTTTGTTTATGTTTTTGGTTTTTTGACAGTGAGTGTTGAGAGAAAGTATAAAACCCTGGATGATGTTTGGTTTTTGGCTTGGGCAGTTAACTGAGCTAGTGCACAATAAAGAATATAGGAGGAGGAACTGCTTTACAGGGGAAGAGTATGAGTTTCTGATCATGTTGGGTTTGAAATACCAGGAAATCAGCCTTTATTTTCTAGCATTTTCCAAAGAATGAGCTGCATTATCTTTGTGAAGTAACTCAGATAAACTCACCTAAGTGTCTGTGTAGGTAGAATGTTTTTCAGAAATCATAAATAGTTGACTTTCTGATGGTATTCTAATACACTAACAACAGATACATATGCAGGCATCCAGCATTCTTGGAAAATACAATTTGGATGGTCCCTGTGATAAATACATCTGGATAGATGATCCCATCCAACCGTCTCATCCTCTGTCGTCCCGTTCTCCTCTTGCCCTCAATCTTTCCCAGCATCAGGGTCTTTTCCAATGAGTTGGTTCTTTACATAAGGTGACCAGAGTACCAGAGCTTCTACTTCAGCATCAGTTCATCCAGTGAATATTCAGGATTGATTTCCTTTAGGATTGATATTTGTGTATATATATATATACTCACTATAATTTCTGTTTCCATTCATCCACTGACAGACCCTTGGGTTGTCTCCATATCTTGGCTATTGTAAATAATATTGCAATGAAGATGGGGATGCATGTATCTCTTTGAATTAGTTGTTTCATTTCCTTCAAATACTACCCAGAAGTGGAATTGCTGAATCATATGGCAGTTCTGTTTTAATTTTTGAGGAACCACCATTATCTTCCATAGTAGCTCTACCAACTTACATTCTTCTTAATAGTGCACGAGGGGTTTTTTTGTGTTTTTTTTTTTCGCATCCACACCAACATTTGTTAATTGTTTTTGATGATAGCCATTCTAACAGGTGCAAGGTGATAGGTGACTGTGATTTTGTTTTGCATTTCCCTGATGCTTAGTGACATTGAACGTCTTTTCATGCATCAGTTGATCATCTGCATGCCTTCTTTGGGAAAATATTCATATTCTGTGACCATTTTTTATATTGGATTGTTTGCCTTTTGGTACAGAGTTGTAGGAATTCTTTATATATTTTAGATTTTAGCCCTGTATCAGATTTATGACTGGCAAATATTTTTTTCCTTCTGCTGGTTGCCTTTCCATTTGTTGATAGTTGTCTTTCCATTTGTTGATAATTTCCTTTCCTTTGAAGAAGCATTTTAGTTTGATTTAGTTCCATTTGTATATTTTACTGTTGTTGCTTTGCCTTTGGTGTCAGATTAAAAAATAATCACCAAGCTTATGTCAGAGAGTCTACTGCTGATATTTTCTTCTAGGAGTTTTATGGTTTTAGGTCTTACATTCAAGTCTGTAATTCATTTTTAGTTGATTTTTATGTGTGGTATAAAATAGTGATTGTGTTTCTTTCTTTTAATATGTGGTACCCAGTTTTCCCAGCATTGTCTATTGAAGAGGCTCTTCTTTCCTCATTATATATTTTTGGATCCTCTGTCATAAATTAACTGGCCATATATATGTGTGTTTATTTCTGGGCTCTCTATTCTGTTCCATTGATTTATGTGTCTGTATTTATGCTGATACCATACTGTTTTGATTATCACAGCTTTGTGATAGAGTTTGAGGTAAGAGAGTATGATGCCTCCAGTTTTATTCTTTTTCAAGGTTACTTTGGCTATTTGGGATTTTTGTGGTTCTATACAAATTTTAGGATTATTTGCTATTTCTTTGATGGATGGCATTGGAATTTTGATAGGGATTGCATTGAGTCTATAGATTGCTTTGGGTGATGTGGACATTTGAGCAGTATTGATTCATCTAAGCCAAGATCCACATGTATCTTTGAACTCAAGAAAAGCTATTAAAAACTTTATATTGAGAATTATAGAATCTCAATGCCAGAAGTGAGCTTCATTGACCATCCTCTCCAGCTGCCTCACAGAAAATAGAAGGGAACTGATGCCTGGAGATAGGTGATTTTATATACTATCACACATCTTAGACAAAAAATGTATCAGAAGACTCTCTAGAGCTTTTATTATAGTCAATTTGAAATGACCTTTTAAGAAAACCATTTGAATTCGATTTAGGCCTGTCCTTAAAAACACTTTTTAATGAATGCAGTTTCCAAAATTTGTGATAAAACAAGGAACATTAACCCTGTAAGATGGCCTGCACATACACATTAAAAATACTATCATGGTAAAATTAAGATAAATAATTTCAAGTGTAAAAAGTGCTGCAAGGAAATGGATGAAGTGCTTTGGTAGCATGTAATGGCTTTGAGATGACTGTTGTTATTCAGTCACTAAGTCATGTCTGACTCTTTGCAACCCCATAGATTGCAGCATGCCAAACTCCTCTGTACTCCACTGTCTCTTGGAGTTTGTTCAGATTCAGGTCTATTGAGTTGGTGATGCTACCTAACCATTTCATCCTCTGCCACCCTCTTCTCCTTTTGCCTTCATTCTTTCCTAGCATCAGGGTCTTTTCCGATGAGTTGGCTGTTTGCGTCAGCTGGCCAAAGTATTGGAGCTTCAGCTTCAGAATCAGTGAATATTCGGGATTGATTTCCTTTAGGATTGACTGGTTTGATCTCCTTGCTGTCCAAGGAACTCTCAAGTGTTTTCTCTAGCACCACAATTTGAAACTATCAATTCTTCAGGGCTCAGCATTCTTTATGGTCCAACTCTTACATTCGTACATGACTACTGGAAAAGCTATAGCTTTGACTATATGGACCTTTGTCAGCAAAGGTCTCTGCTTTTTAATATGCTGTCTAGGTTTTTCATAGCTTTTTCCAGGGAGCAAGCATCTTTTAATTTTATGTCTGCAGTCACCACATGCTATGATTTTGGAGCCTAAGGAAATCAAATCTGTCACTATTTCCACTTTTCCCCCATCTGTTTGCTATGAAGTGATGGGACTGGATGCCATGATCTTCATTTTTTGAATGTTGAGTTTATAGCCAGCTTTTTCACTCTCCTCTTTCACCCTCATCAAGAGGCTCTTTAGTACCCTATCACTTTCTCCCATTAGGGTGGTATCATCTGCATATCTGAAGTTTTTGGTAATTCTTCCAACAGTCTTCATTCCAGCTTGTGATTTATCCAGGCTGGCATGTCTCATGATGCACTCTGCATATAAATTAAATAAGTGGGGTGACAGTATACAGCTTGGTCATAGTCGTTTTCCAATTTTGAACCAGTCAGTTGTTCCATGTCTGGTTCTAACAGTTGCTTCTTGACCTGCATACAGGTTGCTCAGGAGGCGGGTAAGGTGATCTGCTATTCCCATCTCTTTAAATAAGAATTTTTGATAGTTTGTTGTGATCCACACAGTCAAGGATTTTAGTATAGTCAGTGAAACAGACATAGTTGTTTTTCTGGAATTCTCTTGCTTTCTCCATGATCCAACAAATGTTGATAATTTCATCTCTGGTCTTTAGGTAAGAACATGGTAAAACTTGCCTTTTTAAAAGATCTCTGTGGTGTTCTTATAGAGTATGGAGCAGAACAATGTAAAAATAAATGCTGGGAGATCCTGGCAAGAGGTTGTATTATTTGAACCAGGATGATAGCAGGAAGCTGAAAGAAACTCAGTGCATTTGTGAGAGGCTGGGAGGTGGATTCTAGAAAAGTTGGTGACCGATGGCTAGGGCATTACCAAACTTACTTGATTCTTTTTTGCTAATAACAATCTGTGAACCTAGTGTTCCATGGAATGTCCTATTTTAGGACATATCCTTTAGCTTTCTGAATAAGTGTTAGAAATTTTCTCTTTGAAATGTTGATGCTTTTTAGTTATGAGTATATAATTATTCTCTATAAGAGAAATCTCTCCTTTTAATATTTACATAATTCTCAAAACCTTTTTGGAGGATGGTTTTTCTTTGCTAGTTCCTCATTATGGTCTTAATGGGTCTTTTTCCTTCCATGTTATTTTCTTTTTTTTGATACTTTAATCTCATGATTCCTGCCTTGTCACAAAAGATTGGTCTCTCACATTCCCTGTAAGTCAGGATACTTGTTTCTTTTTATTTATTGAGGTGCCTACCAAAGAGAGATCTGCATTTTTTTAAGACTTTGCTGTCTTGCTTTGCAGTTGGGCTTTTACAGATAAAGTCACTAAAGTAGCTGAACTCAGACTACTTTTATGGATACAAGGCTGTGTTAAGAGCTTTGGATCCTAAAGTCTTATTTTCCAGATAGTGTGTTTTTACCATGTGTCTCTGGGGGAAAAGGCAACTAGCAATTATAAATGCTGATTTTTCTTGTGCTTATTGTTTTCAGCAGCGACCGCCTGTGGATGAAGTGCTCAGGGAAGGTCACATCAATTTGTCAGGTCTCCAACTGAGAGCACATGCTATGTTCTCAGCAGAAGGTCTTCCTTTGGGAAGTGATTCCTTAGAATACGCATGGCTAATTGATGTGCAGGCTGGAAGCCTTACAGCTAAGGTCACAGCACCACAGGTATGTTCTCAGGTCTCAGAGTGCTATCTCCTGACTTACTTCCTTTTTCCTTTACTGACCCACCTCCCCAAGAAAAAGTTGTATGCCCATTGAAATGTTCATTTTACGTCCACTTGCCACTAAGAATTTTCTTAGTCATGGATGAGTCAGAGACAAGTTTCAGTTTTCTGGGCCACATAAAATTGATGGGTGTAATTTTTTATAGTCGTGTAATATTTTCAAGAATTCAAGACTTTTTTTGAGAAGCACTCAGGATGAGAAGTTTCTGGAAATCAAGTTATATATTACTAAAATTATATTACTTGACTCTCCACTGTTGGAACAATCTTGTTTTTCCAGTACATAGGATAATTTTCTGAGAACTTTACTTTTTTGTGTATTTCTTAGGTAGGATTTGAAAGAGGCATTTATAATACCTAAATACCTTAATTATATACCTTAATGTAGCATATTTCTTTACTTGTCATATCCTAAAGCAAGATAGCATCGTTTGAATCTGCACTTAGTGATGTGGATACTGATTTAGAAAAATAACAATGAATTTATTGGCAGAAAATCTCATGCAGAAGACTAGCTGTAATCCCTTTGGATAAATCCTCCTTCCCTCTCACTGTCCCACTTAGTGTTCAGGAGTCTCAGAGGGCTTAAGGGCGACTGTCAGCCTCCCTGACAAAGGTTCTGCACCCACGGGTTCCACCAGTCATGGAGTCAGCCCCCTGCAGATATGAAGCCTAAGGATATAGAGGCTGACTGTAACCCTTAGTTATAGAAATGGGCCATTGAAATTTAGTGAAATGTCTGTATTACTATAAAATTTCACCTGTTGAGACAAGTACAGTTAAACCTCATTTTCTTGTGTCTCACAGATTTTGCTTTCTGGTTGTGTGTGTGTTTTTTGGATTTTTTTTTTTTTTAACAAATTGAAGGTTTGTGGCAATGCTGCATCAAGCAAGTCTGTTAGCACCATTTTTCTGACAGCATTTGTTCAATTTATGTACCTGTGTCACATTTTGCTAATTCTTGCACTATTTCAGACTTTTTCATTATTATTGTATTTGTTATGGTGATCTATGATTAGTGATCTTTTATGTTAGTTACTATTTCAAAAGGATCATGACACATCGAAGACTCGGTTTAGCATTTTTTACCAGTAAAGTGCCTTTAAATTAAGATATATATGTTGTTTTTTTAAGATATATTGCTATTGTACACAGGATAGACTACTAGTTACTTGTAAACATAACTTATGTGCACTGGGAAACCAAAAATATTGTGACTTACTTTATTGTGATATTCACAATGTTGCAAATTTACTGTGGTGGTCTGGAACCAAATCCACAGTATCTGTGAGGTATGCCTGTCTTTATAATAAGCATTTCATAATTAGTGTTTCAAAAGATTGAAATGTGTAGACATGTACATACTCAGTTTTTAGTAGAATTACAAAATGAGTGTGAAACATGTAATTTAGAGGTAATAGTGGCAACCTGCAGATAAATAAAGACTTGTTTGTTGTTGTTGTTCAATTGCTAAGTAGCGTATGACTCTTTGTGACCCCATTGACTGTAGTCCACCAGGCTCCTCTGTCCATGGAATTTCCCAGGCAAGAATACTGGAGTGGGTTGCCATTCCCTTCTCCAGGGGATCTTCCCGACCCAGGGGTCAAGCCCAGGTTTCTGCCATGACAGGCGGTCTCTTTATCACTGAGCCACCAGACTAGATAACTTGTATTGATTATATCTGAAGGAAATAGTTAAGGGAAGCAAAAATTAAGATTCTAGAAATAGTAGGAAAATAAGTAGAATTGGAAAAGGATATTTTATATAAAAATGATGGAAATAAACATATAGTAATGGGTGAAAACAAATATTTAGTGCTTACATACCTCATAACTATTTTATCTGCCATTTTTTGTCTCAAAATCTATAAGTAAAAACTGAAGCATATAATAAAAACAGCTTATTCCCTAACAAGCATGCAGTGAAGCCATGCTGACTCTTGAAGACTGGACACAGTTCTTTTAATCTAAAGATTGCTAGAATCTCAGCTTTTATTAGAAGTTGAAACATTTCTCTCTCTTCCACACTGAAATCCTACCATCACTGTTTCTCTCAAGGTTCATGAATCCATTGGTGCTTTTAGTGTTTATTCTATTCTTTGTGTATTTTAAAAGTAAACTCATATTTTCTGAGAGTTTAAATTATGTACTTTTGGGGGGCAGGGATAATACAGTGTATACCCCTGGCTCTGTTTATTGTAAACTGATAAATTATGACCCTAAGATTTTTTAAAAACTCAAGATTTGATGAAAATTGATATATACTTAAACTTCTATTCATGAAAGTTCTTTTAATCTTCTAATACCTGATTTTCTAAAATTTTAGCTTAGTAGATATAAATTTCACTTTGAACCTTGGTTTATTTTCAGATAGAGAATTCTAGGTGCTTTTCTGTGCACAGAATTTGGACTAGTCATATAAGAAGAAAGATAAAACCTTTAAGAAAAATAACTGGCTTTAGAGGTTGCTGAAGTTTCATTTTTCAGTTGAAATGATTTTTAATTTTGGCAATGCATTTTGTCATTTACAAATGAACAGTAATGTAAGCTTATAAATGATGTCAAGGTAGAAAAATGATATTGGCTAACAAGTAGATTATATAGCAGGTATAAAGCACTGTTTGGATTCTTTCAAGTTGTATTAATATTCTTGATAAACTTTTGAACCTTGAACACTTGTTTAGGACACTAACAGTGTTGTCAACCTGTCATGGCTTATTCGTAGCTGGCTTGTCTCTTGGAGTGGGGACAGACATTTATTTTTCATGTGGTATGTCGAGAGTATGAACTGGAAAGACCAAAATCAGTAGTAGTATGTCAGCATGGAATTGATCGACGCTTCTGTGAATCCAAGGTATGTTAAAAATATGTTAGCAGTATTACAAACATTTGTGGGTTTTTTCAAAATAAAAGTTCGGTTTTTTCAATTAATAAAATTATTTTGCTAATTTATAGTCATTTTTATTTAGTTGTAAATATCTAAAATGAGGTAATTCTTAAAACATACATTCACAAGTAAATGGAGATATTATAAAATTGTATCTCTTAAATTTTTATTGTTAACATTAACATCTTACTGCATTATTACACTAACTCTTCGGGATATAGCTGTCCACTTATGTAGAAGATTTAGAAGGTAGAGGAGGAAGGTTGAATTCCTTGCATGACATTGTTGGCAGACCCTTCTGGAGCATACAGGTTCTCCTATAATGTAATTAATGATGTTGGGCATTTGCCTAGTTTCCTGACCCTAAATCTTATGCTCTTTCTACAACATTACACTACTGTGGCTAAGGATCATTATACTACTTTGAAGAGGGTTGTAGGAAGTTTATAATAATTCCTGAAATCATGTATAGTGAGATGCAGGGTGTTATTTTGTAGTAAAGAATGTTCCTTATGAATTTGGGGTGTGGAACATTTTTTAAAGTATGTTCATTTGAGAAATGAGCAACTTGAAACAGTGCAGTTTCAGAAAAGAAAAATAGCTGACCCCAATTCTGCATCATAGAGATAACCATTTCTAACAATTTGGCTTTTCTTTCCAGTTTCTTTTCTCTGTGTCTTTCCTTTCTTTTTTCTTTTGTATACAAACCATATGTTTGCTATTGAATTACTGTGAATTGGAAATAATCCATTCAGCTTTTAATTTTATATCCAAAAAATCAGTAACCTGTGTTTATTTATCATCAATAAAACAGCTATAATTGGTGATAAGAATTACTTTTTTCTTGTTATAAACACACCACCAGGCTCTGGGGAATTGGTTCCTTAGTCATTAGTTTCTTATGGGTGATTTGTTTATGCTGTAGGCATCTCCTCCCTTTATTATTTTTTTAATACTGAAAGCTTTTAAGTTGTGTTGTAATTTTAAAAAAAATTAGCTTCGTTGAGCCATAAATTCCATACAGTTTCACCCATTTTAAGTTGGAGTTTTGAGAAATGTTACATGTACTGATGTAACCATTACCGCCAATAAAGATCTAGAACATTTCTGTCACCTTAGCAAATTCCTTAGTAACCCTTTGCAGTCAGCCAGTATTCCTTGCAGCCCCTGATATTCTTTCTGTCATTTTAGATCAGAGTTTTTAAAAGGCTTGTTTTGTGCGGAGGAAATGCATTAGTATAGAACACTGACTGTTATATGAGACGCCTTCCTGTAGTTCTGGCTCTGCTGCTGACGAGCAGAGTACACGCTGCTGGGTTGGTGCTTGACTCAGAGCTGCTGTTTCACAAAGAAGTTCATTGACGTTGGTGATGTGTATGTTATCTCCAACCTAATCATGGCTAAGTCTATGTTTTAGGAATAAATAGTAAAATAACAAAAATAAGTGTGTGTGGACTTTTCAAGGTATCAGGGTAACATTTACAGTTCATATATATATTTGTGGATGTGTAAAAATGTGCATGTGTATGGAGTATGAAATACTCTTAAAATCTCAAAACTTTGAATTCCTATACAGTTCATATAAACCTGTGATATTGTTTATCAGTTTACTTTGCTATTCTTTTTGAGTTTTAACAACAAATTAGGTTTCTATTCTGTCAATTTAATGTTGTCACTTTTGAATGAAAGTGACACATGGTTATTTATGAATTAGTTTTCTTAATTGGCAAGAACTTAATTGCTCATTGTTTCATTTCTCATTATAAGTATATCTATATATAATTTATCATTATTAAAAGATGAAATTGATAATTTAAAATACACATGTAACCAGAATTTTGTTTCGTTAAATAAGCACACTTACATATCAAAATAATTGATGGTGAAGAATTAAGAGTTGAACCCATTTCATTTTAGTTGAGTTGTATTCCTGGGCCTTGTCCAACCTCAGATGACTTGAAGTATACCATGACTCGTTTAGCAGTAGATGGAGCCGATATTTATATTGTGGAGCATGGCTGTGCTACAAATATAAAGGTACACATTTGTCTGTTTCTTGGTCAGTGTAATCCTTTTTCCTTTTAGCCAAACCAAACCTCTATTTCTTAAAGTAAATCACATATTTTTAGTTTGCCATCACAGAATACCACAACATTCTAGGAGGGAGCTTTCTATTTTTAATTCACCTGTGTTCTTTTCCAGTCTTATTTTAAGACATACTTTCACTACTTTTTTCTTTTACTGAATTTTTATAACCTTGCTTTATGGCTGGAATATAAACTAGTAGGTTGCTTTTATGACAGGAACATAAACTCATAATGTTTTTAGACAATTTAATTTTGAATGCCTTTAGACTTTATTTATTTAACTTCTTGCCTGGCTCCTGGAAACATTTGTTTGCCACCTCTGCTTTAAGGGTTACTGTTGAAAATCAGGCATTGAGAGTCTGTGATTCATCTGTTGCTGACATTCTTATTTTTCTTTTCTCCTTCTCTGATTTCATTTGGAATTATAGTCTTCTCCTTTCACCTTCTTTTTAAATTTGAATGTTTATTTTTATTCTGTTGCTTTATCTTTTCTGTTTCCACTTTCTCATTTTTCCTTTCTTTCTTCCATTTGTCAGGCTATTTGAAATAATTACTTATTCTATAGTTTACTGTAATAAGTTGCTTAAAAATACAGAAACTACAGTTTTGTTTCTTTTTCTTCATTCAACTTTAGATGGGTGCAATTCGGGTTGCAAACTGTAATCTCCACAATCAGTCAGTTGGGGAAGGAATAAGTGCTGCAATTCAGGATTTTCAAGTGAGACAATACATTGAACAGTTAAATAATTCCAGAGTTGGACTTCAGCCTGCAGTACTTCGGAGGGCCTATTGGCTTGAAGCTGGGTCAGCCAACTTAGGACTTATCACTGTTGATATTGCATTAGCTGCTGATCATCATTCTAAACACGAGGCCCAAAGACATTTCTTAGAAACTCATGATGCCAGAACTAAGAGGTAAGTGAAATTTAGGAATGGTAATAAAGTTCAATGAAATGTACTAGATAATTATAGAGGAAATCCTACTGTTAGGTATAAAATAAGAACATCTTAGACTGAATGTGATTGTGCTGGGTACACTTCAGTGAGTAAATAAGAATTTGATATTTAAATAGTCACGTAGTATATATCATCTCTGATGGTGTGGTTGCTGGGAAAAAATATTTTCTGATATGTTTCTAAGCCCATGCTATGTGTGTCAGCAGTGAAGTAAATACAAATTACTGCCCCCCATAGCATTTTGTAATGCATTTACACCCCTTCTTTCTCACCAAAGCCCTCCACTTCCAACTTGTCATTCCTAGAAAACACCATTACTAATCACCATTTATTCTACAAAACTTCTGTTGTAGGTCTTCACAGTTGCAGGGAAGACAAAAAGTACCTAAACCTTAAGAAATAATTTTTAAATAGTCTCCAAAGCTTCTTACTGAATTACATCTGTTTAAAATGATAATATGACTTTTTCCATCCTCATCTCTTCCCTTCTAAAGTTTATAAAGTTTACAAAGCTTGTTTTAAAAATAGAGAAAACTATTAAGAAATAAAGGAAAATAATTATCATAATCCTACCACACTGAATTTGTTACATTTCTCCCCAGTATTTTTAATGTATTTCTGTTAAGCTTGAAATCATCCTATATTTGTGCTTTAAAATTCTGCATTTCTGTAATTGTTACCTTTTTTTTTAAAAAAAAGAAAGCAAAACTCTTTTTTTTTTTCATTGTTTTTACCAGCAGCAAAGTAAGATTTTGGGGGAATAGCAAAGAATTGCAATTCAAGACAAGCAAACTTTGGCGAAACATAGGCAAGTTTGGAGAATAGAAGAGAGGGTCTTGCTTCTATAGAGGAAAGGAGATTGGGGAGGCTGTCTGGTTCTTCATTGGCTGCAGCCCTTTGGCCGCTTGAGTTTCCTGAGTCAGAAGGCTGGGGTCTGTAAGTTGTACTTAGCCATTTCCGATATATTAAATATATAGATTGTTTCTAAATTTTTCATTGTAAATGGCTTTTCCCACAATTTCTGGGTATATCCTTTAAATAGTTTCCTCAGAAGGGGGTGTGACTGTTAAAGACTGAGCTTTTGATAATGCTTTCCCAAGTTACTTCCTGGACGCTTTTCAATTTATATTCCCAGTGGCTGTTTAAGAGAGTCTCTGTCTTACTGCACCTTTGCCACCCTCTGAGTGTTTTATAGTAACTGAAAGGTGGTATCTCTGTCTTATTTTGCATTTCTTTATTTTGGGATTATTTAATACTTTTTTTTCAGATATTTATTGGATATTTTCCCTCATTTGTGAATTACCTGCTAGTATCCTATATACATTTATTTATTGGGATCTTGGTGTATTTCTTACCAATTTTTAAGAACTCTATAAAGATTATTGCCCTTTTTTGATCCCTGTTATTGATATTTTGCAGTTTCATTTATTTTTTCTTATGTTAAATAGATTTTAAGTTTATGTATTCAAATGTATTCACCTTTCCATTTTATAATTTTTTTGTACTAATTTGAGAGCACTTCTTTGCTAGTAATCACATGACCCCTGTATTTTATTTTTTACTACTCTTTTTTCGTTACTAACATAAAACTCTAAACCATTTGGATTTTTTTTTTATGGTGTTGTGCATTAATACAGCCAAGGATGTAAATAGTTTTTTTTGCAAATATCTGTTCAAATATAGAAAAAAAAAACTAATACTTAACACCTACTCATTTCACAAAATGTTTAGATATTTTCACCTATTAATCTTCCCCAAAGAACTGTTTTTCTAGTAAAAGAAATCCTATTGAGGTTTTTACTGAGATTACATTAATCTTTTAGGTTTATTTAAGATACTGGTATATTATAAATCTTAGTAAGAAAACTCATGTGTGGAGAATATTGTTTGAAAAAACATTTTGGTTTCTTTGTGCACTGTTGCCCTGGAAGCCAGTTGGTATGAAGACAGTGCCTGCTTTGATAGGTCAGATGGTAGAGGAGGGTGATAGTGAAGCTGAAGAGGTGGCTCCATGTGACTTAGGGTGCCTCACTGAGGTTAGTTTCATTGCTGTGATTTGTTAAAAATTGTGAAGTTGGAGATTTTATCCTACTTATTAGCTAAGAAGTTACCCTGCCACAGTATACTGATTGCTGGCAGAAGACATGCGAAACCTGGTGAGAGACACAGGACTTTATTACAGCAAAAGTACTAGCCAGAGTCAGATGTGTTTGCACTGGTTACCCTTGTCCCACAAATAGGATTGCCAGAGAAAATACAGGATGTGCAGTTAAAATTGTTTCAGATGAGTAACAGATTGCTTTTTAGTATAAGTATACACCACCTGTTACATGGGCACAAACATTTTTATTTGCTAAACCTGGCACCCCTATCCCTGAGTCCCATGGGGATGTCAGAAAAGACCCATGATGGATGTCTGCACATAGTAGGGTGCATTACAGAAGAGGAACACTGAGCTTAGGTATCTTTTACCACTTTTATAGTAAGTGGAGTGAGCCTACTCTTTTCCAGAACCCTGAGAAATAGCCTGGTCAGAGCCTTACATTCTTGGCATATCCAGCAAGAACAGGTAAGGCTTTTACCTGCCCACAGTGAATTGCTTCTCCCTACATGGTAGCTCTAATGATACCACGCTAATGGCAGAAAGTGAAGAGGAACTAAAGAGCCTCTTGATGAGGGTGAAAGAGGAGAGTGAAAATGCTGGCTTAAAATTCAACATTCAAAAAAACTACGATCATAGCATCCAGTCCCATCACTTTGTGGCAAATAGATGGGGAAAAAGCAGAAAGAGGAAACGGTAACAGATTTTATTTTCTTGGGCTCCCAAATTACTGCAGATGGTGACTGCAGCCAGGAAATTAATTTAGTAAGCCTTCCCAGTGATTGTTTTTTCATTTAAACTTTTTATTTTGTGTTGGGATATAGCCGATTAACAAACAGTATTGTGATTGAGGTGAACAGTGAAGGAACTCAGCCATACATATACACCTCCCAGCGATTCTAATGTGAGCTGAAGTTTGAGAACTGGTACACTGGTTTACATAAAGATAGGAATAGGTAGGTTACATTTGTTGCACAACTTCTGTATTCCAGATTTTGCATAAGGGGTTTTACATACATTATACATATTTTTCCTTTTGTCTTGCCCAGACTGATGTGCCTCTTCTAACTTGATATATTTATTTCTTCACTTCTAACTTGATATATTTATTCCATCTCATCTTTCACATCTCAAATATTATTTTTTGTAACAATGTTTCATTATGTTCTTTGTCACAACACCCTCTTTTTTATCTCAGAGCACTTACTATAATTTATAATTAGATACTATTTGTGTGACCCGTCTTTGCCTCTGTACTATAACTTCATATGGATAAGGTTATGCCTAGCACCATACAAGGCGCATAGTAGGTATTTTCAAGAAATATAAATGAATGAATGTAAAAAGGAAATGAAATACTTATTCTGTCTTCCTCTGAGAGCCCTAAGGATCTAGTGAGATAATGCATGTGGAAATGCTTAGAAAAATGGACTGTTAATAAGAGGTTTTATTATTTAAAGTTGAAAAAGTAATAAAGATATATTTCTCAGATTTCTATAATATTTTTAAGGAAGGAGGGTAGTTAATAATGGCTGATATTTTTGTGTGGGAGTCACTCACAGAGCCTAAAGAATTTTACAGACATTTACTCTTACTGTCTTAATTCTTAATACTTCATTCAGAGTCCTTATTACAAAATCACAACAATTTTTTTTTCTAAAATATAGAGTGGTGTATTATTTTGATTTTATTGAGAATTTCTTAATTGCCTCATATTTATAACATTTTGGTGTACTAAATTTACCATATGACTAAGTCTTTGCCATGCTAAATATTATAATCTTTTAAGCATAATCTATACTAATAGTTCTGTTTTTTAAATTAGTGTTTAAATTTTTTGTTCTTTTGAGAATGTTTACTGCTGTCTTTAAAGTGAATTTAAATGTTTAATTTATATATACATTTATTTTTATCTCTTTGATTTTTTAAAAATGTATGTTCTGTTTCTCATTATTGTTCCTACTTATTTTCATCTCACCATGGTGAGACTATTTTTTTTAAGAAAGGCAAAATAATTAAAAAGATAGTCCATAGTAAAAACAAACCTTTGTGTTTAACTTGTCTTTTAAAAATATTAACAGTTAACATATTAAATTATTTGCTCAAAAGTTTCTGATTTCTTAATGAGTTTTTGTTATGTTGTCATTCTTTTGTTTCTTTTGTTGTGTGTTCTATTTAGGTTGTGGTTTTTGTGGCCAGATGATACCCTGAAGAATAAGAGGTGTAAGAACAAGTGTGGTTGTCTTGGTGGCTGCAGATTCTTTGGTGGCACAGTAACTGGCCTAGATTTCTTCAAACTTGAAGAGTTGACACCTTCCAGTAGTTCTGCATTTTCAAGCACAAGTGCAGAGTCTGATATGTATTATGGACAGTCTCTGCTACAGCCTGGAGAATGGATTATTACTAAAGAAGTTCCCAAGATTGTAGATGGTAGTGTGTTGTCACTTATGTTTATCTTTTATTATCTTCATTCTGAGAGAAGTTCAGTGTTACTTTGTTCAGATTGGTTTTTTGAGCAGTCTTTTATGTAGGGTTTAATTATAATCTGTCTTTGTTTTGCAGGTGATTTACCTATATAGCCAGATAAGATCTAGTGAGTTTTTCAGAGTTGCACAAGGCAAAAGTAGATTTATTGTACAGATCTCCTGCAGTTAACATGGGTGATTTTTCCTAGCCCAACTTTAAATATTTGTGAATATATCATTATTTCCCTAGAACTTAGATTCCAGAAATAGACTTAGGAATAGCTGTGCTTTGAGGTTACGATTGTTTTACCAGTTTACTTCTATAGGAAAAACTTACCAATAGTAATATTTATACTATTGGCTCTCATGTTATCCACTACTTTTGCAAAATACTCTTCTTATGACTTAAATCATCCATGTCAATAAATTTGATGTTTCTGTAGAGCCTGTAGGATAACTTTACAGATACATGAGTTTTGTATGAACAATGAATGGTGGATTTAGGCATATTGAATTTATATCTATTATCTTTTCTCCAAAGACTTCAGAAATATATCTTCCATTGTGTTTCTTGTGTATTCCTACAATTAAATGCAATACATACTGCTAAAGGTGCCATACTGACAAGAAGTGAAATTTAGGAGAAGTCTTGATATTGCACTAGTATTTAGCCCTTTTCCCTTGATCAATTCAAAATAATTAACTTAGCTCTGCCTTTTGTCAGTAGACAAACTAGAAAAGAAGTAGTTTTAACTTTTAAGAATTTATTAGCTTGATTGTCTTGTATATGGAGCTCTTAGAGGAAAGAGCTGGGAATATGTATGCCAAATTCTTGTTTAAATGGTTTTTCACTGAATATTAATAAATTGTACATGCTAGTTTAAGGTTACTTGACTTCAGCAGTTTTACCAGAGTAAAAGCAGATTACCTTACAAAATCAGCAAATACCAAAACTTCTAGACATTTAAAGGACAAGAAAGATACGAAACAAAATTTACTTAGCTATCTTCTTATAATATTACCTTTTTGCTTTTGAATAATATTTGTTTAAAAGATTTTCATAAGCATTTCTTGTTTCATCTTCAAGCTACCCATGTGAGTTCTTTATTTTCCCTGTTTGTGGTGAAATAACTGAGGTTCATCACTGAGACTGAGTTGCATGAAGTCATACAGTCATGTATGTGACTGAGCAGAAACCAGAATCACAATTATCAAAGCCACTTTAGTTTTTTCAACCATACCACAGCTGGCACTATTTATAAAGACTTTGCTTGTTTCTGTAATCTGTAGATCAAATTTTTACCATCACAAATGCAAGGAAGAAAATCTACAGGGAATTTGCACATGGTATAAAAGGGAGAAAATAGCAAATTCTCTAACAGTGAACAAAACAAGCCTCATTTTAGTTCTTATGTAATAGAGAGTGTCTGTGCCTCCTAGTGATTCCCTCAGGAATGAGTTGTAATTGGTAAACTGCCATAAGTTTCTTGCGCAGGGAAGCTTGAAGTTAGCCCCTTCATAGTCCCTTCTTAAGTATATGACTTTCTGATTGTTGAGTTTTCCAGGAGCCACATATAGATGTAGTGTCAGGACAGAATTAAGGAGGGCATATTGGTATAACTAAAGAATTTCCTTGGAAGGTCAGTAGATACTAGTTTCCTATCATTTAAAAGTGAATCAAACCTATTTTTCTTTTGATTTTGGTTGTGATTTTTACATTCGTGATAGTAGAAGCAAATATTACTTGTATTCTAAGTTCATAAGTCTTCTTACCACTTAAGTTCTATCTAGAATTGCCTTCTACTTGTTGAGATGTTTTCTCCTACTAGCAGGTTCCTCTCTTGTGAATAGGACAGGGATAGCTGGAGAAGAGGGGAAGTAGGGCAGCAATATATATATATATATATATATATATATATATATAATCGCTGTTTGCCCCCAATTTACATAGCACATCACAGGGCTCTCATAAAAGGCTGAGAGAATGTTCCAGATTCAGGAAGACATGACAACTGAATGCAGTAATATACAATCCTAGATTGGATCCTGTACTGGAGAGGGCAAAAGGCTTTCTAGGACATTATTGGGCCTTTTGAGAAAATTGGAAAGCACATGGTAGACTAGATAACAGTATGGTATCAGCATCAAATATACCAAGTTGGTAACTATACTGTGTTTTTGTATTATTCTTAGGAAATAAACCTTTTGAGTATTTAGAGTAAAAAACCATGACAGCAAATTACTCTTAGGTGGTTCCCAAAATATTATGTCTGTTTATATAAACTGAGCAAGTGTGGGCAAAGTGTTTAAAATAGATAATTTTGAGTAAAATAGCTTTGATTTGTTACCACTCTTGAAATTTTTCTAATTTGGAAATTTTTCATATAAATAGTTATTTGAAAAAGAAGAAATTCAGTTTGTGAACTCTGGTTTCATATGTATGTTGATATCTTTCTGTAGTGTTTAGCATATTGCTATATGAAATTAGTTGTGCTTTTTAAAAACAAATACATACTTAACAACAGGGTATTCGATTGCATTCTCATGTTTTTCATAAATTGTTTTTGAAATTATTGTGTTTATGTAACCTACTTTGTGTTTGTTTAGGTAATGTGAATGGCATGAAGAGGAAAGAATGGGAAAACAAATCAGTGGGAACAGAAGTAGAGAGGAAAACTCAGCACCTTAGTCTTCAAGTACCATTACGATCTCATAGCTCATCCTCTTCCTCCGAGGAGAACAGTAGTTCCAGTGCTGCCCAGCCTCTCTTGGCTGGCGAAAAGGAATTTTCTGATTGCAAGAGTAATTAATACTATTCATTCCAGATATTAAGAAAATACAGAAAAGTATAACAAAAATGAATGTTTCTTGTCCTCCCACCACTGAAAGTGAACTGTTGTTAACATTTGGATATTAGCCTTCCAGTGTGGTGAATAATTTTTGGTCTTCCCTTTGGTCCCTAGTTGATTACTCACTTCTTGCAAATCACTTTCCTCTTGACTTGATAGCACATTTCAGATCCCCCTGCCCAGGTCCTTGACTATTCTCTCTTGGTCTCTATTTCCAAGTCCTCCATTTTTTTCCTTTCCATTCTTCTTTCTCTTATTCTTAACAGCTGCCATTTGTTAAATGTTGTTAGCCCTAAAGATTCTGTTCTGTACCCTTCTCACCTCTCAATCTACTATTTCCCTCAGCAGTCTTAGTAACTATTTGGCTTCAATTATGATCTGTAGTTAACATCTTATAAGTGTAAAAACTCCATCCCCTACCTGTGTCCCTGTAAGCCTAGCCATCTTCTTGATGTTTCATGGATGGCTCAGACTCAGCATATTAAAAAGTGACCTTGTGCCTATCGTGCTCAGCTTGTTATGCCTCAGTAAATGGCACTCATATATCAGTTGCTGAAGTCAGAAATATTGGAGTTATCTATGACATATTGCTTTCCTTTATTTCCTCTTATCTGATCAAAGACACCTGGCATATTTTGTTGAATAAACTTTTAATGAATATGGGAATAATAAAAAGTTTACAAATCCATTAGTGTCCATGGATTATGGATAGATTATACTCCAGGTTTCTTTAAATTTTTGTTTTAAGCTGACTCCAATTTTTTGTTTGTTTTGTTTTTGGAACTGTATGGGGTAGGAACATATACTGTGCTGTTTTGCTACTTTCTGTGGGTATTTTATTGTAAAAGTTTACATCTTTCTTTGTTTGTAAAAAGAATACAGAAAAGATTTTACAAGTACTTCTGTTTGTACTTAAATTATGTGATGTGCAATAAATGTTAATAGTTTTTCTTTCTGTTTTAGCATCCCTACAGAAATTTCAGGAAACAGCCCTGTATCTCCTAATACTCAGGAAAAGTCAGTAGGTCAGTCTCCTCTGAGATCTCCCTTGAAACGACAAGCCTCTGTATGTTCCACCCGACTTGGAAGTACCAAGAGCCTTACTGCTGCTTTTTATGGGGACAAGCAGCCTGTTACAGTGGGAGTCCAATTTAGCAGTGATGTCTCCAGAAGTGATGAAAATGTACTAGACTCACCAAAGCAGAGGAGAAGTTTCGGTTCATTTCCATACACACCATCAGCAGACTCTAATTCATTTCATCAATATCGATCAATGGATTCCAGCATGTCAATGGCTGATAGTGAAGCCTACTTTTCTGCAGCTGAAGAATTTGAGCCCATTAGCAGCGATGAAGGCCCTGGAACTTATCCGGGTAGAAAAAAGAAGAAAAAGCAAGCCCAGCAGATTGACTATAGTAGGGGTTCCATATATCACAGTGTGGAAGGACCACTTACTGGCCAGGGAGAAAGCATTCAGGATCCCCGGACTCTGCCATTCAAAACTCATCCTTCCCAGGCTTCCTTTGTTTCTGCATTAGGTGGAGAGGATGATGTTATAGAGCATCTGTATGTTGTAGAAAGTGAGAAAACAATAGAAAGCGAACAGATTACTTCTCAGCAACCTGTGATGAATTGCTATCAGACTTACCTTACACAGTTCCAGGTAATTAATTGGTCAGTGAAGCATCCAACCAACAAAAGAACCTCTAAGTCCTCACTGCATCGCCCCCTTGATCTGGAAACACCAACCAGTGAAGAAAGTTCATCATCATTTGAACAGCTTTCTGTTCCAACTTTTAAGGTATAAGCTAAATCATTAGTTTTCACTGATCAATTTATTTAGGAAAATTATTTTTAAGATGTTTTAAAAATTGCTCTCTCAGTATTTAGCTACCTTTCTGAAAGATAAAATTCCTGAAGACATGGCTTCATGTATGACAGTAAGCCTCAGGTTTATTGATGAGTTTTATAAACGTAAGCATATAAAATTAAGGAAAAGTTTCAGACTTGATTATCAGAATATTAACAATGCATAGTCCATGTCTACATTATATTCTGAGATTAGGATCAAGTCTCTGTGAATTCATATTTTCTGTCTTAAAAGTAAAATTTTGGAATTGTTTTTAATAGTTGGTATTCTTTCTATTAATCCGTAACTGCTTCTATGCAAATCCAGTTCTGCATACTTGATATTTGAGATCTTATAATTTAGTATTAATTGATTATTGTCCATATCTATAATGTATTCTGTAAATAGCTTTTTGATAGGAAAGCTAAAAATATGTCAAAATAAATTTAGTGATAAAGCCAATATGAAAACATTTTTATAAATATATAAAAGAACTTTATGATTTTAAAGACCAAAATTGAGCATATAACATCTTATGGAACTGATTGACATTTAATAATTTTATGTGGTATTTACTTATGTGTAATATATATTCTTATTTAAACTGTCTAAATGTTAATATTCTCATTGTTAATTCAGATATTTGTTATATACTACTGCGTGTTAACAATTTGATGTTCAGTGGTGGAGAAACAGACATGGGGCTTATAGTTAGGCAGTTAATATAGATAAATAGATAAGTACAGTGTATGATTACAAATTGAGAAGTCTTACAAAGATAATCAAAGGATGCTGGAATAGAGAATAATGGGAGGTAGTGGGGTTGTGTAGATTGTATTGACATGAAAGGTCTATCACAGGATGTAATATTTAAACTGAAACTTAAAGGATGAGGAAGAATTGAAGATGGGAAGATTTAGGGGTACTATATTCAGGGAATAGGACCAAGACCTTAAAGCTTCATGGGAGTTTTAAGGAAATGTGATATGATCTCTTATATTTTGGCTACCAAGTAGAAGTGAATTGTCATTAAGCAAGGAGGAAGTGGGGTGATGACTTAGGAGGCTGTCTCAGTAGTCTGTGTAAGACATGATATACTCGGACTTAAGTAATGATGGAAATGTGATAAATGGAGTGGAATATCCTTACAGATGTATGTATTGAGTAATATGTATTGAAGAAAGAAGAAACATAGTAACAGTCACAGATTTTATTTTGAGGTTGTACCCATTTCTTATCTTGCCTAAGATAAATTGCCCATACCAAAATTTTAAAATGTTCTCTTTATTCCATGTGAAAATATGTTGGTATATGAATGCTTTAGTATAAAACCGAATGGTACTTGCTTTGAAGAATTGCTGTCAGAAGTTAGAATTATTAATATTTTAGTATTTTCAATAAATCTTGTTTTGCTCAGGCAGTCAAATGTCTAGAGAAAATAAGCCAAGGAGTTCATATCTTTAGACAACTTCAAAAATAGAACATAAAATCTTTTTTCTTCACTAGATCTAAATAACAGGCTAGCATTTAAAAGGATTTAGTTTGGTTGTTTAAGTACATTATTTATTTTGTTATCTTTTATGGATATCCCTGGAAGAGGGCATGGCAGCCCACTCCATACTTTTGCCTGGAGAATCCCGTGGACAGAGAAGCCTGATGGGCTACTCTCCATGAGGTCACAAACAGATGGCCAAACTGAAGCAGCTTAGCAGGCACGCATGATATGAAATACAACCTAATTTTTCCTATAATTTAGTGTTTCTCTGGGATTCTTTCCTAGTTATATACTATTTTGTCTTCTTTTGCATATGTTTAAAATTTCATAAAATGAGAAGTGTAAAAGAAAATAAAAGCCGATTGTGCTACAAGACTCTTGAATTAGCTTTTTCTAAGTAAAGCCCAGTTTAAAGAGGAACTACGGAGGAAAGACATTGGACGCACGTATTTTTAAGCTTTAGTAGTGTAGTCCACTCTCGTTGCTGAATCCTTGCAGCCCTGCTTTGTCATTGAAATAATCAGAAAATGAAATTGACAGTTGAATATTTTCTGTGATTTTCTCAATTTGTCTGTTAAATATTTATATTTTACATATCAAAATCACATTAACAAGGTAATTTGGATATTGAGAAATATCAGTGAGAAATATTGATAGCGTAAAGTTAGAGAATAACTAATACTATAATTCTAGTCTATAAGTAATGTTTTCTTTTATTCTAGGTTATCAAACAGGGGCTCACAGCTAACTCTTTACTAGACAGAGGAATGCAACTTTCAGGATCAACTTCAAAGTAAGTAAAAATTATGTACTTATGAGGTTTTAAGTCAGTCTTTCTTGATTATTAGATTATAGAGTTTATTCTGAGAAATAACCATTCTTTACCTGATCATAGTATTTATTTTATGAATTAATTGGCCCAAATAATTTAACTCTGTTGTCTTTCATGGCTTTGTCTACATTTATGAGCATTCAGTAGCATTTCTTTTAGATATACTATGCAAACCACAACTAGACATACTAAAATTGGGAGCTAACAAGAATTTAGTATTACAAATTTTATATTTTGGAAATGTCCCATCCAATAAATATATCAAAAGAAGTTTTATATTTAATGCGTTAACCATCTTAGATCAACTTGCATCTTAGTGCCTCATTGTCTTGTCCTTGAAAAGTTATTTGGGACATATCTAGTCCAATTTCATGAAATTTGTAGTTGAAATAATTACAAGTTTAAAGATTAAAGAGACACCAACTGCTATTTTGTGTGTGTGTGTGTGGTCTTTTAAATATATATTTTGCTTGTTAAATTGTATAGTACACCATATACTCCGCTGGAGAAGAAAGCTGTTGATAACACTGATGATGAGACATTAACAGAAGAGTGGACCTTGGATCAGCCAGTCTCCCAGACTAGGACCACAGCCATAGTTGAAGTAAAAGGAACTGTTGATATTGTTCTGACTCCCCTAGTGGCTGAAGCTTTAGACAGGTATTAATTTTGTGTAAAAGTACAACTACTATTTTATAAAATAATAAGTGTATGTGATAATGATTAGTGTATGTGATATAATATTTTCATGAAAAAGAATGATGAATAATTATTGATGAAAGATTCTATTTTGATTGAATAAAAATGAAAATATATTTAAAAGGAACTGTGTTTCAGCTATTATTTGTTCCTTTCTCAGCTTAAATAATTATATATTATAATATTATAATAATTATATTACATTTTCTACTTTTTGCTTTTGGTCTATTGATCATAAAAATGACCAAATACCCAGGAACGGAGTTACTAAGGTTAATGAAGGGATAAAGAGGAAATAATGTATTCTCTGTCCTACAAAGAGATTATAGTCTAAGGAGACAAAACTAAGATGAATGACATCTAGAACAGAACATAATAGGATAGACTAGATAAACTAGATGACAGTATTAAGTGACATTAAAATGCCTCATTCACTGTTTTTCCTCCTCAGGTATATTGAAGCCATGGTGCATTGTGCTAGTACTCGTCATCCAGCAGCAATTGTGGATGATCTGCACGTCAAAGTCCTCAGGGAAGCTGTCCAAAACAGCAAGACTACCTTCTCAGAAAATGTAAGAACTTTTTGTTGAGGGAGTGCGGCAACAGAGTGTTCTTCACGTGTACATAGTAGCCAAACTCGAGAAACTTGAATATACTAAAACTTTATCAGACATTTAAATTGGAATACAGGTGGACATTTCTAAACAACCTTTATATGTCATTGGCTCTGTAAGAGATAGCGTATATGACTATCAGTTCAGTTCAGTCGCTCTGTTGTGTCCGACTCTCTGGGACCCCATGAGAACCCCATGAACAGTATATGACTATGCTATGTATTAAAGAAGAGTAATATATTTATTAAAATGTGGCATTTTTTCTTTTATTTTGGAAGTAGTTTAATTCCAAGCCTTTTCTAAAGAGCTTTGGTCCTAAGTGAAGGAGAGTTGTTTAGCACTGGTACATTCGTTTTCTGAGAAAGCAAATCTTTTTATTATTTTGACTTTCCTCTGTGATTAGATAACTTGTATCTTAATATTTTTGAAGTTATTTTTGTTCACCTCAGTGAATCAAGCCACTGTCTTCTGGTGTATGATATTTTCCTTACTTTGTGGTCTGAGTCACAAAGCTACTTTTTTAGCAGTCATGTCTCATCAGTGACTGTCCACTTGAATTTCAAGTTTATCTGAGTTGGATTTGGACTAGGAACCAGGCAAGGTGAAATTAAAGCTATTTTTAGTGATCCAGTTATTCAGAGTACATTGGTGTTTCATGTGATAGGTAATTAAGCTAGAGTAGTATAAATCAAAAGAAATTTGAAAATATTCCCAGCCAACAAGGAGAGCTAGTTATCAGAAACCAAATAGGTTTTCAAGTACACAGAATTTGGTGATCCTTTAAAAAAACCCTTTTATTGTTATTGCCATCTTTTCTGTCTGTTTTTGTGTAGGCTGATTTAGCTTTATTATGTATCACTCTTCTCAACCTTGGGGCTGCCAGTCTGTTTCCCAGCTTTTCTAAGGTTTGGACTTCTAAGACTGGAAATGCCAACCCAGATGGCAGCTAGTATATAGATAGGTATAAAGGAGCATAGTGAATAACAAGTTGCTGTTGTAGATAATGTGGAAATTAGTAAAGGTCTGTGAAATAATAATACTACTTTTAATCTTTTTAGCTATCTTCTAAGCAAGATGTTAGAGGAACAAAAACTGAACACTCTACCATAGGAATGACTAATCAAGGACAAGCACAGACAAATCCTATGATGAAGCAAGATAATGTAACAATTAAAGGTCTTCAGGCTAATGTTAGCATACCAAAGGTAAAAATTTAATATTTAAAAAAGTTTTTCTGAAAGGAAATATTGTGGTGATTTTTATTCTAAACTAAATGGTGGTAGAATAAAGCATAATATCAAATTTTTAAATTTTATTTCTTTGATGATCTAATGTAAGAATTAATGTAATATAAATAGTTTACCTAAACAGAATGTCGGTTAATATATTACTAATATTTAAATAACATTAAATATTTAATGTTACTTAATTAACATTAATATGTATAGTAATATGCAATTATTATATTATAATTATTAAATATTAAACAATCATTTTAATATTTAACATTTAATTAACAATAGTGTTATTTAATAAATTAAATAAGTTAATTAAATAAAATCTAAAATGTTTCATATCCATCAAGAATTTTATTATTATTTTATGAGTTTATATTTATAAGCTTTGCCTTCATTATACTCTCGTACACGTAGATAGATATGCCATTCCTAACAATAGTTTTCACTTTCCTGTATATCTTGTGTTTAAGTGGTAACTTTCTCCTTTTCAACTCTGAAGTATGTGACATTTTGTGTGTCAGGTGAACTTATGTTTGCTACAAGCCTCAGTAGAGGAATCTGCAAATACAGCTCCTAGTAGGAGTGTGACTCATGTTTCCTTAGTAGCGCTGTGTTTTGACAGAATTGCTACACAAGTTCGTATGAACAGGTAAGAAAGAGTTTATTAACCTGAGCCGTGACTATCTCGCTGGATGTAAAAGCAAGCCTTAACTGTCTTTTCAATATATTTTGGAAAATTCTGATGTTAAAACTCAAGACTGATATTGGAATTTCAGATCTCATTTTTATATTAGCAAAGTGGGTTTTAAAAAGTTTACACATAGTTTACATACTATCTTTCAGTAAACACTGAAGAATTTTTTAATTATTGGTTTATTTAAAATAGTGGAATGGTTTTTTTTTTTTAAACTAGTTAAATATTTTTACTGAGCTATATTATATAAATGTTAACCATCATACTCTTTCTTTTTTCATGAAGAGGTGTGGTTGAAGAGAGTTCAAACAGTGCCGACCCTGGTAAAACATCAAATTTTGATAGGTACGTTCATGCTACTAAGATGCAGCCTCAGTCATCTGGATCTCTCAGATCAAATGCTGGAGTGGAAAAAGGCAAAGAGATTGCAGCCAAGTTAAACATTCATCGAGTTCATGGGCAACTGAGGGGTCTTGATACAACAGGTAGGTGTCTACAATATTTGACATATATAAATGTAAGAGGATTTCACAACAGGAAACATTATTGCTTCAATTTTAGTATTTCATAAGAAAAAGGTTTTTCTAGATGAACACAGAATGTTTAACTAATGCAAAAGATAAGGTAAACTTCGGTAGGAAGGTGAGTGGTATGGCCCCAAATTAGGAACTGCTTCTATCTCCCATGTTTTTTTCATGGTATCTGTTTGCTCATTATAGAACAGAGAGGGTATGATCCTTATAGTCTTTGCTTTCTTTTTAAAACCATTCTGTTGACACAGCTTTGTTAAAAAGGAATAATTGTGGTATCAAAAGTAGATAGTTAAAATGTAAAATATAGCACCAATAAGAATGACAGGGATAGCTGTGGGCTTCTTAAAATAATATCTTTAAAGAATTTTCAAAAAACTGAAGAAATTGTCTAGTTGACTATTACATGAAATGTGGGAACCCAAAGCTGGGTTTGTAAAATGATCTCTAAAGAGCTGGTAGGAAACTTTGTTCAAATGTAAACAAGTTACCTCTAGGTGGTAAATTTCCATGAATTTCTTTATCTTCCTTTTGCTTTTCTGTATTCATAAGCTGTAATCAGAGAAAGAAATTTTTAAAAAAAATGATAAAGTAAAAACTTCGGATACTAATGTCCATATGGCATATTGAAAATGATGGAATTATGGCAATCAATGTCTGTGATGAATTTTTATATAAAATGTTAGCATAAAGCAGTCTATGAGTAAAAGATATAGTTTTCCTGGGAAAGAATGTTTTTTCTAAGTCTAGGAAATTAATTTAAATAATTTTTATTTTGTAAAATCACAAGTCAGTGTTTAAAATAATTTACTATGAAGCTGAATTATTCAGGAACTTTTTAAGTTTAGACTTTTAGATTTTTTTCTATATAATCTTTCGGAAATTATCCTGTCTCTGAATAATTATTTGTTAATTATGGAATCTTCTTTTCACCTTCTTACTTTAACATGATTCTGGAACCTTTTAGTTAGTATGACATTCAGTTCAGTTCAGTTCAGTTGCTCAGTTGTGTCTGACTCTTTGCGACCCTGTAAATCACAGCACGCCAGGCCTCCCTGTCCATCACCAACACCCGGAGTTTAGGCAGTGTTATTTTAGAAACTGGTTGGTTCATTGTTTTTCTTTGATAGAATACTAAGATACCTTTTAGGACAACCACTGTGTCAAATGGTATTGTTTATTGTTTTTTGTTTTATTTATTGTTTTTGTTTTATTTACTTATTATTTATTGTTTTTAAAAAATAGACAAACCTCTGCTTTTAAAAATGGTCATTTTGTTCTCTTTTAATAATAGATATTGGTACCTGTGCCATCACTGCTATTCCTTTTGAGAAATCCAAAGTTTTATTTACTCTTGAAGAGCTGGATGAGTTTGCTTTTGTGGATGAAACTGATCAGCAAGCTGTTCCAGATGTAACTCGAATAGGTCCCAGCCAGGAAAAATGGGGTTGGATAATGTTCGAATGTGGACTTGAAAATTTAACAATAAAAGGTAAGCTTTTTAAATTTCTGCCTCAAGGGAACAAATTGGACACAGATTACTGAAATGTTTTGAACAATCATGACTTTCAGTAAGCTGAATCAGCATATTCAAGCAGAAAGTATGACATCTGAGATTATTTAATAGGGGTGAGTGCCCCATCCCAATTGTGTAAGTGGATCTTTATGGAATTATCGTGTGATTTAAAACTAGCAAAGCAACTGGACATACAAATCATCAGTGCCTGAGCAAAGCAGTGTATAGCTCAGAAAAAATTCTTGCATAAAATATAAAACATCTTAACTTTAGAAACTTTGTATCTTTGGAAACTGGATCTTTGATTATTAGATTCTTGCCATGTAGGATGAAAATACTGTAAATTCTTTATTCCGTGATCAGTGAATTCAGTTAATCTATCATGTACAACTCTTTGTGACCCCATGGACTGCAGCACGCCAGGCTTTCCTGTCACCAATTCACAGAGCTTGCTTAAACTCATGTCCATAGAGTAGGTGATGCCATCCAACCATCTTACCCTATGTCAACCCCTTCTCCTACTGCCTTCAATCTTTCCTAGCATCAGGATCTTTTTCAGTGAGTCATTTCTTCATATCAAGTGGCCAGAGTGTTGGAGCTTCAGCATCACTCCTTCCAGTGAATATTCAGTACTGATTTCCTTTAGGATGGATTGGTTGATCTCTTTGCAGTCCAAGGGACTCTCAAGAGTCTTTTCCAACACCACAGTTCAAAAGCATCAATTCTTCTGCGCTGAACCTTCTTTATAGTCCAACTGTCCCATCCATACATGACTACTGGAAGAACCATAGCTTTGACTAGATGAAACTTTGTCTGCAAAGTAATGTCTCTGCTTTCTATTATTCTAAATTTGTCATAGCTTTTCCTCCAAAGAGCAAATGTCTGTTAATTTCAAGGCTGCAGTCACCATGTACAGTGATTTTGGAGTCCAAGAAAATAGTCTGTCACTGTTTCCATTGTTTCCCCATCTATTTGCCATTGAGTGATGGGACTGGATGCGATGATCTAAGTTGTCTGAATGTGAAGCCAACTTTTTTACTCTTCTTTTTCACTTTCATCAAGAGGTTCTTTAGTTTTTCATCACTTTCTTCCACAAGGGTGGTGTCATCTGTGTATCTGAGGTCATTCATGTTTCTCCTGGCAATCTTGATTCCAGTTTGTGCTTCATCCAGCCCAGCGTTTCTCATGATGTACTCTGCATATAGATTAATTAACCAGGGTGACAGTATACAGCCTTGATGCACCTTTCCCGATTTGGAACCAGTCTGTTGTTCCATGTCCAGTTTTAACTGGTGCTTCTTGACCTGCATGTAGATTTCTCAGGAGGCAGGTCAGGTAGTCTGGTATTCCCATCTTGAAGAATTTCCCACAGTTTGTTATGATCCACACAGTCAAAGGATTCGTCGTAGTCAATAAAGCAGAAGTAGATGTTATTCTGGAACTCTCTTGATTTTTCGATGATCCACGGATGTTGGCAATTTGATCTCTGGTCCCTCTGGCGTTTCTAAAATCCAGCTTGAACATGTGGAAGTTCACAGTTCACATACTGTTGAAGTCTGGTGTGGAGAATTTTGAGCATTACTTTGCTGGCATGTGAGACGAGTGCAATTGTGTGGTAGTTTGAACATTCTTTGGCATTGGAATGAAAACTGACCTTTTCCAGTCCTGTGGCCACTGCTGAATTTTCCAAATTTGCTGGCATATTGAGTGCAGCACTTTCACAGCATCATCTTTAGGATTTGAAATAGCTCAACTGGAATTCCATCATCTCCACTAGCTTTGTTTGTAGTGATGCTTCCAGACACCCACTTGACTTTGCTTTCCAGGTATGGCTCTAGTGAGTAATCACACCATCGCAGTTATCTGGGTCATGAAGATCTTGTTTGTATAGTTCTTCTGTGTATTCTTGCCCCCTCTTCTTAATATCTTCTGCTTCTGTTAGGTTCCTACCATTTCTGTCCTTTATTGTGCTCATCTTTATATGAAATATTCCCCTGTTACCTCTGATTTTCTTGAAGAGATCTCTAGTCTTTCCCATTCTATTGTTTTCCTCTATTTCTTTGCATTGATCGCTGAGGAAGGCTTTCTTATCTCTCCTTGCTTTTCTTTGGAACTCTGCATTCAAATGGGTATATCTTTCCTTTTCTTCTTTGCCTTTAGCTTCTCTTCTTTTCTCAGCTATTTGTAAGGCCTTGTCAGACACCCATTTTGCCTTTTTGCATTTCCTTTTCTTGGGGATAGTCTTGCTCCCTGTCTCCTGTACAATGTCATGAACCTCCGTCCGTAGTTCTTCAGGCACTTATCAGATTAATCCCTTGAATCTATTTGTCACTTCCACTGTATAATCGTAAGGGATTTGAGTTAGGTCATTCCTGAATGATCTAGTGGTTTTCTCTACTTTCTTCAATTTAAGTCTGAATTTTGCAATAAGGAGTTCATGATCTGAGCCACAGTCAGCTCCCGATCTTGTTTTTGCTGACTGTATAGAGCTTCTCCATCTTTGGCTGCAAAGAATGCAATCAGTCTGATTTTGGTATTGACCATCTGGTGATGTCCATGTGTAGAACCTTCTCTTGTGTTGTTGAAAGAGGGTGTTTGCTATGACCAGTGCATTCTCTTGGCAACATTCTGTTAGCCTTTGACCTGATTCATTTTGTACTCCAAGGCCAAATTGCCTGTTACTCCAGATGTTTCTTAACTTCCTATTTTTGCATACCAGTCCCTTATGATGAAATGGACATCTTTTTTGGGTGTTAATTCTAGAAGGTCTTATAGGTCTTCATAGAACCATTCAGCTTCAGCTCCTTCAGCATTACTGGTTGGAACATAGACTTGGATTACCATGATATTGAATGGTTTGCCTTGGAAATGACCAGAGATCATTCTGTCATTTTTGATACTGCACAAAAGTACCGCATTTCAGACTCTTTTGTTGACTGTTAGGGCTACTCAACTTTTTCTAAGGGATTCTTGCCCACAGTAGTAAATATAATGGTCATCTGAATTTAATTCGCCCATTCCAATCCATTTTAGTTCACGGATTCCTAAATTGTTGATATCCACACTTGCCATATCCTGTTTGACCACCTCCAATTTACCTTGATTCGTGGACCTAACATTCCAGGTTCCTATGCAATGTTGTTCTTTACAGCATCTGACTTTCCTTCCAGCACCAGTCACATCCACAACTGGGCATGTTTTCGCTTTGGCTCTGTCGCTTAATTCTTTCTGGAGTTATTTCTTCACTCTTCTCCATTAGCATATTGAGCACCTCCTGACCTGGGGAATTCATCTTTCAATATCATATATTTTGTCTTTTCATACTGTTGATGGGGTTCTCATGGCAAGAATACTGAAGTGGTTTGCCATTTCCTTCTCCATTGGACCACATTTTGTTAGAACTCTCCACCATGACCCATCCATCTTCTGTGGCCCTACATGGCATGGAGTTAGGCAAGGCTGTGGTCCATGTGATCAGTTTGATTAGTTTTCTGTGAGTGTGGTTTTCATTCTCTCTGCCTTCTGACAGATTAGGATAAGAGGCTAATAGAAGCTTCCTGATGGGAGAGACTGGTTGTCTACTGACTTATATTTACTTTTATATTACTGACTGTAACTTTAAAATAGGAAGGCTGAATTGTGTATAAGACTTTCAGATTTAGTCCTGTGTGTGCATGTGCTTAGTCGCTCTGTTGTGTCTCACACTTGGCAATCCCATAGACTGTAGCCTGCCAGGCTCCTCTGTCCATGGGGTTCTCCAGGTAGGAATACTGGAGTGGGTCGCTATTTCCTTCTCTAGGGGATCTTCCTGACCCAGGGATTGAACCCAGGTCTCCTGCACTGCAGTCAGACTCCTTACCAACTGAGCTATGAGGGAAGCCTCAATGTTAATAGTAGTGTTTATGCCTACAGTTCCTTACCTGATGACCCAATATTACATCACTTCTATATATAAGGATAAAATTTTGGTAGGAAAAAATCTTTATGAGGTTTTTATTTTTTTCTTTATAAAAGTTGTAGAGTACAGCATTGAGATAAGACCTAATGTTTTTAATAAATAAATTCTTTCATTTGTATAGGAGGAAGACAGTCTGGTGCTGTTTTATATAACGCTTTTGGAATTATGGGTAAAGCTAATGTCACAGAAAGGGGTGGAGTGCTGACATCCAATAATTCTTCTGATTCTCCAACTGGCAGTGGCTATAATACTGATGTCTCTGATGATAATCTTCCTTGTGACCGAACAAGCCCTTCTTCAGACTTAAATGGAAATTCTGTTTCTGATGAACAAGTTGGTGAATTTCTAATAATAGTAATGCTTTGGGAAAATAGAAAATTCCTTACCCAAGTCACAGTCAATTTCTAGAGTATATTTGCTTATCTTTCCATGTTGTAGATTTTGCTTAAATGGTAGCCAAGGCATTTTGATGATTATATTCTACAACTGTAATTGCTAAAATTTCACTTATATCTGTAAATATATAATAACATTATACTTTGCTTATGTTAAACAATTTTATTTGTTGAATTAATGGAATTTCAGAAAAGCAGAACTTTGTTTTTATCTTGTTTAAAAGATTTTAGCAGAATTAATTTTTTAAATAGTTTTATTACTGGTAGTATTTCACATGTTTAAATATTTTAACATTTTTGTCAATATCTGCCTTTTTTTTAACAAGTGTATAGAAATGAGTTCAAATGCAACTCGTTATTTTTGTCATGGTATAATTTCATGAGGATGAATATAGTAACAGCAATAATGAAAATGTTCAAAATTCTATAGACTACTGAATACTTGTACCTACTATCTGATTGCTGATCTTGGGCACATTTTTTTTTTTATCTTTTTAGCATCTTGTGTGTTTCTGAAATGAGTATTGTAATGATATTAACATTCAAGAGTTGTGATGATTGAAGGAGGCAGGTCATAAGAAAGACTTAGCTTGGTGTCTAGAGCATAGTAAGAACTTGGTAAATGTTGTTCTTAGACATGCATACACTTCTGCTCATTTGAAGATTAGACCAACTGAAGAGAAAGAAACTACCTTTTAACTAAGAAATATGTCTTAGTCATCCAGTATGCCTTGGTACAATCACTTCTGAACTCTGGGTCTCTGAAAAGTTACTTTTGAAATGTTTATTTTGAATTTAATGCACAGTAAATAGGTTTTTTATATTTTTTTTATTTTTCTCAATTATGGAAGTGTGATAGCACAATTACAGGAAACTTGGGAAATACAGAACAAGGTTGCATACGGTTCCACTATATATTACAATTATTTTTTAAGTAGATAAATTCGTTTTTAGCTAGAGTTTCAATATCAAACTCTCACAAATTAATAGAATGAATATGCAGAGAAGTAGAAGGATATAGTGTGGGCTTCCCTGGTGGCTCAGATAGTAAAGAATCTGCCTGCAATGCAGGAGACCTAGATTCAATCCCTGGGTATACAAATAGTGACACAATTTTTAAAGGTTATATTCCAGTGCTATATGGGTGCTTCTCAGGTGGTGCAGTGGTAAAGAACTCACCTGCCAGTGCAGGAGACCCAGGAGATGCGGTTTCAATCCCCGGGTTAGGAAGATCCCTTGGAGGAGGGCATTGGCAATCCACTCCAGGACTCTTGCCTAGAGAATCCCATGGACAGAGGAGCCATGGGTTACAGTCCATGGCGTTGCAAAGAGTCAGACACACGACAAAGTGTAAAACAAAGCTTTCAACTGATCGTCAGAATTATATCCAATGACCTTTTAGATATCATCATTGAGATGTGCCATAGGCACCAAAAATTCAGTCAGTGTAAATCCAAATTTATTATTACTTTGTTTCACATGTTGTTTTAATTACTGCTTATTTACAAGGCCTTCTCCCTTTATTTAAAGTTCAGGTTCCTCTAGACCATTTTCTATATATTTGTATATTCTCAGTTGCCTGGCTCACAGCCCTTGTCTGAAACCCAAATGTATTTGAGAATTCAGATATTTTTTCTTTAAAAGAAAGATCATATGCCACAGCCCTATATTGCCCCTCCCTTCTTCCCTCTCCCCACTGGTAACCACTAGTTTGTTCTCTGTATCTATGAGCCTGCTTCTTTTTTGTTATATTCACTAGTTTGTTGTATTTTTTGATTCCACATATACATAATTAAGAAGTGCAGACGATTATGTATAAAATAAGCTACAAGAATATATTATACACCACATGGAATAAACCAGTATTTTATGATATCTATAAGTAGAATATAGTATTCAGTCAGTCATGTCTGACTCTTGTGACCACATGGACTGTAGCCCATTGGCTCCTCTGTCTATGGAATTTCCCAGGCAAGAATACTGGAGTGGGTTGCCATTTCCTTCTCCAGGGGATCTTCCCTGACCCAGGGATTGAACCTGCATCTCTTGGGTCTCCTGCATGGGTGGGTGAGTTCTTTACCACTGTGCCACCTGAGAAGCACCTAAATAGAATATAACCCTTAAAAATCGTGTCACTATATTGTATACCTGTAACATATAATATTGTATATCTGTACTTCAGTAAAATATATATATATGTATAAATGGAAGATAATATGGCATGTGTACTATAAGCTCCTAGTGAAATCTTAGATAACATTAATGCTAACATCTTGAAATATTGAATATTTTTGCATCATGACATTAATAAAAACATCAAATAGGATTATCTCTCACACATTCATATCAGATTTTGATGCCACATTTACAAAACAGATTTAGATTTTCAGAATGTTGTGGATGTTGGAATTGCAGATAAGGGAATGTAGACTTCTGTTTAGTGCCTGCTGACTTTAAAATTGCTATGATCTATGACCCATATTTTTTTACAACATTTAGGATTCAAAGCTGTTTTGTGGATACTCTTTATTCCTTAATCATCCCACAAGCAAATGCCGATCTTTTCTTTATTTTGACCAATAATATCTAAAAGTGAATTAGAGACCTGTAAACAGATATAACAAGCAGTAGACTTTTTTCTTTAATATTATACTTTTTCCCTCCCTGCATTCTAAAGACTGGTGATTACACGTTGAAAAAATATTATTTCTGTTTTTTCAATACAGGTTCAGATTAGCATATAAGATAACTAAGAATTTTCTATTGGAAAGTGTCACTTATTTGAACATAGACTGTAATAGTATTTCTCATGGCACTTTATTTGGAAGTTTGAAGTTTCCCCTTAAAATAGAATGGAAAATAGATTGCAGTAAGAAGCAGACCTTAATGCTGTCACTCATCATCTGACGTAAATAGTTGGATGACCTCTGTGCTGTGTGCTCAGTCACTCATTCATACCTGACTCTCTGCAATCCCATGGACTGTAGCCTGCCAGGCTCCTCTGTCCATGAGACTTCCCAAGCAAGAATACTGGAGTGGGTTGCCATTTCCTTCTCCAGGGGATCTTCCCAACCCCGGGATCAAACTCAGGTCTCCTGCATTGGCAGGTGGATTCTTTACCACTGAGCCACCAGGGAATCATCCCCTAAAGGGAGTTAATAATTCCATGGATTTCCCTGGTAGCTCAGACGGTAAGCAGTTTGCCTGCAATGCAGGCTACAATTCTTACCTGGAAAATGCATATGCAGGAGATCTCACACTGGTGGGAGCTGCAAAACTAAACCTGTTTTATTTCACACCGTTACCTATAGAACTTGACTTGATGGAAAAGTTTTGTGCTTAAAATACTCTCTGCTAGTGGTTTTAAGGGACTATACACTAATAACTTTTGGTACTCTATTTTATATAGGATGAAGGAGTTGAATCTGATGATTTGAAAAAAGATCTACCTCTAATGCCTCCACCTCCAGATTCATGTAGCATGAAGTTGACCATCAAGGAAATTTGGTTTAGTTTTGCAGCTCCCACCAATGTGAGATCTCCTGCACATGCATTTTCTAGGTAAGAAATCTTTAAAATAGATTACTATCCCTTGATTTCCCTGATTTTTTTTTAAATTTTAAATTACATAAATTCTATGTCATGTATCTTTTTGGACTGTTTTTCTGATATATCTAGTAGTAGGGTTGCTACTTTTTTCCTATCTTTTTTACTTCATACTTTCCGTAGACATTATTCTCAGCTTGTTTAACCCTTTTTCTTTTCTAGAGTTTTATTTTAATTTTACATGTCACCCTGCCATGAGCTTTTTACTTTTTTCACCTCTAACAGACTTTTGTATTTTTCTTTCTAATTCTGTCATCCTTTGCATTTCCTACGTATATATTCAGAATCTATCTGCTGGTCAGAAAGGAAAGTAATTTTGCCTAAATAAAATAGCCACAGAGTACAATATGTTTGGGAGATTGTTTGAAATAGTCTTAAAAACATTTGTTTATATATATATTTTTTCATTTTAAAAGGCAGCTGAACCTTTTAAGCACTGCAACTCCAGCTGTTGGTGCATGGCTTGTTCCCATTGATCAACTCAAGTCGTCTTTAAACAAATTAGAAACTGAGGGGACCTTGAGAATTTGTGCTGTTATGGGATGCATAATGACAGAAGCATTAGAGGTATGTCTTTCAACATGCAAAGTGTCATACAAAGTTTACTATTGGAAATATTCCCTTATTATTTATTGTTGTTGGAAAATATAAGACCTGCAAGTTCTTAATTTCTAGATATCTTTTGTTTATTGTATCTTTGCTATATCCTTCTAAATCTGTTGTTTTGCTTTCCTCAGAATAAAAGTGTACATTTCCCCTTAAGAAGTAAATATAACAGACTTACAAAAGTTGCCCGCTTTCTCCAAGAAAATCCTTCATGTTTGCTGTGCAATATACTACATCACTACCTTCACCAGGCAAATTATTCCATCATTGATGACGCTACAATGGTGAGTTACTGGAATCATGTGTTAGTTTTTAAAAAGCCTCTATTCTGTTGGGTAGCCACTGAGAAACAAGGTTTGAGATGAGTATGGAAAATCCAAAGGAGAAATGTGGTTAGAAATCCAGGCTTATAGACAAGATTGGGCTCAGATTAATGGTTTAGGTGTTGCCAGCTTGAAGGTGTTAGAAGCAGTAAACATGGATGAGTCTTCTAAGAATATGTTGAGTGAGAAACTGGTCAGGGCTGGATCCTCGATAAATACTGAAATGAAAGGGGCGTGGAGAGACTGCATGGAGGTATACAAAGTGCTGAGGAGGGGAAGGAGGAGGACCTGGAGAGACCATTGTAGAAGCCAAAGGTATAATGGATTGCAAGCAAAAGAGTAGTCATTAGTCATTTTTCACATAAATGTTTAATAAGGACTAATTAATAATTGGGGGAATATATAACTATATGAATAGATTCAATATATCTCTGCCCTAGAAAAGCACTATGGAAGGTAACAACATATCGTGGTTAAGAGCTTAGAGCTTGAGGACCTCCCTCTCTGCTCCAAGCTTCTGATCAACAGAGAATACACAAGAATCTTCAGCTAAATTAATAATCAATGTATCAGTACTGTTAATGGCCAGTCATGCTCCTGATAACCTCTATGAAAGAATATGGAGTAAATTATGGATTTCATAAAGGTTCTCAGACCTTAGGTTAGTATAGTGCCTCCTACTCCCACTCTGTGAACTGAAGACTGGGAGGCCACAATGCAAGGATAAGTTGCCCATCTAGTCATAGGCAGAGAAATTAGAACAGAAAGAATGGCAGGAATTTCACATGGATGGATGCTCTGCCAGGATATGGTTTCCATGTAACAGGAAGAAATACAAGAGGCCCTCCTTCCTTGAGTCTGGGAATGAAAGGGAAGGCTATGGAACCTGATATTCCTCAGAAAGTAAATGAGTGATTCCTGCCATCTAGTAAGTGGCTCTCTTCAGTCAGAACCATTACTCCTAACACAAGGAATTGTAGGAAAGGTGAAGGAGAGGAGTTGGGTATTTTCTCCTTTAGGCTAAGTCTACAGGTAAGTTTTCATTCTTAAAATCATCACTATGTGGAATAAAATATATTCTAAATTTTGTAATTGTTACTGATAGTATATTTGTTTCAAAACTTACAAATCCTTTGTCTATCATTTAACTATAATAATTTGTCATTTTTTTAATGTTAAAATAGAGGTAGTTACCTAATTTTTGGAGGAAATGTTTTCGTTTCATCTTTGCTTAATGAATATTCCAGGTGGCACAAAATACATTTAATTCTTCAGTTAATCAAAACAGGTGAAGTTTGATTGAAGCATTGAATACTTCTTACAGGAGATCCCACTTTTATACCCCATGTTTAGCCTCTTATTTACCTGGTAGAGTCCATAGCGTTGCAGAGAGTCAGACACGACTGAAGTGACTTAGCACACACGTACACATGCTGTGTTGTTTATTATGGAAAGAAGCAACTTTCTGTTTAAAGAGTGAGTTTTGTCATCAGTTTGAAATAGTGATTCCATTGTGTAAACCTGGACAAGTGACTCAACATATATATTCTCATTTCCTCATCTCTAAATGGGAGTTATGAGATTTAAATGAATAAATGCATATAGAACACTGCTGCTGCTGCTAAGTCACGTCAGAAATGTGAAAGTGAAGTTGCTCAGTCGTGTCCGACTCTTAGCAACCTCATGGACTGCAGTCTACCAGGCTCCTCTGTCCATGGGATTTTCCAGGCAAGAGTACTGGAGTAGGGTGCCATTGCCTTCTCCGATATAGAACACTAAATAGTAATTATTATTGTTACACTAAGATGACTCCTAACCATGTCATTGTTGTCACAGAGTGATGGCCTTCCTGCTCTGGTAACTTTAAAGAAAGGTTTGGTTGCACTTGCAAGGCAGTGGATGAAGTTTATTGTGGTGACACCAGCCTTTAAAGGAGTTAGTTTACATCGACCTGCTCAGTCCCTGAAACCTCAGTCAGCTGTGGACCATGAACATGAAGATGGGCTTGGGCTGGACAATGGAGGTGGTCTTCAAAGTGATACCAGTGCTGATGGAGCAGAATTTGAATTTGATGCAGGTAATTCTATAAATGTTTTGGCTGGATATTATGTACTTGGAACCTAATACTTGTGATAATTTTAATAAGTTTTGTCCCAAATTTGAAAACATCATGGCTTAATTATACAGGTCTGATTTGTGTTGGTCCAAATAAATAGTAATGATGTTGGACTCTTTATGCACACTTCACTTTGAAGTTTAATTTTTTGAAATGCAGTAGAAATAGAGAGAAATTCTCTTCCTAATCTATCTGGTACAATTAAGAGACATCTTTGTATAACTAGACTATTTTGAGTGAAACACATGAATTTTTTGAAATTTGTATTTATCTGTTTATCAAACTCCCTATGCCAGTCTTTTGTAGATTTGAATTTTACCTGGTAGTTTGATTCTGAATTTGTGTAATGTTTACAGGTATGTATTCAGCCTATAATTCTGTCATTATTATTATGACTGTGCAGGACAGAGGCAGTAGATAATGCATTTCAGAAATATGCTGCATACTTTAATGCTTTTGCAAAGAGTAATTTTTATTACTAGCATGATATATAATTCAATGGAAATTTATCTTACGATATTTTGAAAAAATATTAAAAGTACCATGGAAAAGGACAATAGTCTTAAAATTAGAGCTTTCAGAACATTGATACATATTACTTTACCAAGTTTTAAAAAAACTTCTTTTAAACTTCATATTTAACAACTAAGTATGAGTAATAGGCTAGATTTTTGTTATTTTGAAAAATTTCAAGTCTAACCACAAATTGAAAAAAAACAGTGCAGAAATATTCTTTCTAATTGTCTGTAGATGCCTAGATTAATTTGTGAACATCTTGTACTTTCTTCAGTATAGCTGAAGTGGTTTTTAATCTCTATGCCATTTGGGAGAAATATGTGAAAGATTAGAAGCTGTTTGTTCCTTTCTTGAGACTGAGTGAAAAGATTGGGGTTTGAAGAATAAAAGAAAGAAGAATGCATATTATAGCAGAATCCATAATTAATTTTTCAAGAGATACGAAGAATTGAGTTTTGCTGTACCACCAGGAACACTGGAGTGTTTCAAGATGTTTCAAGACTGTGTGATAACTCACGGCCCACTTATTCTCCTGTGCTGTTTCAGCCACAGTCAGCGAGCACACAATGCTGCTGGAGGGGACAGCCAGCCGGCCTCCGCCTGGCAGCTCTGGGCCTGTGACTGGGGCTGAGATCATGAGGAAGCTTTCTAAGACCCACACCCATAGTGACTCTGCACTAAAGATAAAGGTACATTGGTGCTGTCTTGTTAGAGTTACTCTGACTTACAGAGAAGACCTAAGCTTTTGTTATCTCAAATGTAAATATTAGCTATTCATCCTAAATATCCAAATAGTGCTTTTATGTTGAGATTAACATACGTAGTAACTTGTAGTTTACACATTTCAAAGAAAATTATATTAACAATCAGTAATTAATGTTGAACGAGGACTTCTTTAATTCCCAAGCCTTAGGGATGTCTTTTCAATTTATTGACTACTGTATTCAATAAAAGAACTTACCTGTAGCTCAAACAGTAAGAATATGCTTGCGATGCAGGAGACCAGGGTTTGATCCCTGCATTGGGAAGTTCCTATGGAGAAGGGAATGGCAATCCACTCCAGTACTCTTGCCTGGAGAATTCCATGGACAGAGAAGCCTGTCAGGCTATAGTCCATGGGATCGCAAAAAGTCGTACACGACTGATTGACTAACGTACACACGCACACATATTCAGTAAAAAACGATATTGAACATGGGTGTACCTATGGCTGATTTTTGTTGATGTATCACAAAACCACAAAATTCTGTAATGCAAATAAATATCCTTCAATTAAAAAAATAAAGTGGAAAAAAATGTTAAAAATGTTGATCAGCTTATAATTATCAATTTTAATGAGAAGTCTTACTGGTATTGCATGATCAGTATACAGTTTAAATAGTTAATAAAGTTAAATAGTGTATGTTGCTGAACATGTAAGAAAAGAGACATTTTCATTCATACTAGTACTGGGTGGGAGTGTAAATTGGCATAACCTCTTTGAAGAGCAATTTGTCAATTTTTAATTGTAAAATTTTAAACATAATGCCTTTTACCCAAATGCTCAAAGACACATGTCCAAGAATGTTATTTACAACACTGTTTATAATAGGAAAATAATGGAAGAAACATAAATGACTGAGAACTAATAAATAATGTACCTTCATACGGATGCATATTATGAAGACTTCAAAAAGATAGAGTAGATCTCTAAATGGACATGGAATGATCACCAAAGCACATTGATTTGAGTAAAAATAAGGTATAGGACAATATATATCTCTGTGTTAAAAAGGATAAATATGTATATGTGCTTATATAGGCAAATTATTTATAGAAGGATAAATAAGAAATAGTTAATAGGATTTTTGGGGCAAGGGATCTAGTAGACTGGAGTTCAGGAGATGCTTTTTATTGGCTAGTCTTTGTGCTTTTGAGAGTTTTATTCTGTGTAAACATTGTTCTTATAATGAAAACATTTAATGACAGAATGATACACATTTTTTAAAGTTTGGGCTTAAGGCTTATTCTGTTTCTGCAATACAATTACAAGCCTGGGACACTTTAAATTCTCAACCCCTTAATCTGTCTCAGAATTACTCCTTTTCTTTTTTAAAAAAAATTATTTTTAATTGGAAGATCATTGCTTTACAATGTTGTGTTGGTTTCCGCCATATATAATTAGAACCAGCCATAGGTATACACATGTGCCCTAGAATTATTCCTGGTTTATGATCTTTCCAAAGGCTCTGATCATATTACTGTTAATGCTGTTCTCAGAAATTTTTTGAGCATTCCTTTGTTTATGGATTATGAAAATCGAGAGAATTGAAATTAAAAGTACTTTGTTTCATATCTCCGCTTATTAGGATATTTCTGTCTGCATGGTCTTTCTTTGTACTGTTTTAAACTGATCTGGAATTCCAGTCTTAGATATGACAGATCAGATAGATATTGGTCAATTGTATAACTTTTTCTTTTTTTCTTCAGAGAATTGCTGGAAATTCTTTTTGGCATATTAGAGCTTTACAGAGAATCAGGTCTTAGCACAGAGATTTATTATCAGAGTATTAAGAAGGGTGGTATCAGTTCAGTTCAGTAGCTCAGTCGTGTCTGACTCTTTGTGACCCCATGAACCGCGGCACACAAGGCCTCCCTGTCCATCACCAACTCCTGGAGTCCACCCAGACCCGTGTCCATTGAGTCGGTGATGCCATCCAACCATCTCATCCTCTGTCGTCCCCTTCTCCTGCCCTCAATCTTTCCCAGCATCAGGGTCTTTGCCAATGAGTCAGGCCTTCACATCAGGTGACCAAAGTATTGGAGTTTCAGCTTCAACATCAGTCTTTCCAGTGAACACCCAGGACTGATCTCCTTTAGGATGGACTGGTTGAATCTCCTTGCAGTCCAAGGGACTCTCAAGAGTCTTCTCCAACACCACAGTTCAAAAGCATCAATTCTTCTGTGCTCAGCTTTTTTTATAATCCAACTCTCACATCCATACATAACCACTGGAAAAACAATAGCCTTGACTAGATGGACCTTTGTTGGCAAAGTAATGTCTCTGCTTTTTAATATGCTGTCTAGGTTGGGCATAACTTTCCTTCCAAGGAGTAAGCGTCTTTTAATTTCATGGCTGCAATCACCATCTGCAGTGATTTTGGAGCCCAAAAAAATAAAGTCAGCCACTGTTTCCACTGTTTCCCAATCTATTTGCTATGACGTGATGGGACCCGATGCCATGATCTTAGTTTCCTGAATGTTGAGCTTTAAGCCAACTTTTTCATTCTCCTCTTTCACTTTCATTAAGAGGCTCTTTAGTTCTTCTTCACTTTCTGCCATAAGGGTGGTGTCATCTGCATATCTGAGGTTATTGATATTTCTCCCAGCAATCTCGATTCCAGCTTGTGCTTCCTCCAGTCCAGCGAAGGGTGGTATAGTATGAATAATTTGGGGATATATGTCTTGATACCAGACTCCCACTTCAGATTTTAAAGGGAGTTGTAGCTGTGAGTGTGCTCAGTTTTGTCCAACTGCTTGTGATGCTATGGACTGTAGCCCACTGGGCTTCTCTGTCCATGGAATTTTCCAGGCAGGAAAACTGGAGCGGGCTGCCGTTTCCTATTTCAGGGGATCTTGCCGACCCAGGAGTCAAGCTCCTGCCTCTTGTGTCTCCTGCATGCAGGCACACTCTTTACCACTGAGCTGAGTGAAGCTGCTCAGTCATGTATGACTCTTTGCGATCCCATGGACTGTCGCCCACTAGCTCCTCCATCCATGGAATTTTCTAGGCAAGAATACCAGAGTGGGTTGCCATTTCCTTCTCCAGGGGATCTTCCCAACCCAGGGATTGAACCTGGGTCTCCCACAATGCAGGCAGGCACTTTACTGTCTGAGCCAGCAGGGAAGCCCACACAAAAAAAGGGAGGTTAATAATTGTTAAAATTCAGTGAATGACACTAAATGCGGTCCTTTGCACTGTACTGTAGAGTTTTAAAACATTACTACATACATTTGAGATTCACTGCAATTCTAGTAGACACAAACTGTTTAGGTAGACACAGTTGTATTAATGTGAATAATATAGCAATAAAAACAGTGAGTCATTGTGGTTATCCATAGTCTTTTTTATGTGCATAAGAAAGAGCCCCATGTTGTTCTCTCTGTAGGGCATTCATCCGTACCATTCTCTGAGCTATACCAGTGGTGACACTGCCACAGATTCTCCAGTGCATGTGGGACGTGCGGGAGTATCGGTGAAGGAGAGTCCAAGGAAGGAAAGCCTACTCAGCTACCTGACCGGAAGTTTTCCAAGCTTGCACAACCTTCTGGAAGGGACCCCTCAGAGAAGCAGTGCAGCAGTGAAAAGTAGCTCCCTGACGAGAACAGGTACATCCTTAGTTCTGACAACTATCAGTTTCCTTCTGTGGGAGATTTAAAAAACAAAAAAAATAGGGCTTATGTTTATTCAGGTATATGTTTTGGATGCATACCTAGTCTTTTGTATGACAACTTATCTTTGAGAGTGTCTTTTGGGAAACTCTTCTGTGTAACTTGTTGGTGTCTCTTAGTTTGCATTTTTAAATTGTAGCATTTGCTGTTACTCTCAACTAGGCATGGTGTGTAATGCTGTCTAGACCAGCCAAGAATGAATCTATTCTCATTATAGTCTCAATAAATTATTTATTAATGCCTTAATATCCAAATGCCAAGAGTATGTAGTAAGTTTTAAAGACATATGCAAAAGGAAGATAATTTAGCCCGAGTTTCTAAAAAATGATTACATAAATCACATTTTCTCCTCCTTAGTACATAAGTAATGCTATACTCAGTAAAACTTTATTTTCAGGAAACACAATGGCCTCTGATATGTTATCTGAACACCCCTTGTTATCTGAGCCATCGTCTGTGAGTTTCTATAACTGGATGTCAAATGCTGTGGGTAACCGAGGAAGTGTGGTACAGGAGTCTCCTGTCACAAAATCAGGACACAACAGTCTCCCAACAGGTATTGAGCTATCATGTCATTTTACTTAACTGTCTAAGGGGTGCATGTAAAGTTATAGTAAATCCTATTTTTCAAAGGATGCTTAAAAATATCTCAAAGGTTTAAGTTTACCATGTAGTTGAAATTGTCCCATTTACAAAATGCTTGATAATATTGCAGTTGAGAAAGTCATAAGCAGTAGCTCAGTGTTTTTGTGGAAAGGCACATATGTCAAATGTGAGATATATATAATTTAAAGAGTTTAAAATTTCCATTTAATGTATCTGGCTTAATTTTCAAAGTACCAAAAGGAGGTAAATGAAAAAATGCAAAGTATAATGACAATATCATATACCTGCAATACAGAAAATACTTTCGGTTTATCCAGATTCCTCTGCAGAGTAATATAAACATTTTTGTCTGGTGGCTTAGAAGGTAAAGAATCTGCCTCCAATACAGGAGACCTGTGTTCAGTCCCTGGATTGGGAAGATCCACTGGAGGAGGGCATGACAACCCACCCCAGTATTCTTGCCTTGGAGAATCCCCAAGGAGAGAGGAGCCTGATGGGCTACAGTCCATGGGGTCGCAAAGACTCAGACATGATAGAGCAACTAAGAACAGCAGCACATACTCTTTATAGTTACTTAAATATTTAATTAAATCTAAAGAAACACTAAAAGCAATAAAGTAAGATTCTTGCCCTCAAGGAGGGAAACAAGGAAAGTTTATTGATTTTAAAGGGATATTTATAAGTAGCAGCAAAACAGGCAGAGAATTCACAAAGAAATACTGGTGGCTATTTCCAATAACATATATGGAGTCAGTCCTTTCCTATCATTTTCTATTTTTTCTCTTATTTTTCCAAATTTCTATATGTATGTATTTTTTTATTGTGAAAGTGTGTATATATTTTTTAAAATAATATGTGAAGTAGCCTTTGTTCCCAGTTACTTTGGGCAGCTGAAATTAATCTGTGTAACATATATTTGGATCACTTTTAAATTCTATTCAGACAAAAATATGAAATTATGAAAAGTGACTGATAAATGACTACTCAGTATGTTTTATTTTTTGGCCAGTGTGTGGCCCACATTTGAATCTGCAACCAATTCTAATTCTGACTCTAGGCATGCAGAGATGTGCTAATTCCTAGTATTGGCCCTTGATTGAAGGAGGTAGAAGGCTGATTCTTCCACCAGCTCTCAGCACTTTCCTGCAGCTAATCTCATTACTGCAGAGTTTAAATTTCAGGAGAGCCAAAAGGAACATTTCCTCTCTATCACAGATCCTTTGCCTGACGAGTTAACAGATAACAGAGTACAGAAGAAAGAAGCAGTGCCATTTTATTTTTGTTTTGCCTTGAGAAATGATAGTTACGAAGAAAATTGTATGTGGGGATTACATGACACCTATGGTTTTTGCCATATAACCCTGCTCCTGTCTATAATTTTGTTCCTCTGTGCAAAGCTGATGGGATATCAAATGCTTTTCAAAGTTCTTCCAGCCCTATAGTTTTATATTTTGGACTGACTGGCTCTAATACATACTTCATGTATGAAGATGAGTGATAGTATTCTGAAAATGTAGTTTAATTTCACTTTTTATTAGTGTCTGTAAAATAACCTGAAAGTGTTGTTTTTTTCCTTCTCAATTTAAATAGTCTGGCAATACAATTACAATACAAGCTTCATAAGTTTACTTTGCTGTATCCCTGTATGTTCTTTTCATTTCCCAAGAATTTAGATTTTATTTTTGAATACTTACTCTTTTAGGTGTTGCACCCAATCTTCCTACAATACCCTCAGCCTCAGATTTCAACACCGTCTTGTCTAGTGACCAGAATACCTTGGATGGGACACATTCTCAGCACAGCACTAGTCAGGATGATGTGGCAGGTGTGGAAGAAGCCAACCAAGGTTTTCCTGCTGTACAACTTGCTGATGCGCAGGTGAGCCTCTCTGTTTTCCCCTGACTGTAGTGACCGTGTATCAGGCAGCACTTCGCAGTTGGAACCATCAAGTGTGTGCATGTGGAATTCCACTGAAAATCTTCTTTCTTGCTTATCTGCCTAAAGCCTTCATGTAAAAAGGAGGCGCCTTTAAAAAGTACATAGGTTAATTATAAATACAAATTAAGCATCTATGCTACTGCTAAGTCACTTCAGTTGTGTCCGACTTTGTGCAACCCCAAAGACAGCAGCCTACCAGGCTCCCCCATCCCTGGGATTCTCCAGGCAAGAACACTGGAGTGGGTTGCCATTTCCTTCTCCAGTGAAAGTGAAGAAAGTGAAAAGTGAAAGTGAAGTCGTTCAGTCATGTCCCACTCTTCGCAATTCCATGGACTGCAGCCTACCAGGCTCCTCCATCCATGGGATTTTCCAGGCAAGAGTACTGGAGTGGGGTGCCATTGCCTTCTCCGTAAGCATCTATAGATATTCATTAAACTGAAGAATGGTGTATAGTTCGTCTGCCTCATACAGCAACATTCTTGTTATTTTGGGATAGAGACTGGCTAAATAATAGGACTAGAAAGTTAAGTTTATTCATTTCCTACAGTTTGAAGTGCTCTGTGAAGGCTTGAGTGAGCAACACGGAGGCATTGAAGATTTTAGAACAGAGGAATAAGGTGCCTGGAATTGTACATGTGGAAATGTTGTATGGGTAGCAATGTGTTAAATGGATTGAAATGGAGAAACTAGAAGTGAAAAAATGAGTTAATGAAATAGTTCACAGAACTGGTAGTGAAACTCTTAGCTCAGGTGGGTATGCCTTTGATAAGGTAAAAGAGAAATACAGTGGAGGTCTTATTTAATTGACTAAATGTAGGGAGTGGAGAACAAAATTTCCAAGGCAAATGGGAGAGTGGGAGATGGGTATTTAGAAGTGTTGTCTTTTCAGGATGAAGGCGGCCTGAGCATATTTTTTACTTAGGATGAATTAAGAGAGTTCTAAATAAAAAAAAAAATTTTTTTAATGGCAAACTGATAGAGAAAGATTCAGAAAAGGATGAGAAGTGTTGGAATTTAGAATCCTTTATAGAGAGAGATAAGTTTTTGACATAAAATGTACTTTTTCCCCTGAGAATGTTTGGGAAGGCAGTATGGACAATTCATAAATGTACTGGTAAGTTTGCAAATTCACAGCCTCAGTTCTATAACACAAGAAGAGGACACACACAAAAAAAAATGTCACACACACCTAAAAACTTTTGAGAGGTACACCTCCAAAACACCGGAGAAAAATTTAGAGAGACTCTCACACTTTTTTTTTTTTTTTTAAGAGAAAAGAAATAATTTTTTTATGTTTGTTTTGGCCTGGATAAACATTCATGGTATTTATTAGTATCCAATACACATTTTTAGAAACAACTATACTATTTTACATATAAGACTCTAAAATTGACCAGAGACAGTAATATTAAGTAATACAATAAAACACTATGTAAGGTGATTTAAATATATGTAAAGGTTGGAGTGAAATTGAAAGAGAGCTCACCACAGATCCACAGAAGAATTACCAAATACTGCTGACAGTCTAGTTATTTAGAACCTCTTGTTGTCCTTATTAGCTTAGCTATAGGAGTAGAAGAGGATTAATCCAAAGCAGATATAGCAAAACAAGTGAGGTAATAAGATGTAATATGCAGTCTTGGAAGTTGCTGAAAAGGAGTTTAAGGTAAGATTATGAGAGTAAAAGGAAGTCGCCTAACTTTGGAATTAAAGCATTGGTTATTTCCATGGCCAAAGAAGCCTTTTAGGATGGTAATCTGGGATGGGAAAAGGAAAGACCTAAAATGACTGGTGAGTTTGCACGATTAACTAGGGGGGGCATACAGATAACAAAATTAGGAAAGATGCAGGATGGCTTGAACCTTGAAGAGTGTTTCCTTTGGGATGAAAGAACAAATCCAAGACAGAGTAAACCCAAGAAAGTGTATGCCAAGCAAATATACAAGGGAGAGAAAAATTTTCCCTAAATTTCCAGTGTAAAGTGAATTGTCTGAATTCTGTCACTCTAGGCCTTCAGGCCTTCACAGAAGTAGTAGCCTATCTTCCCAAGCACAAACAAATGAGGTGACATAGAGACAAGTGAAAATGTGAACTGGAGTCTCACTGCAAAAATGGCACATCTCCATTTTGATAGATTTTTTTTTAAGCTTCAGGAAAAGAGAATGTGTGGTGGAAGAGAGTTAGAAGGGAGTCAATGAAGGCAGTTTAGGATGTAGAAGAAGGAAAAGGAACCATGCAGCAGAGAATGAGTAGTCAGGATTATTATTACTGATCTGTGAATACATAGAGTTGCTTTTATTTGGGTTAAGACTTAGTGACTATGAGGTTCAGTTAACTAGAGAGTTAGCCAGAGTGATGTATTTCCACAGCATATATGACACTTAAAATGTAAAAGTTCTTTGTCAGAAAATGTTAAATGACTTTTACAACCAAGGGATACCATTTAAAAATAGATCAGCTATTAAAAATACAACATATAAAATGTTTTTATATTAACAGAGGAGATTGATAAGCTCTTTTCTGAACCTTTTATAGCAGATATTTATGGAAACACAGCAGATATCCATGCCTTTTTTAAAACAAGAAGTAGAATGGTATAAACTAATTTTATTTTCCTTGTACTTTCACTCAAGCACAATCAAGGAACTTTGTGTTTATGATTAATTTGAAGATGGGTGGCACACAGTAGGTGCTCAAAAATACTAAGTTTTAAGTAAAATTAGAGCATATTTATTATACAAGGCCTTTTTTTCCCTTCACATTACAGTAATAATATGTACTGAGATAATATGTAAGAAAAATAGCCACAGTAAATGTTGAATTATAAATTGAGCTAATATAAATATGCTATATCTTTTAGGTTGTTTTCAAACCTCTTCTGAGTCATACAGGGATCCAGTCACAGGACACAATGCCACTCTGCTACCGAATGTACTTCGGAGAACACCTCTCCTTTTCAGGGACTTTGGACTGCCTTAGAGCAGATATTGTGGATTCAGACACGGCCAAGGAGAGAAAAGGCAAAAGAGCAAGAAGGTATCTTGCATTATTATTGGTTTTATGTAAAAATTTGTACAAAAGTTATAATATCTGCTTTTTAACTTTGCTTTCTTCTAGTGCTTATGTGGAAGTAATTTTAATAGCCTAATGACAAGATAACTTCCGCTTAACAGAAATAGTAGCCATATTTTCTTAATAATTTGTTGATTTTATCACTAGGTTGTGAGACCTATTTTTAGGTATATTTCTGTAAGATGTTAGTACATGTATGGTGTTGTTTAGTTGCTAAGTTGTGTCTCTTTTGCGACCCCATGGACCATAGCCTTCCAGGCTCCTTGTCCATGGCCTTCCCCAGGCACGAATACTGGGGTAAGTTGCCATTTCCTTCTCTAGGGGATCTTCTCAACCCAGGGATTGAACTCATGACTTCTGCATTGGCAGGTGGAATCTTTACCAGTTAGCCACCAGGGAAGCCATGAAAATACATGTATCAGGGTCAGCCAAAGCACATATGTTGATAAATATACTTTATTTACTGTTGTAGTATTATTTTATGATCTTATGGATTAATTTTATATATTATTCTTAGAATTTATTCCTGACCTTCTTTCTGAGTTGACTTGTAGCAGGTAGTATTTTCCATTAAGAACAGAGTAGACATCATGTTGAGAGTATAGCCTTGTCATTCACAGTCGTATGGTACCACAACAGTGACCAGGCAAGCTGAAACACTGCAGAAGTGACCTTAATGATTATTAAGATTAATGGGGAAAATTACCTTTGTTTTGTGACCTGGAAAAATATTTCCCAAAATGTTAGAAAGTCTTTTACTATTTATTATACATGTATAGGAAAATGAAAAATATAATAAAACTGATATTTTGTGCATACAGTTTGAAACATTTGAGAATTAAAATGTTTTCTTTTTTAAAAACTAGAGGGTAATTTGTATAGTCCTTGTCTGCTTACATCATGTAGCTTACAACACAGAAGGAGCATCTTTTCTGTGCTTTGGCAAATGTCATACTCCATCTAAGCAATTTCCAGTGTTTTACCTTTGCACTTCCAGTGTTATAAAATGTCTTCACTAGTTCTTTTCAGCCCCTGTCACTTTCTTTGGGATACCTTCATCCCTTTTATCACAACCACATCTTCTTTACACCAGTAAGTTGGCCTTCTCTGGGTTCCATGAGCTGCATATCTAGAGTTTCTAGATCGAAGTACCAACATTTTCATACTCAGTTGTTTTCTTTTATAACTCCATTTACTTTTTAAAAACTTATTTTTATTGAGTTAATATTGATTTATAACATTATATATACATACATATAAATGTGTACAACATTCTGTTTCTCCTTGCTACCAAAAGATTAGTTTCCTTTTGTCATCATACATTTGAGTTCCCTTACTCATTTTGTTCTCCCCTCCCTTACCTCAGGCTCTACCTGTCTGGTAACCACTGCTCTGTTCTTTGTATCTGTATGTGTGTTTGGTTTGGTTTGGTTATTTATCTTATTATTTGGTTTTTGTTTTTTATATTTCACATGTAAGTGAAATCATACTGTATTTGTCTTTCTTTTTGACTTACTTCACTTAGCGTAATGCCATCAAGTTCCATCCACATTGTTGCAGAGGACAAGGACCCCATCTTTTTTATGCTGAGTAGTAGTATGTGTGTGTGCACTTTGTGTGTATGTCATATTTTCTTCATCCATTCATCCACTGGTGGGCACTTAAGTTGTTTTCATATCTTGGCCATTATAAATAATGCTGTGATGAATATAGAGGTACATATATCTTTTAGAAGTAGTGTTTTTGTATTCTTTGGGAAAATACCCAGAAGTAAGAAAACTGGATCCTAAGTTAGTTCTAATCTTAATTTTTGAAGGAATCTCTATATACTGTATCCCACAGTGGTATACCAATTTATATTCCCACCAGCAGTGTATGAGAATCCTTTTTCTCCACATCCTTGCCCACACTTGTCATTTCTCACATTTTTGATGATAGCTATTCTAACATATATAAGGTGATATCTCATCATGGTTTTGATTTGTATTTCTCTATCAGTGATGTTGAAAATATTTTCATGTGCTTGCTGGCCATCTGTATGTCTTCTCTGGAAAAATAACCCATTTATGACTGAGTGACTAACAGATACCACCCATTTTTAATCATTCTTAAAATTACTGAGTTGTATGTACGTGTGATTTTGACTCAACATAGAATAAGATAAAGAAAGAAGACTTAAGGCCTAGTTTCCAACTTATAAAAATAAGAAGTATGTTGACTTAGAACATACTTCACCTTGGAGATTATTTTGCTAACAAGTTAATAAAGACTGTATGATTCTGGGGAAAAAGGAAAAAAACCTTGTCATTTTCTTTTTTTTTCCCCCACATTTTTAGGCAAGGCCATGTGAATCTTCCTCCACTTGAGTTCAAACCAGCCTTGATGTTGGAAACCTTTAGCATCAGTGCTGTTGTAATGGAAAAATCCGTGTGCACCCCTCAGAACTCCACCAGTGCTCTTTCTTTTCATGATCTCAATAAGCGTTATTATAATACTTTTCACTGCAACTTTACTATTTCCTGTCAATCAATAAGCCAGCATGTAGATATGGCTTTAGTTCGTCTCATTCATCAATTTAGTACAATGATAGACGACATCAAAGCGACTCAGACTGACATTAAACTTAGCAGATATACAGCTGGATCAGCTTCCCCAACACCAACTTTCAAAACCAGAAAACACCGGGACTTCCGCTCATCCGACTTCAGCCGCAGTTCTAGGGGAAGTCTTAACGGTGGCAATAGAGTAAATAATACAAAGAACAAACGGACCAACAATGAGAATAACAAAAAGGAGTCTCGAAACAAAAATTCATTAGGAAGATCTGAAAGAAGAACTTCAAAAGTGTCTAGGAAAGGTTCAAAAGACGTGGTGGATCATATGACTATCCACATGGATGACTCTGATTCAATTACAGTATCAGAACAAAGTGAGCCTTCAGCTGAGTGCTGGCAGAATATGTATAAATTGCTTAACTTCTATTCACTTATCTCTGATCCAACAGGAATACTGGAAAAATCTTCAGAAACATTTGGACCAGCAGGTAATGGATATTTTTATATTTAAAAATCTGTTTAGAACAGCAGTAACACTAAAAAAAAGAAAAAAGACAGGTTATTCACCATGTATTCTTATTGTTATAATAAATGGATAATTGAATGATAGGAGTTGGCAGTCACCCAAGGAGAGAGAATAGTGATGGTGATCAGATATTCTACTGCCCCTTTCCCCATCCTTTCTAACTTTTACACAGTCAGCTCTTAAAGAATTCAGACAGACCTGCTTTCAAATACCTGAGTCCTCTAAATATGACCATGGGAGAATGGTGGAAATTTTCAAAAATCGTTTTGGTGGAGAAGAGGACAAAGAGGGCTAGTGTGGAGTGTGAAGGAAAGAAAAACAAGGTAATGTCCTTCCATTTTGCAGTATCTAAGCCCATATATTTCCATTCACTTAAAGGAGTTCGGAGCCCCACAGAGCCGACATGTAAAGTTGTGTTTGAGAATGAACAAGACAATACTAGTGTGACTAAGAGGAAACGTAGTTTGGTAACTGCTGAACCTCAGCATGTTACTCTGATAGTGTTTGGGATTGGCATGGTGAACCGCACACACCTGGAGGCAGACATTGGTGGGCTAACAATGGAATCGGAACTGAAGCGGATTCATGGCAGTTTTACACTTAAGGAAAAAATGAAAGGTATGATGACATCCCAATACTGGAGTGCCACTTTTCTGAAGAAAGCCAATGCCATGTCTCATAAATACCTACGTGGTGATTTTTCTTCAGAAAATGGAACTTCCCATTTACATGGATCAAGAGTGCTAGTGTATATAGTTTTTTTCCTATTCTTAATGTTTTAAAATTTTTCTAAATATTCTGTGCTGTTAGTTCTGAGATTTAAAATGTCATTGGACTGTTTAATGGCATTAGGCTCTTTAATGCATGAATGGCATAGTAAACTACATATTTTGCATTATTCCAGTTTTGACACATAACACATATGTATATGTGAATGGATGGAAAGAAAAACCTTCAAGGAAATTTTTAAAAATTTTGTTCTGGAATAGTTTAAATTTCATTGTACCTTTAAAATTATCTTTTGTCACTGAGTGTATTATGGATGAAATGAAATTTTAATATGAAGTGCAACTAAATTTCCAGAATTCATAGTTATTTTTTTTTCACATTTTAAGATGTTCTACATCAAAAGATGACTGAGACATGTGCCACTGCTCATATTGGTGGGGTTAATATTGTGCTGCTTGAAGGGATTACACCAAATATACAGTAAGTGTGTTTTTTTTTAATTATTAAAGTTGTTTGTTATAGGTTTAGAGGAAACTTAAAATTCATTGGATGAATCCCATACCTAGTAAGACTTGAGATTTATGTAATATTGCCAGATACTGTAATTCTATCACTAAGAATATCACCAAATGAATTTTTTCAGAAAAATTATTTGCTCCCTTTATAAAATTGGTTTACTGCCAGTCCTGCCACCCTAAAAAACTGACTGCCAGTACATTTTAAGATTGCATAACAGGAAAAATGATTACAGTGTAAATTTAAGTTAAACATATAAGATGCAAGAGCTCACATAAATAATTAAAACAAAATTATAATCAGAAAATAGACTGTCTCTTGATTTTACTAACTAATCATTACCCAGTATTCATGCTGGGTTTCAAAACTTTATCTTGCCATTTTTTCATTTAAATAATTTAACAATAAAGCCTATGAGACCCTCCTAATAGTATAAATAAGCTTTCTACAGTGAGTATACCATTCCATATTGCTTTTCTTTTGACTCTTTGCTCTCACCTTTTCATGTTCTCTCTGTGGATCTGTCCAAAATTGTTCTAATAATAATAATTACCTTTATACATGATATTTAGATCACTAATTGGTTGTCAATACATTTAACCATTGACTTTGCTCATACACTTGGGAATATATACCTTCATTCCTAACTTCCTTTCAGTGGAGCAGTTTTATGCTATAACTACAAATTATATTTTGATAATTTAGTCAGATTCTGAGAATTTGCTCATTTTTAGTAACTAATGTCCTACTATTGTCCCTTAAAGCATCTATCATGCTAAATACTGACAAAATAGAGGATCTAGTTCAATGTTATAAAAATTAAATATTAGTCATAAATTGACTCATTACAGGTCTATTCATGACATTTCATACATGGGTAATATGATGACTGTCTTGGGGAACATTTCCTGAAATGAATGTGTAAATCTTGCTGGGGCAGTTTTGACTTGTGTATCTAGAACCAAAGAGTATATTTCATTATTGCTGCTTAAATGGTCCAGATCACATTTCCTAAGCTGGCATTCTAAAGACCAGAAATTCCAGTAGTTGTGAGATAGATATTTTTTGACTATTCAGAGTGGGAGGAGGGGTATTATTATGTAATAATTACAGTCTAAAGGAGCATCTATTGTGGAACAGGAACCTCATATACATTATTTAATCCTCACTACAATCCTACTAACTGGGACAGTTTTATCCCCACTGTACAGAATAATAAATCGAGATTTAGAAAGATCAGAGTGTTTTCCTAAAATGCTTAAAGTCATACAGTCAGTAAGAAGAGGTGCCTGAATCTCCACACCTTCTACCTCACTATGATGCTTCAAAGAAAGTCACCACAGACTTGGGTTTCATGATTCCTTTGTTGACTCTGAATTCAAAGTATCATGGTTACTTTAACCTATTCAGAAGTACCACAAATTTCTTTAAATGTCTCCTGTGTTTTATTTACTCCATCCTCTCAAAACTCTTACCTCCATTATCTAAGAGAAGGCTTCAAATAATCTCTAAATTTGCAGAACAGATTTATAAAATAATTTTAAGTGTTAGTTGAAATTTTTTTGCCTTTAAAAAAAGAGGTCAAACCAAGATCCCTTAACTTTTTAATTAAAAAGGTAAAACTTTACTTATTACCCGCTGCCAAACTCTAATAGTGTTAATAAGACTTTCTGGATTTATTCTTTGGGTTTTCATTTCTAGTTTCAATTAAAAGGAAATGGAACTTCAAAAAAAGTTGAAAAAGTTCTTCAAGTGAAAATTTTTTAAATGGGAAATAAAAGCTTTCCAGATGATTGGTCATATTGTAACTAATTTATGCATGAATGTTTATTTGCTTCCTTTTGTTTTCCTGCTTTCTCTTGAATCTTCATCTGTAGACTGGAGGATTTTCCTACATCTCCTACAAGCACAGCCAAACAAGAGTTTCTGTATGTCATTATTATTCTTCTTCATGGACTTTGTGATTAACATTGTATTGGATAGTTTTAGAGATAAAATATTAATATTTATCTGCATGGCTGTGAATGTATGTGGTTAGTTATTATTTTGTAGCTTTAATATAGATCCTTTCATAGATTATACGATTTGCTAATATTCATGAAAAACACACAGGTAAGAACTACCTTTTTGGTAATTCATACCTTGTTTTATTATTGTTGAAATATTGAAAATTGTAGTTGTATGTTGCTTTGTACTCTTTTAAGCCCTGTTAATATTGAAATTTATATTATCACAGATCCTCGTTAATATTGGATGTGATAATAGAAGCTGAAATTTTTAACTTTGTGAGAGAGTTTTGACAATTTGCAAAACTAATTATTAAAACACTAATATATGAAAATATCTACATTGCTCATCCTTCTAATTCTGTCTTTAAGATGTAGAGAGTTTGCTGCTCTATTGTCAAATTTTATATGTGGCTTTTATACTGTATATACTTTAATATTTTTGATTGGCTTGATTTTACCTATGTATATCTGATATTTTATGGTAGTGAGCTATACCAAGCATTATGTATAAATATTTGTCATGTGAATCTTACCTCCATGACAATTTAGTATGTTACTTAGCACTGATTATTTATTTGAACATTTTCTATAAATTTCAAGTATGCTGAATAAATTTAGTTGAATCTGCATATTTTGTTCCAGGCTAGTAAGATTATCAATACCTGGTAAGATTTATTTCACTGTGTATTGATAATGGCCATAGACAAAATATCATCAATCAACAACCCTTTTTTGGGATTATCTGTGATCTATATCACTTCATCAACCAATTAAAGTCCTAATAAAGAATAAATGCACTAATACTAAATTAGAAAACTGATTGTTTTTGGAAACCACTCTTCCATATTAATATCATGTTGAAAGATATATAAAAAAAAAATAGCAATTTCCACTTTAGTATTTGTAATAGCTAGAGAAGATGTGTTGTTTCTGTTTTAATCACTGAGTTCTCTGGATGTATAACAAAAAAATAAGCATGGCTTTAGAAAGGATGCTTTTTAATGACTGAAGATCACATCTTCATCCACCTGACTAGGTTTCTAGGTTACAAATTATTGTCTGCACACTATGTTAGGTTTCAGAGATGGAACGGTAAGGAAATAATAGGTAGTTCCTATCATAATATCACTTTATAGGCCTGCTCCCTCCTTTTTCAGGCCTTCCTGTTCAGAGAGTTAACATATAAAGTACAACTGCCAAGTAGGAAAGAAAGTTCCAGTGATTTTTAATAGATAACTAGATAATATGTGATCATAACATTCTCTGCCCCCACTGTAGAGATTTTCAGGCAAAACTGAATTGAGGCAGGCAGCATGGCTCAGGGTGCCTTCCTTTTCAGGCCCCTAAAGTTTAGGCCTGCATGGTCAAGGAAGTAGGGTAGGGTTGGAGATAGAGATAAAGTGAGTCAAAGTATCAAAGTGAAGTCATTCAGTCATGTCCAATTCTTTGTGACCCCTGTGGACTGTAGCCCACCAGGCTCCTCCCTTCATGGGATTCTCCAGGCAAGAATACTGGAGTGGGTTGCCATTTCCTTCTCCAGGGGATCTTCCTGACTCAGGGATTGAACCCAGGTCTCCTGCACTTCAGGCAGATGCTTTAACCTCTGAGCCACCAGGGAGGTAGAGACAATGAGGCTGTAAATTAAATGAAGCCCTCTGGAGTTGGGCAACAGAGTCCTTGAAGTTCTTAACATCACAGTTTCCACTGGTAATACCACAGATCTGCAGTAGCAGAGTAGTCAGCGCTTTCTAGTCTAACATTTGGTGTATAATTGAAAATCAAATGTTGTGTATAGGCTAATATAACCAAAAGTAACATTAAAGGAGACTTCTATAGATTATAAAAGTAAAATAGTAAAATAAGTGTAGAATTTCTTGACTGTCATGATGACTTCTTTGTAAATTTATGCTTTTTTTTTAAATTTATGCCTATTTTATTCAAGCAGTGAATGCTATTCACAAGTATAAAGTCCTTTGCATTTTAGCATCATCTAAGTGTTTTGGCTTATGTTGAAATTGATTTTAAAATGGAATCTTTTTATTATTAGAATAGTTAAGACTCAAAATTCAGTAACTAGTCAGCATTCTAGAATCTACCATCATTCTGGTTAGAACAGTTCCATAGATTACTTTTTTCCTTTCTCTAATCAGTGATAGTCTTTGAAAGTAGTTTCCTTTGAAGAAGAAGGCAGATATAGTTCTGTAGTAATCATTTTTGGAGTTAGTATATTACCTGGATTTCACTATCTGTAAATAATCAAAACTTCTGATAGAACCACTCTTATGCTTCTCAAGATTTATTCTAATATAAGTTAAATGAAATGCATTGATTGCTTAGAGCCGTGAGACTATAATTAAATTCTCAATGAATCCTTTGTAGCCTAAGTAGAGATAAATGTGTGTGAACTGATCTGTAGTTAATATGAAGTTTGTACTTTGTGTGTTTTGCTTAATTTGTTCTCAAGCATCCTTTGCCCATTTGAAAGATAACATTTATGTTAAGCTTTCATTTTATTACAGGGCCTTTAGTGGTGTAGTTCATTGACATGCATCTTTCTGTCATATGTGTCAGGACTGCCTCATCCTGACTTTTACATACATGATTTTCACAACATGCTTTCTGTGGAATCTCACAGTTGTAGTGTTGAGTCATTCTGCTGTACTTCTTTCTGCTCATTTATTTCACAAAATTCAGTGAGTGTCTGCCATGTTCAAAGCATTGTCCTAGGTATTGGAAGGAAAAAGACAAGAAACCAAAAAAGACTATTTCTGTTTTATATCTGTACCAGTAATTTCTATTTTATATCTGTACCAGTAAAACTTCCTAATTTTTACCTAAGTAGTAGTTACTCTTCATGAATTGGACTTCTATCATTTCTTTGCCGCTCACTGAAAATTAAAAAAATGGAAAATGCAAGTTGAATTTCATCTTTCTCATTAATTTCTTTTAACTTATTAGGTGACTATAAGATTAATTTCTTTGACTGATTAGATTTTAAGAGGTATGGTGTTTTTCTTCCTTTTGAAGTTCACTATCTATATTTTCTTAGTGGTTGTAGAGATGCCTGAAATAAGTTGAAGAAAAATGGAGTTCTGAATGGGGAAAAATAAAAATGGAATTTTATGTTGTATATGTGTAATATGTCAGTGTTCATTCTCTTCCATGTAAGCACATACATATATTCTTCTGTCAACTCTTTATTAAAGAAATAGAATAATATTCCATACAAATAGAATAAAATATATGTCAGTAATTTTAGAAGATATTATTTATTCAGTATGATTTAAATGCATGAAAAATCTTATTTACTTCAATAAATGATTTAAATGCATTTGTCTTTCTCTCAAAATACATTTTCAAAATTTCTCTTTATTTGACCATATTTTAATGATCCTCCTTCTCTATTAATAGAACTGTAGTGAAATGTAGTATTGCCAAGTCCCAAGCCCTCTACAGTGCCCAGAGGGGACTGAAGACTAACAATGCCGCCGTGTTCAAAGTAGGAGCTATCAGCATCAATATTCCCCAGCACCCTGCCACCTTGCACAGCATGATGGTTCGAAGTTCTCACCAACTATCTAAGCAGATCTCAGATCTCATCAGACAGCCTTCTACAGCGTAAGTTATTTATTCAAGTTTTGTGATTCTGAATAGTATTTCATGTCATTTTTTCCTGTGTTAACAATAGTTTGGAGGAAGACAGAGGTTACATCTAGAGTAGTGATTATTATGGATAGTGGGGCGAGTGAAAAGTAGCTAAACATGATTGTGGAAGAATCATATTGAAGTAGTGTGTATTATTGAAGTAGTGTGTTACAGATGCAATTGTCAGTCTTTCATATTGTATCAGTAAAGCTTAGGAGAGCCTAAGGATTAGTGGACATTATAAAGAGGTACTACTAAAAGGCAAACTGAAAAATTCTAGGACTGTAACAATCTTTATTTCCTTTAATTTCATTGAAATTTGTGACTACATAGATTTATAAAGTTGCAGGGCCATTTATGTCTCATGCATGGTTTTGTGCTGTCCTTCATGTGAAATTCTTGTATGTGGTTCAAAGAAGGATTTGATGGTGCCATCTACATATTTTAAAAGACAGTGAATGGGACTTCTGCAGAGTAACCTTTACCCAGGGTTTGTACTGCTGAGCTCTTTTCCTGGTCTCCAAAGCTGTAACTAATGAATAACTAATAAAAATTTAAGTAAAAGGTAAAAGTTTGCCTTGTTACATTTTCTTTTATCCTAGTCTATAAGGCAGAAAGACATTAGTGTATTTTTTGATGGTGGCTTAAAGCAGTGATTTTTTTTCCAGTTTGTTCTATCTTGATCTTTAAATTCTGATGTAGTATTAATTTATGTCTAGTTGATTACGTAGTAATAACTCACATGTTTTTCCTGCCACTGGAATATTAAATCCAGAATGTATATATGAGTCTTAGTTATAAAATTCTCTAAGGAATTTTTTCTTATTACAATATATTGGCAAACAGAGTGGAGTAGTTAGAAAAAACAAGACTCTAGAGTCAAACTGCGTGTGTGCTCAGTCCCTCAGTCATGTCCAATTCTTTGCAGACACAACTGTAGCCTGCCAGGGTCCTTCTGTCCATGGCATTTTCCAGGCAAGAGTACTGGAGTGGGTTTCCATTTCCTTCTCCAGGGGATCTCCCCGACCCAGGGATTGAACTCACATCTCCTGCACTGGCAGGAGAGGTCTTTACCACTGAGCCACCAGGGAAGCCCAGAGTCAGACTGATTGAATTCAAAACTGATTTTACAACTTCATAGCTATGCTTCCTCATTGGTAAAATGAAGATAATAGTACCTACTCACAGGATTTTGTTAGATGAATAAAGGATATGAAATGCAGAAGGCACTAAGAATAGTACCTGGCACATAGGAAGCACTCAAATAACTATTATTTGTTTTTGTTGATATTAGTTATTATTATTCACAGTGGTAGTGATAATAGTGGCAAATAATAGTAATACTATTATATCAACAGAATTGCATGATGGTTAAGTCATAGAATCTGGAATCAGACAAACTTCTGGTTTCACATTAATGATATGAATGACTTTGGGGCAGCCTTAACATACAGTTTATATTGTTGTTACTTCTTGTTTACTTTTCCAGATCATCATTTTTCAGTGGTTGTTTGAGGAAGACTTAATATGATCTGGTATTGGAAAGAAAACGTGTTCACAGTTCATTTTTGCTATTTTTCATTGAGAATTCCAATTTTATACAATTTCTATTTTTTATACAATTTAAATCCTAGTAGCTATTCTGTTTGTGTCCCTTTTTCACCTTTTTAACTTTCTTTTTGCTTTATAGCCCACAGCCTGTAAAAGAAGATATTGCAACCCCCCTACCTTCTGAAAAAACCCCAACAAGTGTTAATCAAACTCCTATTGAAACAAATGAATTTCCTCAACTACCAGAAGGTTTAGAGAAGAAGCCTATCGTCCTTAAGTTCAGTGCCATGTTAGATGGTATAGCCATCGGAGCAGCACTTTTGCCATCTCTGAAAGCAGAGTACAAGATGGGACGAATGAGAAGCCACGGAATGACAGGTAACACTGATGTTTGAATTCATTCTTACAATTTGAGTGGATTTGAGTATTAGTAATATTTTGGTAAAAGGCAAATTTGGTTTTATAGATTTATGTGAAAATTTAAATAATTTTAATCAAAACACTTTTAAATTTCATTAACCGTGTGTTTCATTCAGTCAAGTGAAAATAGCAACACACTTCATTGAGTGACCATCATGGACCCTGTTCTCTTTGAAGTCTTCAGAGTTATCCACTATTTAGAGACCATTTCCAACTTAAGTTGAACACATTTTTACATTTGCTAGGTTCCTGTAACCTGAATAACTTGGTTTATTTTCACATTGAGTATGTTTAGCTTTAATTGGAGGTTATTTGACTTCTTCAAAATAGCTACTTTATAAGGTTTTGTGATCCTTATGTATCCTCTCCAAAAGCACTTTGCTATTGTATTTTCTTCTGAAATGTATCCTATGCTTTTGTAAGTGTGCTGATTATATACATACAGTTTAAACAACTATAAACTCACCAACCCAATGCATATTCTAAGAATTAAAACATTACCAAAACTTTGAATGCTCCTTCAGGAAATATTATTACTGCCGGATAATATTCCCCATGATTGCTTGGCAAAATAACTACTATCATGAATTTTCTGTTACCCATTTCTTTTGCTTTTCTTGATAGACTCATAAGTGATTCTAAGTTGTTGTTGCCTGTTTTAAACTTTATTCACATGAAGTCCCACTAATGAATATTTTAACTGGGAATTTTTTTGTTATACATTTTTTTTGAAGATTTATCCAGTCATGTTCTTTGGTTCATTCATTTTCAGTGAAATATAATAGTCCATTAAGTGATTATATCACAGTTTACATATCCATTCTGCTATTGATGGACATTTGGCTCATTTTACATTTTTGCTGTTACATTTATTCTCAAACACATCTTCTGATGCACAAGTGCAAGAGTTTCTCAAGGGTATTTACTTAGGAGTGGTACAGCTAGGTTGTAGGGTAAACACATCTTCAGTTTTATGAGGAAATGCAAAACTGTTTTCTGCAATGCTTGTGTCCACCAGTATTGGATGAGAGTTCCCAGTGTCCACATCCTTGCCAACACTCAGTATCATCTGACTTTAAAATTATTTCTGTCTGGTAAATGTAAAATGGTATCTCATGGTTTTAATTTATGTTTCTATAATTATTAATGGAGCTGAAGTTTTAAATATGATTAAGAAATCCTTAGGAGCTTCCCAGGTGGAGCTAGTGGTAAAGAAACTTCCTGCCATTGCAGGAGACATAAGGGACGTAGATTCAATCCCTGAGTCAGGAGACCCCCTAGAGGAGGGCATGGCAACCCACTCCATTATTCTTGCCTGGAGAACTCCATGGACAGAGGAGCCTGGCGGGCTACCGTCAATAGGGTCTCACAAGGGTCAGACACGACTGAAGTGACTTAGCACAGCACACATAAGAAATGCTTATATTTTCTTACATGAACACCTGTTGAAGGTACTTGTTTGTTTTTTGCTCATTTTACCATTGGATCATTTGTACTTTTCTTGGCTATAGGAATTCTTTGTACATTTTGTATATTAAACCTTCGATGTTACATGTTCAGTATATATTGTTACTCAAAAGTTTATTTCAATTTTTGGTCTTTTGATCAACAGATATTCTTCAATTTTAATGTAATTGAATTTACCGATATTTTCTTGTTTTGTTGTGTATTTTTATGTCTTGAAATACTTCTGTTAACCAGGATCATAAAAACATTCTCTTGTATTTCCTATTAAACCAAGTTTTGCTTTTCATATTTTAAGTTCCTAATCTGTAACGAATTGAGTATTTTTTTCTTTTAATTTGGTATGGAGTAATATACATAACCAGTTATCTCAGCATCATGTATTGACTATTCTGTCCTTTTTTTCAGTGGTATTTCAACTTTGTCATCTATTAAGTGTTTATGTATATGGGTGTCTGGTTCAGGGATCTCTATTATGCCTCAGTGGCCTGTTTGCACTAGTATCATACTAATATCTGACTTTTCCTTTTTTAGAGGTTGTCATGGTTGTTTTTGCTTTTTTGCTTCTTTATATACATTTTAGAGTCAGTTTGCCTAGTTCCTTGAAAAAGCCTGTTTGGATTTTTATAACAATGTGTAATTAAATCTATAGACTTACTTGGGGTAGAATTTAAGGTATTAATAACAACTGATACAGTATTTAACCTTCTTGTTGCTTCATATTTCTATCTTTCTGTTTCTTTAGATCTTCTTCAGTGTTTTTCTATAAAGTTTATAATTTTTTGGCCTAAGGGTTTTATATATTTTTTGTAAGATATGTATATTTACTTTAGATACCTAGGTACATTATGTTATTGTCATTATTACAAGTGGTATATTTTATAAAACGGCATTTTAAACTATTGGTGGTATGTACAAATCTCCTTGATCATTTTATGTTAACTTTTAAACTCAGAAATCATGTTAAACTATTTTATTATTACTAATAAATTTCTTTAAATTTCCTAAGTAAATGTTTATACATTTGCAAACACTACTTTTGTATCTTCCTTTCCAGTCTTAATGCCATTTATTTTTCTTATCTCATTTTGCCTCTACTACAATGTTCAATATAAGGGATATTGTGTGTGTCCTTGTCTTACTGCCATTTTTTAAGGGAATATTTCACCAGTGAATATAATGTTGGCTATATGTTTTTGTTGGGTTGTTTTTATCAGGTTAAGAAAATCTACTTTTATTCTAGTGTGCTGAGTTTCTATGAATAATTTGTGAATCCTTATTATTGGATACTTTTTTCAATCTGTTAAAATATTTATCTCTTATTCTATTAACATTATAAATTCCATTAATAGTTAAAAAACATATATACACTTATGTGAATCAGTTCAGTTCAGTCGCTTAGTCATGTCCTACTCTTTGCAACCCCATGGCCTGCAGCACACCAGGCCTCCATGTCCATCACCAGCTCACAGAGCTTACTCAAACTCATGTCCATAGAGTTGATGATGCCATACAACCATCTCATCCTTTGTCTATGCCTTCTCCTCCTGCCCTCAATATTTCCCAGCATCAGGGTCTTTTCCTATGAGTCAATTCTTGGCATTAGGTGGCCAACGTATTGGAGTTTCAGCTTCAACATCAGTCCTTCCAGTGAATACTCAGGACTGATCTCCTTTAGGATGAACTGGCTGGATCTCCAGATGGCATTAACAGTAAAGAATTCACCTGTTAATGCAGTGGTTATAAGTGATGTGGGTTCACTCCCTGGGTCAGGAAGATACCCTGGAGAAGGAAATGGAAATCCATGCCAGTATTCTTGCTTGGAGAATCCCATGGGCAAAGGGCTACTGTTCATAGAATTGAAAACAGTCAGACAGAACTGAAGGGACTTATCCCACGTGTACAAGGAAGTATAAATAGATGAATATTGTGGATATTTCCAACCTACTTTCTCTTCATTTTTCTGAAAAAAAATGTATTGAGAACCTCTTATGTACCAGGAGACAGGGATCAAGACCATCCCCATGGAAAAGAAATACAAAGAGTCGAAATGGTTGTCTACAGAGGCCTTACAAATAGCTGTGAAAAGAAGAGAAGGTAAAGGCAAAGGAGAAAAGGAAAGATATACCCATTTGAATGCAGAGTTCCAAAGAATAGCCAGGAGAGATAAGAAAG